CCCCGCTGCCAGGAGAGTTTCTGGATTCCCTGTTGTGGTACCTCAGAGAGACCCCAGTGTCCCTCCGGGAGAGACCTAGAGTCCACTCGGCTCCCTTTCCTCTTCAGGGTAGCTTTTTTTTTTTTTTTTTGCCCATGTGTGATTTCTGTCTAGAGTTGAGCATGCTGAGTGGGTACGTGGAGAGCTGGTGAGACTGAAGCCCTTGGAAGCTGAAAGCCACCAGCAGCTAGGGCTGGTGACACGGAAGCTCTGTCAGCAGAGGATCGTCATCAGCTGCCATCTCTGGTGGCCAGGAGCTGCAGTAGCTGGTGGATCCAAGTGACAAGGGTGTGGGGCACTAACACTAAGAGCTCCGAGCTGCTGGCATTCAAAGCGCAGAGCTGTTAACGCTAAAAGAGCTACACTTTGCCAGTTTGTGATTTTTATGTGAATGGAGCAAGAACCCTTGGTTCCATCTTGGAAGCACGTGGACCCTTCGGAGGGTCCTGAGAAAGACTATAGACGAAGGTGACAGCTGACAGCAGGCTCAACAGCCAGCCCATGTTTGATCGCCATCCCGTGGGCCACTAAGAATTCACAGTAGCCAGCAAAAGTCATTCTGGCTGGAAATTCAGGAGTGGAGACCAGGAGGGGGCCCCAGAGGTCCTGGCTGGTGGGAGGCCACCCCGCTTTGACCACAAGGGGCTGAAGAGGGCAGGCACATGTCCCTGCACCCGTGCCCAAGCATCTCCCAGGCCTCTGGGCCCCTCCTGCGTCCCCTCTGCAGTTCTCCTTTCCTCACCTGGCTTTGGGACCAGGCAGACACTGGCCTGGCTGCGCAGTCCAGGAGCTGCTGCTGACCGCCCAGCAAGGAGCCCCACATCCCGGAGGCCTGACACACGCGAAGCCGGCCTCTCATCTCACGGTTCACGGTAGATTTCCAAGCAGTGGGGAAAGCTCACTCTTCAGGGGCTCCCACACTTGATTCTGGCAGGAGGAGGGGAGCGGAAGGGATAGAGACAGAGAGAGAGGGTTGGAGGGAAAGAGGTGGAGAGAAATGGAGAGAGAGAGAGAGAGAGAGAGAGAGAGAGAGAGAGAGAGAAGAGAGAGAGAGACGGGAGAGGTGGGGCGGGATGGGCAGAGAAGCTGGGAGAGGATGGAGGGAAGGACACAGGAGCAGGGGGCCAGAGGTGAGATTTTAGGGTCCAGAGCAGAATCACTGTCCTCCTCCACGGCCTACAGCCCATGGTCAGTGCCCGGTCTCTGCTCCCTGCAAAGGAGGCTGAAGCGGAGCCCAGCGATGCTCCAGGAGGTTGACAGCTGGGTGCACGTGCCCTCTTCTCTCTGGTGCTCCCCGCTGAGGCCCTGCACGGCCCCGACATTTCCTGAGGGAGGTGCAGCAGGCGCTGCGAGGAGGCCTCTTCTCTCCCAGCTGGGCCCAGCAGCACCTCTCCTGACTGCCCAGCTTGTCTGGGCTGGCCCTTGACATAGCAGGGCCTGGCCTGATGTGGGGTCGTATGGTGGGGTTGCCCTCCCTTCTCCGCCTCCCATTTGTTCCAGGAGCCTCGACAGGTGAGCCTTGACCCTGATGTCCTGTGTCCCAGGGACCAGGGCTCACCCACCTCCTCTGTGCCTGTCTTGGCCTTTGGGCATCTCAGATGCACTGGAAGTGTTTGCTGAATGAATGAATGAACTAAGGAAGGAAGGAGGAGCAATAGTCCTGGACTGTACCCACCAGGCAGGCTGATGTCAGCTCTTGGACAGGGCTCTGCCTGTCACCAGCTAGATCTGTGACTGCTGGTGTTGTCTGGGGTTGTGATTTTTCTTTACTGTTGCTTCTAAACCTTTAACTGAATGCATTTATCTGGGCAAGGGGAAATAAATTTGGGTGTGCAGAAGGGTCTACAGCACAGAGCCACCCTCTCCTGGTCTCTCTGGAGAAGCTTCCGGAAACGTCTTCTGCTGAATAAACGGTGGCTGTTGTTCTCTGTGGAGGTGGTTGTGTTTCTTACCCTCCCCTGCATCCAGAGACCCTTCCCAGGAGGAAGGGGAGGGATGGAGGGGGGTCTCAGTGCCCTTCCTGTTACTGTAACCAAACGCCAGAGGCTGGGTGGTTTATCGAGAGCAGAGGGTGATTTTGCTTATGCTTCTGGATACTGGGAGCCTGAGAGCATGGTGCTGGCCCTGGTGACACTTCCTGCAGCAGCATCACTTGGTGGCCACTACGTAGTGAGACGGAGCAAGGTGCCTGCTCAGGTCTTTTCCTCTTTCTCTCCTTCCTTATAAGGCCACGAATGTCTCGATGGGGGTCCCACCCTGCAGATCTCATTTAACCCCAGCGGCCTCCAAAGGCTCCTCCTCTGGTGTAGATCTGGGAGCTACATTTCCAACCCTGGAACTTGGCAGAGGGCCTTGCCTTGTTTTGGCTGCAGACCTGTGTGCGGCCACGTTAGGTGCACCATACACACTGTGATTCGATCCTCACTGTTACAGGAGGAACCGCCAGCCCTCATGTTGCAGGTACGGCCACTGAGGCACAGAGAGGCCAAGGTCACCCAAGTCGCCCCGCTGCTGGGCAGCCTGGACTCACCTGTTCATTCTTGGCAAAGCTGCTCTATGTGTCTGTGGGCCCAGCTCTGTTCTGGGGTTCATGGGAGGAAGCCGTGCTTGATCCTCTTTTGGGGTCTCGCTTGCTCACATCTGTGCAGATGGGGGGGCTCTGTGGCCCTCCCAGGAGGCAGAGGTTTTCCATAAAATCCACAGCAGAGCCACTGAAGTGGGGGGACAGGAAGAGCAGAACCTGTGTGGGCCCGTGACGTGATGTGGAAACAGATGTGCACTTTCCTGAGGGGAGCCCCACAAATACTCACCATCCAACTAGCAAAGCCGCGAGCTGCACCTCCTTAAATCCTCCAAAAAGGAAAAGAGCCAGGCACAGTGGTGCACAGCTGTGATCTCAGCACTCCTGGGAGGCTGAGGCAGGAGGATCGCAAGTGCAAGCCCAGCCCGGGCAACTTAGCAACTTAGTGAGACCCTGTCTTGAAATGAAAAATGAAAAAGGCTGGGGATGTAGCTCCGTGTGATGGCCCTGGGTTCAATCCTCAGTACCTCAAAATAAAACCAAACAGAAGATAGGAAAAGGGTTAGGAGCCATGACTCGACAGAAAGAGAAAGATCTAAAATGATAATAAGTGGCCATCAAATTGCGCACCAAGCCCTAATCAGCAGTCAGCTCTGAATGATAAACTGAGAAAGGGGCTTCCTGGTGGGCTGGGTGAAAGGGGGCACCTTGAGAGATAACCGTGTCACAGGTCGGGGCGAGGTGGAGAGCACTAGGGTCACGTAGGCTTGTTTGTGTCAGGCCTGGGGGGTTGCGGAGGGTGCGTGTGACCGGATGTCGGGTGAGGCTTGGTGGCCTGTGTGCCATGGGAGGGGGGGCACAGAGGTCTGGTGCCCGAGAGTGCGCGCGTGTGTGCGTGAGGGTGTGCACTCCACGCAGCCAAGTGCGCAGCCGCCCCCGTGTAGGAGGGAGATCTTATCTCCTAGGTGCTCGAGGAGTTTCGGGCTTTCTCACCATCCTGGCTCCCCGCCTCCCGGCGCCCGCGCCCCTCCATGCTCTGCACAGGAAGTGGGCGGCTCTGAGTTTCGGTCTTTGCCGGCCCCACAGTCGCGTCTCTGCTACCTGGGCTGCCGGAGCTTGAGATGGCCAAGGTCCCAGCAGCAGGGAGTGCACTGCCTCAGCCTCATGTCTCAGCCAGGTGATGTACCCTGCCCTGCCCTGCCCTGCCCTCTGGGAGCCATTGTGACTGGGAAGGTGTCCCCCAGGGGTTTCTGCCTCAGCTCTGAGCCCCAGCCTCATTCTAGAATCCCAGGGCATGGGCGCTCCTGAGAAGAAGCCACTCCTCTGGGCCAGGCCACCGTCCTTCCCCCGCCTACTGAGGGTCTCCGGGAGCTGCTCTAGGGTGGGCCCTGTGCTTTGGGGCTCCGACCCTGAGAGGCGGGGAGGGGGCAGATGGCTAGAGTGGGTAGAGAGAGGGTTCAGGAGGTGGGAGAGGGAGACGGGGCCCAGATGTGTAATCTCTGCATGGTGCCCCCAGGAAGCTTGTGGGTGAAGAAGGAAAGAGGGGTCCCGCTGCCACCAGGCCTCTCTCTGGTGCCCTGGGGTCTGGCCAGGGTCTGGCCCTTACATGGCTGTGTGAGGAGGACAGTAGCCCTTCCAGGGCCCTGGTGGGGTAGGGGCTGAGCTCCCACACTGAGCTGTGTTTGTGGCACCCCAGGGTGGTGTGGTGATGGGGGAGGAATGGTGCCGTCTCCAGGATCCCCACTCTGCCCCCCCCGGAGCCAGGGTCCCACATGCTGCTAAGAGATGCAGCTGGAGTCCAGCTGCAGGAGGGGGTGCACCGTGTGTGTGTGTGTGTGTGTGTGATGGATGGTCAGAGAGACCAAATGGAGATGGCAATCAGAGTTCGGAGTCCAGATGAGACACCCCTGGTTACCAAGCTCCTGCTTTAACATCCTGTCCCAGTCCACCACGCACCCCACAGGCCACCAGGGCACCCAGCTGCCCCTGGGCAAGAGGCTCATCCATGCCTCCCTCTCCCCATCTGGACAAGGAGTAGCAGAGATCCGGCTCCCAGGGGTGCTGGGAGGGTCACACATTGTGACATCTCCCAGAGGCTGGTGTTGGGGCTGGGGCCAGGGCTGGGGCTGGGCCGCAGGGGCCGGAAAGTGGGCGTTAATCATCTGGGGACAGCTTGCCTTCCTGGCCTTTGTCGTCATCTTGCTGGAAATCAGGTGACGGTGTCTGAGCTGCTCTGAGATCCAGTTCTGACACTAATGAAGAGGGGTGACGAGCCCCAGCTCTAGGCTTGTGGCGGGGACCTGATGAGTCAGTGGTGGAGTTGGCCTGTGGCCATGCAGCGCTGGCTGGTGTGTGTGTGTGCATGTGCGTGTGCGTGTGCATGTGTGTAGGACACTGCGCACAGTGTGCTGGGGGCTCAGAGGTCCTGCTCTCTGCTTGCTGTTACCTGAGGCTGGCCTGTTCTGGGGTGACTTTGGGTGGGTTTCCAAGCCTCCCAGAGACTCAGGTCCCCCTTGAGAATCAAGCTGCAGCCTCTGTGGCTGTGAGGAGCCTCCCAGCCTGACACCTCTGGGTGCACAAACCCCTCACCCCTCCATGGAGTGGCGGGCGGCACTCCATCATGCCCGCTGCCTCTCTGCTGGGCATGTGGTTTGACTCTGACCTTCCTGAGGTCTTGCACCCTTGCCCTCCTGCCTCCCGCTCCCTGAGGTTGTGTCCCAGGTCATTCTTAGGCACAAAGTCACCTTGACGGCTGGGCCTGTCCTGGGTGACCCCTTACCAAGGACACACAGTGCCCAGCCCCAGGGTGAGGCTGGCATGCAGGAGAGCTTCTAAGAAGTGGCCCCTTTGTTGGGCTTTACACTCTTGGGGTCCCAACCTTGTGCCCTATCTGTTGGGAGACTCAAAGACAGAGACAAGGGGCCCTGCTCTGGAGAACTCACCCCTTGGTGGGGACAGTGGGCTGGGCCCCCACCCCCAGAGCAGAAGGCTGGCGATCTTAACCCTGGGTTTCAGGGCAGGAGTACACCAGAGAGGAGCCTTCAGGAGTCCGGGTGGTGACACAGCTCGGTGTGTGTGACCCCAGGGAGGTTAATGATCACTTTCCTGTCCGAAACTCAGGGCTGATAACAGTGAGAGCCTCTCCTGTGACTCACCTGTCACAGGACCTGGCACAGAGCAGCCTCAGCCCCCACGAGGGGAACTGTCACAGTGCACCAAGTCACAGCTCCGTGTGTTACAGTGGAGGGCGGGGGTCTGCAGGGTGAGGGCGCCTGCCTGCGCCTCCTGGGAAGACCCCAGCCGTGGGACCTTGGGCCGAGAGCCTCACTTCCCTGCCTCAATTTTCTTGTTTTGGAGTCTGGAGTGGTGCACGGTAAGTGCTCACAGCACAGTTTTGGGGTGATGAAAGGGGCAGTGGGGTACAGCTACTGCAGTGACCCAGCCCTGCCTTTTTTGCAGTCCTGGGGACTTCTGACCCATTCACTGGTTCATTTATTCCCTTGCGTTTATTGAGCGCCCACTGTGTGCCAGGCTCTGCAGCCTGGGGAGTGCAGGCACAGTGTGCTTCCGCCCTGTGAGATCCGAGGGGCTGGCCTGGCGGAAGGAGAGAGGCGGATTTAAAATGGCCTTGAAGGGCGACAGGACCCAGAGGGCTGGTGGGGCAGCGAGGGACACAGGAAGGGCATTTAGAAGCTTAGACCAGAGTTCCCGGCTCACGCAGGGAGGTAGGCATGATGCGTGTGTGAGGGCGCCTGTGCGGGTGTGTGCACGCGCATGCGCGCCTGCTACCCCGCGGGCCAAGCTGCAGGGCTGGCATTTGGGCTGCGGTCACAGCAGGGCTCTGGCTGCTATTTGGGCGGGGAGGCGGCTGGCTGCAGAGAGCTTTGGGAAATGAATGGCCTTGACTTGTGGCTTCTGCTACTGAGACCCCTGCACAGTTCAGGCTGCCCTCCTGGGAGGGTGGAGAGAAGGAGGTGGGCGGGCTGTCGCTGGGGGACTGTCATGGGGAGAAGCTGTGAGGGCACTGGGGCAACAGACCCGAGAGGCGGAGACGGAAGGGCTGGCCTGGGCTCAGTGCTCTGGGCCCCCTGGCCCTGGGCTGGTGAGGCTGGAGCCCGTGGAAGGCCAGAAGGCAGGGAGGGAGAGGGTCTCTGGGGAGAAGCCAGCGCCCAGCGCCCAGCGCCCAGCCCGAGGGACCTGGGAAGATCTTAGGCCCAAAGAGCAGGGGGCACACGGGACACAGGGGAGCTGAAGGACATAGAGGGACGAGGGACAAGGGGGACTAGGGACACTCCTCAGCACCCTACCCCACCTGCTTCGCCCCACCCTGCCCCTCTCCCTCAGCCCCTTCCTGTGTCCCGGCTCCCCCTCTACCCCCTCACTCTCTGCGGACCGGGACCCTGCAGGGCATGCGTGGTGACGGTCCCATTTCTCTAAGTGTCTCCTTGGCCACAGGTCATGTCCTGAGCTTTCCTTGTGTGACGTTCCCAATATGTGGCTAGGACGTCCCTGAGAGTCCCTGACGGAGACAGTTCTCGCTTCCCTGGGCTGGTCATTGAGGGTGGCTGTCAGGGGCTCTGGCATGGAAGCTTGGCAGCAGACACTGTGGGGTACAGATCTGGGAGCTGGGGTGCCAAGGACTCTTGCCTGGACCGAGCCCCACAGAGCACTGCCTCAGGCCAGGAGTGATGGTGCATGCCTGTAATCCTGGAGGCTGAGGCAGGAGGATCACAAAATTGACTGCAGCCTGGGTAACTATGACTTAGAGAGACAGTCTCTCAGAATTTTTTTTTGTTTTTTAATGGGCTGAGGAGGTAGCTCAGTGTGAGGGCCCTGGGTTCAATCCCAGTATGGTTAAAAAAACAAAAACGTGCTAGCTGGTCAGTGTTTCCTGGATACACAGGGGTACTCCTGAGGCTGTTTCTGGGGTGTCCTATTCTTTCCTTCCCTGGGGAGGATCTGGGGGCTCCCTATCCACCTGCAGGAGTTTTTAGGCAGGCAGGGGAGCAGGAGTGTACACAGGTCTCCCTCTGAGCCTCAGTTTCCCTATCTGCAAAGTGAGCAGGACCAAAGTGCTGCCTCCCAAAGCATTGTGAGTCCTGAAAGAATCCACACAGCCTCGCACTGTGCTTTAACAGCTCCTGCAAGGGGCCAGGTGCTGCGGCCCTGACACTGCCACGATTTCTTTATGCAGAGCTAAAAAAGCTCTGTGTGGCAGCTCAGCCCTCTGCAGCGAGGGGACCGTCGCAGGCTCTGTCCTGGAGGTGCAGGGCTGACCAGCGCCGTCCTCTATGCCCAGCTGCCCAGGACGCACTTTCCTCCCGGGCAGCTGCACTGGGGAAGGACGGAGACCTTCAGAGCGCCCTCACCTGCTGCCCGAAGCCAGTCCAGGGCCACCTTGGCCCCTGGGCTCCCCCAGCCCACTGCTGGCTTCTCTTGTTACCGACACGTCTTGGGGCCTCCTTGTAGATTCATCACCTCCCTTGACACGGGGTGAAGGGCAGAGGCAGGGGACAGGAGTGGACAGTGGGAGGCTCTGGAACCTCCGCTGCTGCCCTGCAGTGTTTCACGTCTGACTTCACGTTTGTCTGTTCTGTAACCTGCTTTTCTCCTTGTAGCTGCCCTGTGTATTCCAGGCTTTAGGAATGGGGCACCTGGAGCTCTGTCCTCGTGGGGTCTGCGTGACTCCCGTGTGCGTGCGTGTGTGTGTGTGTGTGTGTGTGTGTGTGTGTGTGTGTGTGTAAAATGAATAAATACAGTAAAGGTTTCCCCCATGTGCTCCTTCAATTTCCACGGTTTCAGTTCCCTGGGAATCAACCGTGGTTGGAAAACATTCAATGGAAAATTCTAGAAATAATTTGTCCGTTTTAAATCGTCTGCCATTCCAAGCAGCGCCGTCAGCCTCCCCCTGTCTCGTCCCGTCCTGCAGGGCCTGGGAGGTCCCCTGGGCCAGCACACCGGTGTGCCCACTGCCCTCCTCGTAGCCCCTCACAGCCGTGCCGGTTATCAGAAGGACAGTGGGTGTCACAGCACTTGTGCTCAGTGACCTCACGTGGAGCCTGGTGCCGGGGTCCAGTGTCCCATCTTCCTCCTGTGTCTCTGAACACCTGCACAGGGACGTGAGGGAAGGGCACGAGCCAGCGAGCAGGGCGGGGCAGCTGCGGGTGCCCAGGGCTGGGCTGTGCAGGCGGGGTGGGGCTGAGGGACGGGCGCTCACTTTGCTGTCCCCACCCTCAGGGCTTCCCCCACCAGCTCGGCTCTGTGCATGTGATGGCGGCCCCAGCTCTGGCCTGGTGTCTGCCCCTCCTGGTCCTCCTGCCCCTGACAGCTCCTCCGGCATCTGCAGCAGTGAACGGTGAGGACCCTGGCATCGGGCAGCTGTGATTTCCCCAGCAGAGGGCCAGGGCCGGCTGGAGCCCGTCCTAGACCCCTGCTCCTGGGCAGAAGGTCCAGAAGCAGCAGCAGGAGGCAGTTCGGAGGGTGGCTCAGGGCACCAGGGGCCGGGCGGTGGCTGCACCTGGAGGCCACGGGCACCAGGCAGCCAGCACTCATGCCTGTCCTGCCCGCAGACACTTCTCAGCTCGAATGCTTCTACAATTCTAAAGCCAACGTCTCCTGCCTGTGGAGCCGGGAGAAGGGTATGCAGAACACGTCCTGCCATATCCGCGCCCGATCCAACCAACGGTGAGTGCAGCCCAGGGGATCTGCAGGACCTTGGGACCATGTGATCTCATGGTCACTAAACTGTCATACCAGATCCCAGGACATCTGTGCTCACCAAGCTAGGGGTTTCCAGGACTCGCGTATTCTTCGAGGCATTGATTGAAAGAATTGTGCAGTCAGCTACTTAGGCTCCTGGACGTGTGGTGGGGCGCAGGCTGCAGTCCAGGGGCTGGAAAGAGCCGGGGGAAAGTAGTCTAGGGACATGGGGCTGTGAGCCTGCTGTGCCAGGGCTGAGTCCCCTTCAGAGGCCGGGTGGAGCATGGTGGAGGGTAGGGGGTGGTGAGGGTCTCCACAGTGTTCAAGCAATGTGGGATTTTGAGAGCGCCCTGTGGCAGCTGTGGGGCCAGGGCCATTATCGAACTGGTGCCGTCTTGCGGGGAGGGGGCTGAAGAGGGCCCCTCCTTCCTTGCTAAAGAGGCTCTTTGCCTTGACAGGCCCTGGAACTGGACCTGCCCCATGTTCGAAGTGAGCCGGACGACCTGGGCCTGTAACCTGGTCCTCGGATCCCCAACTGTAAGCCTGCTGGCGGGGGGAGGGGGAAAGGCCTCCCTTCTGCTCCAGGCTGTGGTCTAGGGTGGGAGAGGGGGCCCCGGGGGAGGAGCCAGTGGTCTGGAGCCAGGTGAGGGTGTGAGGATGCTGCCCTGCTGCCCCTCGAAGGCACTGGAGGGCACTGGGAATGCCCAGGCCATGTTTGCCAGCCATTGCCAGGTTTTCCATATAGTGAGGGGGGTCTGGGGTGACAGTGTGGCAGCAACCAGGTGCTGTGTCCCCCACCCCCAGGAGTCGGTAGGGGGCCTGGCTCCACCAAATCCTAGCTGTGTGGCCTTAGGCAAGTCCCTAAGTCTCTGTGCTTCAGTCTGACCTGCAGGAGGGAGCAGCGATGGCACCCATCTCAGAGGGCCCTGAGGAAATTAAATGGGATAAAACGTGCTCGTGGGAGCACATTACTGGCACCATCTTTGTGACAATGGTCATGCGATGATTATCTGGGGGAAGTCTGGTTCCCACAACTGCTGTAAGAAGGTGGTGGGGTCCTGGGGTGCAGGGCTGAGCAGCTGAGAGGATGCTGGTGGTCAGGGCCACTGTTTGCTCAGAGAGGTCAGTGGACTGAGTCTGGAGGCTTGAACCCCAAACCACCACCCCAGGCTGGGCCAAGCACGGGTCCCAGCAGGGCCTGCCCCGAGCGTGAGGCCTGCAGGGCGGGGAGGCCCTCACTCGACAGCACGGGGTGGGAAGATGGCCATTCTCATGGCTGTGGTCACTCTGTGGGCTGAGGACGCGGAGGCCTGTGCACGGCCTGAGCTCCCCGCTGACCAGCTACGTGGTCTGGAGTGCATCTCTCAAGTGGCCCCAGCCTCAGGCTCCTCACCACATTGTCAGGAGGGACCTGGTGGTCTCGGACCAGGATCTAAAAATGCAATGAATGTTTAAATTTATAAACTTACCACAGTGAAAGACACATTGGCCCGGATCTCCCTGGGAACACTTCCCTTTCCTCGGAACGGACTCCCCCCATCCCTCTGCGCTTTCTGAAGCAGTTCCCGAAGTCCTCTTCCCTGAGGCTTTCAGGGCTCCTCCTGTGTCCTGAACTGATCCCGGCAGTTTCTGCCTGTGGCACACATTATGGTGTGCCTCACCCACCTCACGGAGTGCAGTGGGCCGCATTCGATGTCTGGTTCTCCCTTAAAATCAAAACGACCACGAGAGGTCAAGGTTTTGAATGAATTCAGTACATGGAGGCAGCCAGGGCAGTGCAGCTCAAGACCTGAGAGAAGACTTTCAGACCTGCCCTGGGAAGTATCAAGAACCCCGGATGACTGTCCGGGGAAGTATTTAGAGGAGGGGTGTTGACAAGGTATTTTTTACTGTAATAATTTTTTTAACATGCACATACACACACGCACGCATACTATATATATATATATATATATATATATATATATATATATACACAATTTAAATCAGATCTAAGTAGCTGAGGTGTCTGAGCGGCAGCACACAGGAGGTGCTCAGTACCTGGCCGTTTCACTTCAGGAAAGATCGGGGTGGGGACAGCTGTTTAACCCTCCCCCCCTTATCTGGGGGCTTTCTCAGGGCTTGCTGCTTGCACGCCTCGGAGCTGGCCTCCTTCCTGCGTTAAATCAGGGGTCGGCAAACTGTCACAGTCTGCACCAAAGCCGACCCACTACCTGTTTGTGCGTCTCACTGAGCCGTGGCCCTGCAATGCAGTCACTGAGCCATGGCCCTGCCACCCAGATCCAGCCGCATGCCACCCGGGACGGCTTCACAGCGGCCGAGTTAGTGGCAGAGGCAAAGGCCATGCGGCCTGACAGCCAGAGCCGTCGGCCGTCGTGGAAAATGGTGGCTGTCCCTGCTGCTGTCCTGCTGTGTCCCCACCCTCCCGACCTCTGCACCCCGGTGGGGCGGCAGCTCCACGCGGCCTCTCTCTCCTCCTGCAGTCTCAGCCGCTGACCTCGCAGGACGTCATCACTGCCCGCGTGATGTGCTGGGAAGGTGGACAGTGGCGGATGGTGCTGACCAAGGTCTTCCAGCCTTTCGAGTACCGTGAGTGAGGAACCGGGGTGGGGATGGGCTTCCTCCCGGCCTCGGCCGGAGACCGCGTCTGCCGTCCAGGCCTCTGCGCCTGCGCACGTGCTGGCCCCCTCCTGGAAGGCCTTTCCGCGAGCAGCTCCTGCCGTCCTTCCAGCCAGCAAGAAGAGTCCCCTCCTCTAGGAGGGCTTTCCAGATTCCCCCCAGCTCTCCGCACCCTGCTTGCAGACGGTTTATGTCTGGTTCTCACTGCCTGCTCTGTCTCCCTCCTGGCCTGTGAGCCCCCTGAGGCAGAGTCTCTGTGGCCCCTCTGCCTCCTTTCTGAGCACCCAGCATACCCTGCTCAGGATGGTGCTCGAGGAGGGTTGTCGAATGACTGAGTGTCTTCTCTGTTCCCCCAACTTTGGGGGCCATGGTTAGGGAAGACGTACGGTAGGAAGTGAGATCCCTGCCCTGATCTCGTGTGATCTGAGCCTCAGTCTCCTCATCTGTAAAATGGGGACAATCAGTTCCTGGGGGTCATGAAAGAATCTTTGGGCCGAATGAAGAAACTTCTTGGCATGTAGACTTTCACGTATGTTATATGCGTGCTTTCTCCGTATCTTCCCCTCTCAGAGATTAGGTCCACTGAGCACGTCCCTGCCTGCAGGGGGCTCCAGGTAGGCAGGACAGGCGGATCCTGAGCTAGAAATGGAAAGGAAACTAGAGGATGTGACAGGGCTGGGCTTGGGAATCAGAGCCGGCTCCTCTGAATGGTGGCCCCAGATAGGAACCTGGAGGAAGACGGGGAGGGCCTGAGGACCTGGGTGCTCAGAGACCGCTCATCCTCCTCTTTCTCCTGTCTGCAGTCCGCCTGGTGGCTCCCACCTCCCTCCAGGTCACCTTCGTGGACACCAACAGATGCAATGTCACCTGGCACCTCACCCAGATCTCCCACTACATCGACTCCTACTTGGAGTTTGAGGCTCGGACACGGTCTCCGGGCCACAGCTGGGAGGTGAGACCTGATCCGCCCTCTCCCCATCCTGACTGGGGCCGCGTGTCCTGAATGTGTCCAAATGTCTGTCGGCTTCTATCTTAGCGAGGTCCCACGCAACCCGGCACTCAGTGGGTGGCAGAGCCACCCTGGTCACTCATTCTGTCCTACCAGGCACTGTCCTGGAAGCCTGAAGACACAGCCAATTTCAGGCTGACTGCAGGGCCAGACTCCCAAAGATGAGAGGCAGCTGCGGCCTCCCTGTGAGAAACCCCCGGCCCCGTCCCTGGGGAAAGGTGGCCCCTTTGATCACTTGATGGCTCCTGTATTCCTGGGTCGCCCTTGCACACTTACTTACTGAGCACCTACTATGTGCTGGGCAGGAGGAGAAAATACAAAGTGAGGCTGTGGAGCTGGGGCCTCACGTGGGCACAGCAGGGGACCATCAGTGGGGGGCATGGCTGTGGTGGGCACAGCGGAGACAGCTCAGCAGAATGAAGGAGCTGTGTGGCTGGGCAGCAGCGTGGCTGTGGGTGGGGGAAAGGTGGCACAGTCCTCCTTGTGGCATCTAGTAGGCAGGGGACCCTGTGGGACAGCTGGTCAACCTGCAGAGGCGTTTGCTCAGGTGTGGGGCTTACAGCAGGGCAGGGCGGGGCCAGTCCTGGGCCAGTCTGGTCTGGCACGGGGGAGATCAGACAAGGAGTGGGAGAGGGGAGGCCATATGGGAGGTGGCGGGCAGGGGACCTCTCAGTGTGACTGTCCTGCCCCGGCCCTGTCCCAGGAGGCCACCCCGTTGAGTCTCAAGCAGAGGCAGCAGTGGATCTTCCTGGAGAAGCTGGTGCCGGACACTCCGTATGAGCTGCAGGTGCGGGCCCGGGTCCAGAGAGGCCAGCACAGCACGTGGAGCCCCTGGAGCCAGGCCCTGGCCTTCAGGACCAGGCCTGCAGGTACTGCGGCACAGGGAGGGGTGTGTGTGTGCAGACTTCTGCTCCCGTCCCCCATCCCTTATACCAGACAGCAGCACAGGGCCACTGGTGGGTCACAGCCAGGCCTGCTAGGGAGCAGATACTCCTCATCCGTCACCTGTGGAGTCCTCCTTGCGGTGCTCAGAGCAAGCGAGGGGCAGAGTCTGGGCTAAAGAGCGTCTGTGCAGAGCCGGTCACTCCCGGAATGTCAGCTTCGTCCCTCTCTGCTTCCTCCTCCTCTGTTTGGCCTCCTGGCCACTAACCTCAGGGCCTTTGCACTGAGCTGCACCTGCAGCCCTGTTCGGGGACAAGTGTCCTCTAAATTGCTAAATCACCCAGGCTGGACTGGAGCCTCAGTTCTCTGCCTCAGTCTCCCAGAGGGCCGGGATTGTAGGCGGGTTCCAGCCTCATGCCCGGCTACTTGGCGTCTTTCCCTTAAGCATCACCTCTGGCCTCCTGGGGAGGATGGGCCTCAGCAGGGCCCCGCCCCAGGCCCCAGTACAGCGCCTGGCAAGATGTGGGCAGGTGGCAGGTCATGGTGCCAGGTGCAGGGGGGGCAGTTGACGGGTGGCTCTCTGACGCTCTCCTTGCTTCTCCCCTCCGCCGACAGCCCCCCGGAAGGAGCCCCTGCCCTTCGCTTGGGTCCTCGGCCCTGCCCTGGGCCTCGGGCTGGCCTGCGGTGTCATCATCTCTGTGTTCTTCTTGGTCAACGGCAACTGCCTCCGGCCTTGGTAAGAATCCGTCTCCTCCCCGTCCCGGCAGCCCGCAGCCTTGTTCCCAAGCAGGGGGGGTCCTCTCCTCTCTGCCCCCCAAAGCCTGCTTCCCTCCACCTCCCCTCTTTGCTCTCCTTTGATCCACTCCCATCACACCTGGGGTACGCTGACCCTCCGTCCAGCACCTCTGGTAGCTATTTGGAAACTTTTTGCGAATCAGGAACAGGTAGACTTTTCTCCAGGCAAATGCATATTGGCCCTGGGCATTCAGCTAGGCAAAGCAGAACCTGCGCTGGGATTCAGCCCCTCCTCATTCCCCTCCTCAAACTCGGAAGCCCTGGGGCAGTGCACAACCTGAACCTCCATCCATGGCAGCCTTGATTAGGAGGCTTCTCCTCTGTCTCCCTCTTTATGGCTCACTCTGCTCCAGCCACCTCCAGCCCTGACCGCTCGGGCGTGTGTGGTCTCCCTGCCCTACTCCTACATTCTTCTCTTGGGTGCTCTCTGCTCTGTGTCTCCACAAAATATTACGCAGTTCACTTGTGTCTGCCTTCTCATTAGGAGTAGAGAGCGGCCACTTCCTGGCCCTTCTTTCTTGTTATTGGTTTTTGTTTTGTATTTCTGAAATGGTGTCTCTCTAAGTTGCCCTGACTGGCCTGAACTTGCAATCCTCCTGCCTCAGCATCCTGAGTAGCTGGCATTATGCTTGGCTCTGTGCCCAAGCCCTCAGGGGCTGGGCTGGCACAGGGCCCCACCTGCTCCCCGTCTCACACCCGCTCCTACCCTCCCGTACAGGCTGAAGAAAGTTCTGAAGTGTCACATCCCAGACCCCTCGGAGTTCTTCCCTCAGCTAAACTCCGAGTACGGAGGGGATTTCCAGGTAGGAGCTTGTGGCTGGCAGGGCGGGTGGGCTGAGCCTGGGATGGCAGGACACGGGCATAGCAGTAGTGGCTTTTGCAGTGGGCCAGTCTGCCCGGGGTCTGCCCTTTCCTGGCTGTGTGACTTCAGAACCCCTCTGGGCCTGACTTTTGTCCCCTGTGAAATGTGGAGAAAATAGTGTCACTGTGTGTGCTGCTCTGGGAGCACTGGCTAGCAGGGACCCAGTGGGGGTCGGTAACCACAGGCGCTGAGGAGTCCTCGGTCACCTGGAGTCCCCAGCATGCGCTTGGCTTGCGAGTGCAGGTCCACCCCGCAGCGACCTGGGAGTCACTGCACAGCTCCATGGCCTGCCCTCCCCCAGCGCCACCTGCTGAGGGCTGGAAATTTCAAGAGGCAGCGGTGGGAGGGGCCCTGAGATTGGAAGGGGCCAAGTCTTCCCGGGGTACCCTGGGCTGGCTGCGTTGGAAATGCAGTGGCAGGGCTCCCTCCACAAGGGCCGGCTGAGTCCAGACTGGGTACCTCGCCGGCCCTCTTCCAGCTCAGTGTCCTGACTGCAAGCCTGGGACACAATGCTGGGGGAGTGGGGTCCTGCCTGGGGCTGTGGAGATCTCGCCACCCTTGGCTCTGGCTTCCTGCCTCAGGCTCAGTATGGGGTGGTGGCTCCTCCGGACACAGGAGGTGCTGGCCAGCAGGGACCAGCCATCAGCAGGTAGATGGGAGCCCTGGTCTTAACCCTGTCCTCTCCAGAGCCTGGCACCAATGCCACAGGGCTGAGCCTGGCCCGAGGATCCGCAAGCATACATACAAGTGTGAACATGTGTGCACATGTGTGTGTGCGTGCAAGTGTGCATGTGTGAAGTCACTCTGGAGGGGAGAGCCAGGAAGAGCTGCTACACTCACTTACCTGGACGCGGCTGGCCCACTGCTAGGGCTCCTGGGACAGCAGACGCTGGCCTCTCCAGCACCGGGCCTGGGTCCCCGCCCGCACCCCAGAGCCTCCTTCCCCCCATGTCTGCTCAACAGCCTCCTCCCGGGGGAGGGGAGTCTCCCTGCTGACCCAACCGATGACAGTGAGGGAGTTGAAAGGAAGTGGCCAACGCTCGTGGAAACTGAGGCTCGGAGAGGGTGGCCTGCCCAGGGCCACGTGGCTGGAGGGCGCCATGGCTGGGCTGGAACTTGGGTTCCCTTACTCCTCGCCAGGGCTGGGTGAAATCCTGGTCACCACAGCATGTGCCCTGGGCACTGTTCTCTCTGGGTGAGGGTGAGGGGCTGCCAGGTGTGGGTACCCCGGTGCACTCACCCCCCCCCCAGCACTGGCCATCACAGACCTGGGCGTGTCCCTTTCTGGCGTCCATACAGTGAGCAGGATGGGTGCATAGGGCTCCCGCCTTGGCACTGCTTGGTGGGTGCAGGCAGATGCCTGCCGTGTCCCTTTTGGGCATCCTGGTGATGCTGTCCTCCGCCCTGGCCCTGCACCTGGGGCAGCGGGTGCTCGGGGACAGTCATGCTCCTCCCTTGTACTTGTGTGAGCCTGCACTGAGCTCTGTGACAGAGGCGCATGGGGACCAGGCTGGGGACTTCCCAGCAGGGACGCTGGCACCTGCTGAAGTTCTGAGGGGCGGGCAGGGAGACACTGCTGACCTCTGCCGGCCTCTCTCCTGCAGAAGTGGCTGTCCTCGCCCTTCCCCTCGTCCTCCTTCAGTCCGGGAGCCCCTGCGCCCGAGATCTCCCCGCTGGAAGTACTGGACAAGGACACCAAGGCCGCGCAGCTGCTCCTGCTGCAGCAGGACAAGGCGCCCCTGCCCTCGCCTTCCCCCAGTGGCCACTCGCAGACCAGCTGCTTCACCAACCAGGGCTACTTCTTCTTCCACCTCCCGGATGCCCTGGAGATCGAGGCCTGCCAGGTGTACTTCACCTACGACCCGTGTGCTGAGGTGGAGCCCGAGGAGGGTGCGCCCCCAGGGTCCCCCCGCGCACCCCTGCTGCCCCTGCCGAAGGAAGACGATGCCTACTGTACTTTCCCCCCCGGGGAGGACCTGCTGCTCTTCTCCTCCAGTCTCCACGGTGGCCCAAGCACCCCCCACATTGTCCCTGGGGCTGCTGGGACCAGTGAAGAGAGGCTGTGCCTCTCCCTACAGGAGGGTGCTCCTCAGGACTTGGGTCCCCCACCCACGATGTCCCCTATGCCTGCAGTCCCTGACCCAGTGGGTTTCCAGTCACCCCTGGAGCAGGCACCGGGGGTGACTGGGGAGGAGGTCCCTCCCCCAGGGCCTGAGGATGGGGCTGATTCCCCGGAACAGGGCCAGGACCAGGACCAGGGTCAGGGCCAGAGCCAGGACCAAGGCCAGGGCCAGGGCCAGGGCCAGGGCAGGGCTGCTCCCTTTTCCTGCGCCGACACTGACGTTTACCTGTCCCTCCAAGAACTCCAGGCTCAGGATCCAGCTCACCTGGTGTAGACAGCAGGAGGCTGCCTGCTGCTGTGCCAGGCCCAAGGGGTGCCCCAAGGGCAGTGCAGTGCCGAGGACAACTCCACCCAGATGCCCCCACCCACTTTCAATCCTCAGCGGCCGCTCCATGGCTGCCCAAATGCCAGGGCAGGGATGGGAATGGGAGGCTGACCCTGCTGTCTGTCATCACTGAGTCCCTGGAGTTTTGTCTCCGAGGCATCCTCCCCGCTCCCCTCCCAGCCCGCAGTCACCTGCGGACCCGGACACCATCATCCCCACTCCCCTCTGGGCTTCCTCCTCAGGCCACTGGAGTGCGCCTTCCACAGGGAAATGCGGGTGTAAATACGGCTGGCCCCTCACCTGCTCCACATGGCGTGGCTCCCTGGGCCTCCGCAGCACCCTTAGCCTTCTGAGACCCTCACAAGTGGCCTCTCCAAGTCTCTCCACACTGCCTTCTACCCTGAACTTTGTGTGTGCTGTTGCCTGTACCCGGAGCACCCATGCCACCTCTAGATGACAATCGGCCCTCAACCTTCACACACCAGGCCTGCTTCCGCCAAGGAAAACACTGCTGGATTCAGTGCTGCGAGGGGACACCACCCATGCCACAGGTGGTGGAGAGGGGGTCCCTCTACCTAGGAACAGAAAGAAGTCCCTATGGCGGTAACCCTTCTGGAGCTTTCCATGGTGGTCTCGCAGATTCACAAGGGTAAACCTGGAAGTCCTGCAGCCTCGTGCCTCCAGCAAGGGGTCCCCACGCCAGGCAACTTTCACCTGATAGCTCTTGCTCTTATGAATCCCCTGGACTGCCTGCACACAGGCCAGCAAGAGGCCGATCGCATTCAGTGTCCCCTTCCTATAATGATCACCGGCCTGCACTAAAGCCAGAAATACTCCCAATCCCAGACGAATGGTTTGGGAGCAGCAGGGCCTGTATTTATAGGTCCTTCTTGCAGCTGATTGGGCATGTGACCACAAGCCCACCCATAGGCTGACTAGCAGCCTATAAGAAAGCTTGGTACAGAAACTCAGTCCAAACAGGAGGGCTAGACATGAGCTAGCCAATCAGAGGATCTCTTGGGCTCAGCCAATTAATCCTGGGGGTGGGGGAGCAGGCGTTTGGGCCAGAGCTTCCAGAATCTGGGTGAGATATGCTGAGCTGCTGGAACAGAGGATGTGGGAGTCCTGACACAGGAATTCCCACTGTCTGTATTATTTTTTATCCTGATCCCTGTCATTTTTATATTCAAAATAAACTTTTTCTGGAGGTTGGGTGAGCCTTGGGTCTTTATTATAGACAGAGCTTGCTGACTAGGCAGCCATCCTCCTACCTCCTGATGTAGCAGTTTTGCGCGCCCCAGGCCACAGGCCTTGTCAGCCCGCCTGGTGGGTCACATCAGAGCTGGGCCACACCTTTGCTTGTTTCCGAGCCCAAGAGGACAGACCTCTCTGTGTTCAGTTTCCTTGTCTCCAAAATGGAGATAATAATCACTCCATTGCTTTGAAAAGTTCCTGGGCGTGTTATATTTCTCGAGTCTTGAGGACAGATGCATCTCTGTGTATTATCATTGTTATGATTTTCTTAATATTTTTTTAAAAAATCGATTCACTTTTAAAGAATATATTTAAAGAAAAATCTTTTTCAAAAAAGAATGTTGGCAGTGCTGGGAATTAAACCTGAGACTTCTACATCGAGCTACATCCCCAGGCTTGTTATTTTTTATTTGGAGTCAGGGTCTCAGCAAGTTGCCCAGGCAGGGCTCACACCCGTGATCCTCCTGCCTTAGCCTCCTGGAGTGTAGGGATACAGGTGTGCACCACATTTCCAGGCTAAGAAAAATCTTTATAGTGTTCTGTGAGTGGAAAAATTGATTTTCACTATAAATAAAAGGCAATTGTAAAAGGTACATACAACGAAGCAAAACATTTGTATTAATTGCGCAGGGGAAATCTATTGTCTGTTGGTCTAGAGAGGAGATTAGCAGGTACTGGAGAATTATTGAAAACCAAATGGATACTTTGAGCTGGAGAGCAAACAAAATTATAAAGGGAATATCTTTCTCTTCTAGGAAGTCAGGCTGATCTTATTTGGTGTCTTGGAACTAACATCTGTCATACACCTCATAGATCTGTCGTTGGGAAATACTGATACCTACCTGTCTCTCTACCTATCATGTTTTTTCAGTGTCCAAAAAAATGGTGACCCAGACCATGCATAACAATTCCTGGCATTCATAAATCTGGAGCCACGCAGACATTGCTAATTGATTGCACCTATGCACAGCAGACATACCTAATCGATGATGGCCTGCCTTCCTGCAGAGCCTGGGTGCAGCTTCAGCTGATCACAGCTGGTACCCGGTGACATCTGGGAACCACACAACCTCTCAGGTTTCTTTTGCAAGAGGAGCTCTTAATTTTCCCAACTCCAGTTTTCCAGACAGGGAGAAGTGGGGCTGAAACTCTGGGGTCTGGAAAGCTGAGAGGGGTCTGGAGTGGGCAGGTCCAGGGAGCCAAAACGGAGATTGCTGGGGAGGTGAAGGAACCATCCAACTACACCAAGGAGAAATGTGAGCGCTGGACCACCCCGCAGCCCCCAGATCTGTGCCTGCCTCCTGCTTCCCTCTGCACCTGACGGGTCTCCGGGGCCCAGCTGAGCTGAGCCTGCTCCCCAGCTGGCGCCTTCACCCCACCCTGCCAGCTGCTCCTCCTCAGCCCCTCCCCAGGATGCCACCTCCCCCTGGTGTAAGGTGGCCCATCCCCCACTCCCTGCAGCTCAGGCCTCTCGCCAGGTGACAGCTGGGCTCCCTGGACCTGCCCACTCCAGACCCCTCTCGGCTGTGACATGAGGCTGGAACCACAAGTTTCACATCAAGAATTGGGAGCTGGGGTTGGAGGTGAGCTGAGAGCAAGGATCACAACTGACTCATTGCTTTAGCACTGCTGATTCGTGGGCTACAAGTAGTCCTGCACCCCAACAATGCACTTCTGAACTCCTATACATCCCTTAGAGCCCTACTGGATGGAGCATCCCCACTTCTGGAAGACCCTCTGATTTGCCTCATGTAGTGTTGATTACTCCTCCTTCTGTCCCTCTCCTGAGCTACCTCTGTTGTTATAATGATCTCTCATGCTTCGGGTCAGACTCAGGGCAGATGCTAAGGGTACAGGGGTAATAACGATAGCACTCTGGTAGGCTGGAGCAGGAGGATTGCAAGTTTGAGCCCGGCCTGGCCAACTCAGTGACTTAGTGAGGCTTAGTGTAAAAATTGAAATAGGCAGGGCTCGTCTGGGCATGTAGCTCAGTGTGAAGACCCCAAGTTCAATCCCCAGATCTACCAAAGAAGAAGAAGGAGAAAGAAAAAGAGGAGGAGTAGAAGCAGAAGGAAGAGGGAGGAGGAAGAGGTGGAGGAGGGGGAGGAGGAGGGGGAGGAGGTGGAGGAGGAAGAGGTGGAGGAGGAGGAGGTGGAGGAGGAGGAGGAGAGGAATGCACATTGCATAGGCGCGTTGGAATTGGACTCTACTCGGAGCTTTGCGTTACTAACTGGCTTGCTCCGTGTGGCAGTGCTGAGGAAGGGGCGTCTCTCGCCCTGTTTGTTGCTTGACTGATTCAAAGTGGGCAGGCGACCTGCACCAGGCCCCACAGTGAGGACAGGGCGGAGCCAGGGTGTGAAGCCAGCGACCCCAGCGCTCACAGCCCAGCTCACCCTCCTCCAGCTTCTGACCACCTCACAGTGACCCGGCGGGACAGGGCTGACAGCCTCAAGGACAGGCTGGTGTCTCAGCCCAGGCAGTAAGCCCCGCAGGGAGAGCCAGGGCTCAGCAGCGGCAAGACAGCCCCGGGGCAGCCCCTTTTCTTTCCACCCCCTAACCCCCGGGAAGTGATGCATCTGGTGCTGGGCCAAGGGAAGTGGGGAGCAGGGCAGGAAACCCAGGCAACGCGAGGCAGTGCAGGCTGCGGGGTGACTCCCAGCGAGATTCCAGGAAGCCAGGATGCAGGCGGGAGCGGAGCGCAGGGTGGCTGAGTGCGTGTGCGGGGAGGCAGGGACTGCGGAGGGCGCAGACTCCAGGAGGAAAACCAAGCAGGGCTCAGCAGCCCAGGCGCTTTTAGGAGCTGGGCTCCCACCTGGGCAGGAGGTAGGATGCTGAGCCTCGAGGCAGCGGGAGGCACAGCAGTGGGCAGCCGTGTGGGGGCAGATGGTGGGGACCACTGTTCCCGGAAGAAACAGGAGTGGTTCATTCGTTCTATTACTCACTACTCACTCAACATACAGTTAAGGAGGCCGGCAGTGTGCAAGGCAGGGAGCTCAGTGGTGAGGATCCAACAGGGGATCCACCCTCCCCCTTCTCCAGGCAGCCTTAGCCCACTTGGGGCAGCATGGTGCAGTGGTTATGGCCCTTGCGTTGGAGCTGGGCAGCCTGGGCTTATTGCTCGCTCTGCCGTCTCCCTGCTGTGACCTTGGCAAGTGCCCGACTTTCTCCTGCCTCAGTGGCAGGGATGCCAGGATGCATGAGGATGAGAGGCCCAAGTGCCCATGCCCAGCAGAGCAGGCTGCAAGGGGACACACAGGGACAGGGCGGTGGCCATGTGGCCTGCAGCCTGCAGGAGTGGAAGAGCAGGGCCCCGAGCTGGCATCTGCAGTGGACTCTGCTGTCTTAGAGCTGCTGTTTTGGGGGAAGGGGCTACCTGGACCCCGCTGCAGGCCAAGCTCCTGTTAAGTCCTCCTTTCCAACCTCATACTTGGTCTCCCCCTGTACCCAGGCGGGTCCCTGGGGTAACGGCGTGGGATTTGACCCCGTTTCTGAAGATGGCATTCCAGCAGGGGTCACACGTGCTAAAGGAAAGCTAAAGTCTTCTTCCTACCCCTGAAGTCCACCCGTGTTAGCTGCCACCAGCCAAGGTCAAGAGCATTGTCCGCTGATCTGTCTGACTTGGCCCCTTTGAGCCTCAGGCTCCCCCCATCTGAAAATGGGATGAGAGGGGTCAGGAATGGTGATCTGTGTCACCTCTGAGTTCTCTGTGGGCTGAGGAGCCTGCTATGTGAGAAGGATGAGGAGGGTCCCCCTCAACTGAAGATCTCCACCAAATTTGCTAACAGGGTCCTCCCCCAACTTCTGCCTTAACTTTTGCTTTTTAATTTTTTAATTTTGAGACAGGATCTCCTTAAGTTACAAAGTTGTCCAGGTTAAGCTTGATTTTGCAATGCCCCTGCCTCAGCCTTCAAGAGTGCTGGGATTGCAGGTGTGTGTTCCTATGCTTGGCTCTGGGGTTAACGTCCCAGGCAAGTTGCTGATACGAGCAACCTAATGTGACCTGTAGGACAGTCACCCTGACGCTCATACCGTGATGCATACATCCTGATGCACTTATTGAACTCCTACTGTGTGCCCTGCACTGCTCAAGCTGGACATTGGATTTGAGGGAGTTGGATGGCTTGGACCAGTCTTGACAGCCTGATAATCCCTTCATATAGGGGCCAGAGCCGGGACCCAGGGCAGGGACAGAACAGGGAGTGACAGAGAGGGAGAGAGAGACAGAGGCAGAGACCACACAGGGTGGCTCTGAAGTCGGAGGGTCCTTGGCCTGAATCCCAGCTCCCAGGCCTTCCTTCCTGTGTGACCCTGAGCAAGTGTTTCTGCCCTTGGCGTCTCTGCTTCTCACCTCTAAAATGGCAGAAACAGGGGTGAGGCCAGGCGTGGGTCTGACCAGGTGTAATGCAGAATCTTAGAGCCGGGAGCCTTTATGGTTCTTGAACATTTTGGCATCAGGGACCAGATCCATGGTAGAAAACTTTTCCAAACAGGGAGGGTGGTGCTTTCAGGGTGATTCAAAGGAGTTCATGACAGAGTTCACACTCTCAGGACAATCAAACACTGCACCGACACACAGGAGTGGTGGTGTGAGTGGAGTGTGAGTGGAGTGTGAGTGGTGGTGTGAGTGGAGTGTGAGTGGTGGTGAGTGCAGTGTGAGTGGAGTGTGAGTGGTGGTGTGAGTGGTGGTGTGAGTGGTGGTGTGAGTGGAGTGTGAGTGGTGGTGTGAGTGGTGGTGTGAGTGGTGGTGTGAGTGGAGTGTGGGTGGTGGTGTGAGTGGTGGTGTGAGTGGAGTGTGAGCGGAGTGTGAGTGGTGGTGAGTGCAGTGTGAGTGGAGTGTGAATGGAGTGTGAGTGGTGGTGTGAGTGGAGTGTGAGTGGAGTGTGAGTGGTGGTGAGTGCAGTGTGAGTGGAGTGTGAGTGGAGTGTGAGTGGTGGTGTGAGTGGAGTGTGAGTGGAGTGTGAGTGGTGGTGTGAGTGGAGTGTGAGCGGAGTGTGAGTGGAGTGTGAGTGGTGGTGAGTGCAGTGTGAGTGGAGTGTGAGCGGAGTGTGAGCGGAGTGTGAGTGGAGTGTGAGTGGAGTGTGAGTGGTGGTGAGTGCAGTGTGAGTGGAGTGTGAGTGGTGGTGTGAGTGGTGGTGTGAGTGGTGGTGTGAGTGGAGTGTGGGTGGTGGTGTGAGTGGTGGTGTGAGTGGAGTGTGAGTGGTGGTGTGAGTGGTGGTGTGAGTGGTGGTGTGAGTGGAGTGTGGGTGGTGGTGTGAGTGGTGGTGTGAGTGGAGTGTGAGCGGAGTGTGAGTGGTGGTGAGTGCAGTGTGAGTGGAGTGTGAGTGGAGTGTGAGTGGTGGTGTGAGTGGAGTGTGAGCGGAGTGTGAGTGGTGGTGAGTGCAGTGTGAGTGGAGTGTGAGTGGAGTGTGAGTGGTGGTGTGAGTGGAGTGTGAGTGGAGTGTGAGTGGTGGTGTGAGTGGAGTGTGAGCGGAGTGTGAGTGGAGTGTGAGTGGTGGTGAGTGCAGTGTGAGTGGAGTGTGAGTGGAGTGTGAGCGGAGTGTGAGCGGAGTGTGAGTGGAGTGTGAGTGGTGGTGAGTGCAGTGTGAGTGGAGTGTGAGTGGTGGTGTGAGTGGTGGTGTGAGTGGAGTGTGAGTGGTGGTGTGAGTGGAGTGTGAGTGGAGTGTGAGCGGAGTGTGAGTGGTGGTGAGTGCAGTGTGAGTGGAGTGTGAGTGGAGTGTGAGTGGTGGTGTGAGTGGAGTGTGAGTGGAGTGTGAGTGGTGGTGTGAGTGGAGTGTGAGCGGAGTGTGAGTGGAGTGTGAGTGGTGGTGAGTGCAGTGTGAGTGGAGTGTGAGCGGAGTGTGAGCGGAGTGTGAGTGCAGGTGTGAGTGGAGTGTGAGTGGAGTGTGAGTGGAGTGTGAGGGCAGGTGTGAGTGGAGTGTGAGTGGAGTGTGAGTGGAGTGTGAGTGGAGTGTGAGTGCAGGTGTGAGTGCAGGTGTGAGTGGAGTGTGAGTGGTGGTGAGTGCAGTGTGAGTGGAGTGTGAGTGGAGTGTGAGTGGTGGTGTGAGTGGTGGTGTGAGTGGAGTGTGAGTGGAGTGTGAGTGGTGGTGTGAGTGGTGGTGTGAGTGGAGTGTGAGTGGAGTGTGAGTGGAGTGTGAGTGGTGGTGTGAGTGGGGTGTGAGTGGTGGTGTGAGTGGTGGTGTGAGTGGTGGTGTGAGTGGAGTGTGAGTGGTGGTGTGAGTGGTGGTGTGAGTGGAGTGTGAGTGGAGTGTGAGTGGAGTGTGAGTGGTGGTGTGAGTGGAGTGTGAGTGGAGTGTGAGTGGTGGTGTGAGTGGTGGTGTGAGTGGTGGTGTGAGTGGAGTGTGAGTGGTGGTGTGAGTGGTGGTGTGAGTGGTGGTGTGAGTGGTGGTGTGAGTGGAGTGTGAGTGGAGTGTGAGTGGTGGTGTGAGTGGTGGTGTGAGTGGAGTGTGAGTGGAGTGTGAGCGGAGTGTGAGTGGAGTGTGAGTGGTGGTGAGTGCAGTGTGAGTGGAGTGTGAGCGGAGTGTGAGCGGAGTGTGAGTGGAGTGTGAGTGGTGGTGAGTGCAGTGTGAGTGGTATTGTGAGCAAAGGTTAGTGAGCGGTGGCTGGGTACAAAGGTGGCTCTTTGCTTGCCTGTCCGTCCCCTGCAGGGCCCCTGGCCTCGAGGCCCGGAGAGCCTTAGGGACCTTGAGTCCCTGAACGGATGGAAGAAAACGGAGCCGCCACATGGGCTCCCCTTGAGGTCTCATACTTGGATGTTTCCTCTCTTATCTGTCTCTCTGTCTGTGTCTGTCTGTCTATCTCTTTCTGTCTCCCCCGACCCCCGGGAAGGCTGTTCCCAGGGACATTCTGCCACACCTCATGTGCTGAGGATTCTGAGCTTTGGTGCACACCGTCCTCTGGAGACCTGCTAACACTGTGATCTCAGCTTTCCTCCTAAGAATGATTTCCTGCTCCACCACCACAGGCCGCAGGGCCCGGGCTAGGTCTCCTTCTCCCATCGGAGCCTCAGGCTCATCTTTTGCTAAGGGGGACATGTATTTCCCCCCCTCCAAACCTGGCTTATAGTGTCACATAGCCAACTGGAGGGCCAGCTCACGAGGGCCTGCTTTGATACCATGCAAGGAGTTGAGGAATAGTCATTTGCTCACCTGTCCAAGATGAATTCCTGCCAGAGGCGGTGCTGCATGCAAGATCTGGGGTATAGCTCAGGATAGAGGTCCTGGGTTCAATCCCCAGTACTAAAAAAAAAAGGAGAGAGAGAGCTTTTGAGCCTCTCCAAGTGACAGAGTGCGTGCCAGCGGGTTCCTTCCCTGGAGGAACCGAGCAGACACAGCCAGAGGCAGCGCCCAGCACTCGCCTGATGTCAGCTCCCCGAGTGCCCTGTGCATTTGCTGTGACCAAGCTCATGGCACAAGCACAAGCGGCTGAGATGCGTGGCCTCTCGGGTCTGCAGGCTCCTTGTTGGGATTGAGCTGTCCTCACGGCAGGGTCCAGGGGGCTCAAGGGGCCCCGCCTCGCCTCTGGTACTGGTTGGTTTGTTGCCACCTGACTGCGCTTCCATCCTCCAGTTGGTCTCCTGAATGTGAGTCTGTGTCCCCAGAGCCCCCTTCACACGGTCACCAGTCAGACTGGTGTCAAAGCCGCCTTACATCTTCCTGCCCTCAACATCCCAGCTCGGTGCCCTGTTCCAAGGCCACAGGGAGCAGCCCAGGCAGGGGATGCACCTTGCCTGGTCCCCAACAGGTGGCAGACTGGGATTTCTGGCTCCCCAACCCCAGCTGGATCTTTGTCATCTGAGTGTAGTGGGCACACTCACCCCTATCTGTTCCCGTCCTGCGTGTCGCTTGACCTCTAAGTCACTTGACATGCACCTGGCCTCCAAGTGGCTTTTCTGAGCCTGGGCACCTGGGTGCTGGGGAGGCTGAGGGCCAGCACTAGAGTACAATGCAGATTTGTCCCAATGTCCATGTGAGCGGGGGCACGAGTGTCCAGACCATGTGCTCAGCCTTGCGGCAGCAGGAAGCCACTTCCCATAGTGTCCGGTGCCTCCTGCAGTGGCCCCTGCTGTCCTCTGGGGCCAGTCCCTCCCCCAGACTTGGCTGATCAATAGCAGGGTGTCAGGGACAGAGGGCATAGTTGTGCAATATCTGCATCAGGCTGTCCAGCTGCTGGCCTGTCTGGGCTAGGCTGGGCCGGGGCCACCTGACCTTCCAGAGGGCGGGAAGGGCGCAGAGGCAGGGCTCAGGCTGTCACTGTCTCCGCATTCCAAGATCTTATTCCTCAGAGAGCTTTCGAGCCCGGGGCCCAGGGAGAGAGGAGGAGGCAGGCAGGGGTCCTGGGGCCTGAGAGGGCAGAGTGGGGAGAGTCAGGATCGGGTCATGGGGGGCACAGCTCTGAGGAGGAGCACAGCTCTGAGAGGCACCCACCCCAGCCTAACCATCTGGCCCCCAGACCCAGGCCTCCCCATCCCTCTCCTTGGTCCTTCCAGAGACCCTGAGGCCTGCATCTGATGGGTGAGGACCAGGAAGCAGAGCCGGCTCCGCAGGTCTAGCGCCAGGTGGCCTCATCGCGAGGTGCAGTCACCCACGTGCTCCACACTCCATGACATGCACATTGCTGTCCTCACGCAGCTCACACCACACACACTGCATATGCTGCATGCCCTGCACACATCTCTGCCCCTGCACACCTGACACCCTACACACACACTCCATGCTCCCCTCTGTGAGCTCAGACACACACTCGCGCGCGCGCACACACACACACACACACACACACCCTGGGACCCACAAGACTCAGACACACGTGCCACACTCTGGCCTCAGGACACACAGGTTGACAGTCACCCCACCCCACGTGACAGACACCCTCATCATGTCACTGACTTGCTGGACACTCAGGGGAGACCCACACCCCACAGCAGTGCTCGTTCCTATAGCCGTAATGTGACAAGCCACAACTGAAACTTAATATAAAAATAATCATGGAGATGGTTCATGCTCTTTGTGCTAAGTCTTAGCAAGCATCAGTCAGCGTCTGGTCCCTGGGACTGGGTTCTGGAGGGGATCTCAGAGGAGGAGAGGTTTAATGCAGCTCACGGTTGCTGAGGTTTTGGTCCATGTCCTGTTGGGTCCAGGGCAGAAACAGCCCGCAGGAGGATGTGGAGGGGGAGCACTGCCCGTTCCCGCAGCCGGGAAGCAGAGGGACCAGAAAGAGTCAGGCAGGAAAGGGTGCGGGCAGGCTAGTCCTCAGGGTCACAGACCCGCAGCCCACTTGGACCCTCCCAGAAGTGTGCTTTGCTGATCTCCTAGGTGTCTCCCACGCCATCAAGTTGACAGCCGAGGTTACTGTCACAGTGTCCTACTCCTGTGAGCCCACGGTCAGCATCGTGGACGGTGGACTTGATAGACCAAGGCGGCCTATAACTTCAATACTGCATTTCCCAGCCGCACTGAAAATGGCATCAAGCCCTGCCCCCACCTCCACCCTCTCCTCTCATCCCTGGAGTGTGCGGGCCCGCCTCCCCCCATTGCTCAGCCAGGGACTCCTGCCTCACCTGTCCAGGTAAGCAGACCCGCGTGAGCTCCTGCTCTACCTGCACGGGCCTCTGTGCAGCCCCTAGTCCTCAGCTCCCCGCTCGTGCTCCTGGGATGGGGGCTGTAACCAGGCAGGGCCGTCACCAGGCGACGGCCCCAGGGGAGAGCTCAGGTCTCCTGCACCTGCCTGCCGGCCTCCTGGATGCCCACGGGGCGGGGCTGGCAGAGTGGGCCGGGCGCTTTCTACCTCCTGTTTATCTGTGCTCAATCCTGGTGCTGTCCTGGACCGGCGAGAGGCCCATGGAGTCCGGGGCCACAGGCCACAGAGGACAAGGGCCAGGCGCCCCAGCCATGGCTCTGGGCCATTGATCCATTGCAGGCCGGCCCGGTGGGGGTGGAGAAACCTTGGCCTGGACGAACAGAGCTCCTGAGGCCTGTGTGGGACCGCCACCCACCCGCCACTCCAGGAGGTAAGCGGGGGACTTGGGAACCAGGGACAGGGACCTATGGATGACGTGGTGTCAGAGTCGTCCCTAACAGCCAAACTGGTGCGTGGGGCTTGAGCTACCTGCCCTGCTTTGAAGCCAGGCCTGCAGGCCTCACTAGCCAGGGAGTGGCCCGTGAGCAGGGGCACTGGTGACACAGCTGGGGCAGGGCAAGCCCAGCCATGTAGAAGGCCCTGGCCCTGGGGGCCACCGTGTCGGTGCCGCGGCCTGGGATTCCAGGGGCAGGGGCAGGGAGAGGCCTGATTCTCCAGCTGAACCCTCTCCCTGCCCTGCAGGCTGCACAGGCCGCCTCCCTCTGGGTCGGGTGGGAGACAGGCCCAGAGCCCACACTGCCTCGTAGTAGATCCCACACTCGACTCCAGCCCGCAGGCTGAGCAGCCTGTGTGCGTGTGCACATCCATGTGTGTGTCATGAGCAGGTGTGTGCGCCTCTCACACCGTGTCCATTTCCGTGCGGGTTTGAGAGCGCATCTGAGAGTGTGCAGGGTTCCACACTTAGGGACCCTTGCTGCACCGTGGGGACTTCCTCAGACTCTGGCGGTCCTGGGTCAGGATTCCTGATGGCCCTGGCTGAGTGCCTTCGTCTACCTCAGTTTCCCCAGTCACTCAATAGAGGCAGCAGAGCTCACAGCCCAGGCTTCCAGGGGAGAAATGCTCCCCAATTTACAGCACTGCTTGGGACGAAGCTGCCGCACAGTTGGGGGTCAGAATTGCATGGCTGGGCCCCAGGGAGCCCAGCGTCCGGTGGGCAGAGCAGGACCTGGCACTGGTCAGGAGGGCAGCAGAGGGTGAGGGGTAGGTCTGGTGGGGTCTGGGGCTCACAGCAGGTGGAAGGTCACCAGGTAACAGGCATCGAGGGCACAGCTGCTGGAGGAGGTGGCATCTGCAGTGAGTGTGGGGAGGCCACGTCTGAACTGGCCGGGCAGGAGGGGGTCTGGACAGAAGGAGGATGGCTGGGAGACCTAGTGACTGTGAACTTCCGCAGCTCCGGGTCCAAGTGACACTGTGTCCAGAGCCGTGTCCACTGTCCACCTCCCTGTTAGATTCATAGCCAACAGGAGGCCAATGGCACAGCCGGAGGAAATGCAGAGGAGAAAGGGGCTGGAGAGGCAGGTGGTGACAGGTGACACATGAGTGTATCATGCAATGTGGGCCTCCAGAAACACTGTAAAGAGAAATGTGACAGAGAGAGGAGGAGGCGAACATTTGAGCAAAGACTTGAGGGAGGCAACCTGAAGGACCAGCATCCCAGGCCAAGGAGTGGTGAGTGCAAAGGCCCTGGGGTGGACGCGTCAGTGGGCAGTGAGGGGTTAGCTGCGGCTGCAGCAGGGAGAGGAAGGGGACAAGAAGACATGCAGGAGCCCTGGACTGTGCTGCAGGTGTGTGTTGGGGGGCCACACAGGGCTCGTGAGCAGGTTTGGGAGAGAGGAAATCACGCTGGTGGCTGTGTGGGAATTCCCTGCTGCAGGTGACTGACTATGGCAGGACTTGAGGTGATAGATAACGTGATGTGGGTAACAGTGGGGGGCATTTTCTGGAGGTTGGTACCCCAGAATTGCAGGAGGGTTGAATAATAGGTGAGGACTGTGTGGGCATCTCCACAGCTGGCCATGGCACTCTCTTCTGTTGACTGAGACCCTCTGGAGGCGGGGAGGGGAATCTATTCACCCCAGCATGGAGCCTGCATCCATGTGGGTGCTAGACCAAAGCAGGGTGACCCTGCCACAGACTCTGGGACTCCGCAGGCCAGCGCATCCCCCAGGTCCCACTTCCTAGAGGCAGCAAAGGCAGAGAAAGCGTTGCTGAGTTCTGGCTACTTTATTCATTCTGCCTGTCCCCCGTTGCTCATTCATGGGACAGGCCCTGCACTGGGGCCCAGAGGACCCCAGAAGTGCACAGACACAGGCTCAGCCTTGTAAAGGGGGACGGAGACAAGGCCCAGAGCCAGGCATAGGGCTGATCTGTCAAAGACTGCTGGGAGCAGAGGTGGCCCAGAGCCCTGGAACCCCTGCCAGCAGGGGGCCTGGAAGAGTCCCCAAGGCCCAGGCAGGTGGCAAGGACCCACCCAGGGTGGTGCGTGCCACAGATGTTGTGGCCCTGAGGGAGGGTGGGCAGCGGTGAGCCCCTGAAGCTCTTGGCACGATTTGGATGGCTGTCACCTGGAGGAGGAGTTGGGGGAGCCAGGGAGTCTCCTAGGAGGCTGAGCCCGAAGTCCAGGGGGGAGGTCTTTTGAGCCCAGGGGTGTTTGTGAGTCCAAGGAGACTGAGGTCCCAGTGGTCTGGAACCCTTGCCCTGTAGGTGCAGGGTGAGGGGCTTCTGTGCTCTGTAGGTGCAGGGTGAGGGGCTTCTGTGCCCTGTAGGGAATCTGCCTGGGAGAGTCTGAAGATAAAACACCAGATGGGGACACGAGGGGTGACATTTGGTAGCCATGGAATGACTTGCTAATTAACAGGGCATTTCTAGGAAGCAGCTCTGAGTAGGGGAAAGAGCAGAGAGATGGACACCCGGACTCAAGCTCCACTTACCTGCTGTGTGACCTCAGGTGAGAGGCTGAGCCTCTCTGGGCTTTAGTTCTTTTTGTCTGTAAAATGCCAGATATTCAAATCACACTGGGAAAAAGGAGCTGGGAAAGAGCTGGAATGAGCTGTGGCTAGGACACCTGGGTCTCAGTTTCCTCCTCCGTCTGGTGGATGCAGGGTGGGGAGAGGTGTTTGGAGCAGTGGCTCAGGGCTGGGGAAGAAGACTGAGAACACCGGGTTTGCAGGGAAGCCATGCGAGGGGACAGGTCCTCGGGGCAGCATCTGGTCCTGCTTTTGCCTGTGATGTTGCCTCTGGGTGGCCGGTGCTGCTGCCTCCGCAGTCCTCTGAGCAGGGAGGCGGTGGCGCACGGTGCTGGGCGCCCAGCTCTGCTGTCCTCGCAGCTGCTCTCTGGCCTGCTGACCTCCCCTAGGAACTGGCTCAGCATCCACCTTCCATCACGGCTACCTGCGGTTGTCCCCGTCCACCCGAAAGATAGGGGCGCTGCTGGTGCTTGGCCGAGGCTCCTTGCAAATGCCAGGCTGTTTCCAGCTCTGCTCTGTCTCCCCTCAGGATGCCCAGGGCCGAGGCCCCCCAGGTCGCTGGCGACCAGGGCGATGGTGAGGAAGCGGAGCCCGAGGGGATTTTCAAGACCTCCAAGAGGAAAGCCCGGGACTGCATGTGCCTAGCACCGCTTTGGCTGACCCTGGTCGTGCTGGCTTCCGTGGGGGTGATGCTCTGGTATTTCCTAGGTAACGCACTTGGGAGAGGCACTGGGGAGGCCAGAAGGTGGCTGTGGGGACCCCAGCGGGACAGCATGCGATTCCAGGCTTGGAGATGCCCGGCCAGTCCCTGTGCAGCTGTGGCAAGGCGTCCCCTCTCCCTGGCCTCCTCCGAGTCCCCTGAGGTGGGCAGCGCTGTCAAACCTGCACTCCCCAGCAGCCAGTCCACAGAACCAGCAAGCCACCAAGCGTAAACATGATTCAGAGCCAGGCGGGCTGTGCCGCGGGAGCCCGAGGCTAAGGTGGTGCCTGCTGCCAATTAGTGGCTCTGCTCACTTGAGCCAGCCTGGTGCCCCAAGGAGGAAACCACAGCTCCATCGCCTCTGGTCTCCAGGGTCCCTTGTGAATGGAGAGCAGCCAGGCTTGGAGGCCTCTGCCTCCCCGATGGCACAGCACAGGGTCAGTCCCTGGAGCAGCTGGGCCAGTGTGCGCCCGTCTCCCACTTGGCCATTGCACAGGTGCTCTGGACATCTACAGGGCGTTTCCCTAAAACTCGGAGATGCCTCTCCCTGCAGCCCTTGAGACTGAAGTGTACTGCGCATGACCAAACTCTCCCTGGGCATCATGGGAGGCCCATTCATTCATTCATTCATTCACCTGGTGCAGTGCCCCTCCTCTGTGCTGGGGTCAGACGCAGTGGTTATAACCCCTCGGGTCCCGGGGTAGGGACACCGAGGGGACTGGCATCCACAGAAGGAACGCCCGGTCTGCCTAGGTGAGGAGAGGCTTCCTGTTAACAGTTTTCAAAGGTCAGATAGGACTTTTTGCTGGTGTTGTTTGTGGTACTGAGGATTGCACCCAGGGCTTTGCACATGCTGGGCAGACTCTGGATCATATTACATTCCCAGATCTTTTAAAAACTTTATTCTGAGACAGGATCTCGCTAAGTTACTGAGGTTGGCCTCAAACTTGTGATCCTTTTGCCTCAGCCTCTGAAGTACCATAATGGATCAGAGATGTGTGTGTTACCGTGTCCTGCTTGTCGGTGTAGGTATATGACTTCATTTGGTGGATTCATCTTTTCTCAGCGCTGGGGATTGGACCTAGGGGGCTCCGTCCCTGAGCACATCCCCAGTCTTTTTTATTTTGACACAGGGTGTCCCTAGGTTGCCCAGGCTGGGCTTAAAATCCTTCTGCCTCAGCTTCCTGAGTGCCTGCAATTGCAGGTACAGGCCCCACACCTGAGTGCTAGACAGGGTCCTTCCCAGCTAAGCCTTGCTCCCGGGGAGATAGATCTGCATAGGTTTAGCTCAGAAGAGGGCTCTGAACCCTGGGATAACGGGGTGGGGATTCCCGGGTTGGACCACTCACAGACTCACAGATGCTGCTCAGATGTCAAGAGAGGATGCGTGTGTGCCTCACACCGGCAGGAAGCCAGCGCCACAAATAGCACGGGGCTGTGAGGCCGTGGAGGCCTCTTCAGGTCGCATGGTAATTAGTCTTCAGGGTAATAGGGGCGCACTGGGCCGCAGGGCCGGGAACTCACCTGCCAACTGCCTTTCTCTGCAGCCCAGATGGGGACGGCACCAGGGTGGGGTGAGCGTCCCCCAGGCTTCCCTGGGTAAAGCCACTACAGAGAGGTTAAGGATGGCGGGGGCTCTCTGGGGGCTGCGTGGGCAGCTCCTCCTGCCAGGTGGGATTGGTGGCATGTACTAGGCACTGGGCTGGCAGACGAGGCAGAGATGCACCACGCCCACCAGGTAGAGGACATGGGCCAGCAGCAGCGTACCGTGGGCCCATGGCACCCCTGAGTGGGAGGGCACACGGCTGGGCACACGGCAGCCAGACCCAGGGCCTGTCCAGGGTGATGGGCCTGTTGCTCTCTGGGGCTCCTGCTGCCCCCTTAGTGCCACCCATTGTGTCTCCCTGGCTCTGCCCTCTCCTGCCCTCCCAGGGGACTTGATGCTTTCTTCCAGCCCGGCCTGCACTCCTGCTCCGTGAGAAATGGAAGGGAAGCCCCTCAGAGCGCCCACCGGCCCTGCACCCTGCCGCACTGTGGGTGCCCTCTCCTGTCCGTCCCTTTCACCCTGCCACAGTGCAGAACACAGTCCCTCTGTCCTCCGGCAGTGCCACCTGCCTGTCCCTGCAGATGCCTCCCTGTCCCTCTGCACCCCTTACAGTCCATGCCACAGCCCCTCAGCCCCCCTCCTCGCCCTGCATCTTTCTGGGGAGCTTTTCCAGCAGGACTGCTCTCTCCCCTCCAACTCCAACGGCTCCCGTCCAGGGCGCCTGCGCTCCCACATGGCTAGACCTGGTGCCCAGCGCTGCACCGACCCCGAGCTCCTGCCCCCTCCTGGAAACCTGTCCGCACGGCTCTGGCCGCCCTTTGCTGCCCCTGAACACTGCCACGAGCCCAAGGCCACCACCTTGTTCCCCGGTGCTCACGTTGCGCCCCATGCAGCTCCTGATTTCACGGCTTTTCTCCCCCTGACACACGCTGTGCTCTGCTGTTCACTGTCATCCTTGCTAGGCCACATAGGCCAAACAGGCTTTGCAGACGGAAAGCTGCTGATGTCAGCTCTGACTCAGGCCTTCCACGGTTTCTTTTGCTCGTCTGTCTGTTGAGGCTCCAGCCTGCCCGCCCCCGCAGCCCGGCTTCTTGTCATCCTTCCCCTTCTCCAACCGCACAGGCTCTTAGTTCTGGTCCTTACCACCGATTCCTCGGCCCCCAGGCCTTTGCACATGCTGTTGGTCCACTGCCCCCCCCCCAATCTCCTCTCCCAACCGGAGTCTCCCAGTCTGGCATCCCAGCCAGCGGGCCCTGTGGCCAGGCCTGTTTCCTGTGTCACAGCCCCTCAGTAGCTCTTGGTGCGTCCAGATATCACTCCACACAGACAGATCCCACGTGTAGTATGGTTGCTAGAGTAACATCTGTCTTGTCCTGTGCTGTCTCCAGCAAGTTTTTCCAGTGCATGTCACAGGGGCACTGGGACAGGGTGATGCCTAGAGGTGCCAGCCTCCAGCCTTGACCTTCTGGGCCCATGTAGACCCCCTTGCCTGGGTGGCATCCACGATCTGCTGTACCAGCCTCTCACTGGGAGCCCCGGGGCCTCCATCTGCGGGCCTTTGTCATCCCTGGCACCGTGGAGCCAGTGTGTCATCAGACAGACTTTGTGGGACCATGGTGGGGTGATGGCAAGGAGCAGGCACCTGACGCCCGCAGGGATAATGCCAATGCTGAGGGTTCGGGTGGCAGGAGCAGGAGGGACACACAGGCAGGGGCCTTTCTGTCTGCTCCCTGGGTCACCCGGTCACTTCCTTCCTGGACAGGGTACAGAACCGAGGTGACGGTCAGCCAGGTGTACGCCGGCAGCCTCCGGGTGCTCAATCGTCACTTCTCTGAGGACCTCGCCCGCCGGGAGTCCAGCATCTTCCGCAGTGAAAGCGCCAAAGCCCAGGGGATGGTAGGGAAGGGCACAGGGTGGAGGAGGGTGAGGAGGGCTCCGATCGAGTCAGGGCAGCGGCCGCTGTCCAGAGCATTTGCTGGGGCATAGTCCCCCCTGGGAACCACAGAGGGGACCCCCTGTTGGGGGATGAGGGTATGTGGCCGGTTCTTAGGTCAAATTTCTTAGGGCTGTGGGTTGGGGATGTGGCTCAGTGGTAGCGACCTTGCCTAGCATTTGTGAGGCCCCGCATCCCACCCCACTATGAGGGCTGGTGGGGATATTAGGCTTGGCACCTGCATCTGCCTCTTACGAGGAGCAGCCCAGGACCTCAGGAAGGCACAGCAGTGCCCTGGACACCATCAAGGTCCCACCCCTACCCAACTGGTGGGCCACATAAACAATTAACAAATTGTTAAACAAATAAACAATTTGCCTTACTTCCTGGCACAAGGCCTGTTTGGGAGGACCCAACCAAGGTTCTCCATTGCGTTTCCTATTGAGGGGGCTGTGGTACCAGGTTGTGGCCCAAAGGTTGCTACCAACTGAGATGACCCACGGAACTTGATTTCCCTGGTCACTGGGGACTCCGGGCCAGTCTGTCCGGTACCTGCTAGAGCTGGCTGCCTGGCTCCAGGTTGCTGGGAGGAGGAGCCCTGGGGTCCTTTGCAGAGTTTCTTGGTGACTTTGGGGCCAGGTCAGAGGGCTCATAGGTGGAGCTGAGAGCTGGGGTGCGGAGGGGCAAAGGTGGCCACTGTGTGCAGTGACCGCCCCCCACCCGAGGCTCTCGCCTCGAATCAAGCTGGGAGGAGCAGAGGCCACAGATCGAAAGGGGCTTCAAAAGCCTGTGTGTCACCAGACGGGAGTCACAGGGCCGTGGTGTCCCTTCTTGCAGCTCAGAGAACTCATCACCAGCACCCGCCTGGGTACTCACTACAACTCCAGCTCGGTCTACGCCTTTGGGTGAGTTGCTCCATCCTCACCCCTAGTAGAACCTCAGACCCCCAACATGGGGAACGTGAGCCTCCGATGCAACAGCCTCCATCTCAGAACGGGGACACCAGGCCACAGAGCTGGAGCTGCATGTGACCCTGAGAGCTCTGTTAGCCTTTCTGCAGGATCGGGCGTGTGAGGCTGCATCAGGGCCACACCGGTGGCCCCAGGCTGGGCCCAGCGAGGCTGGCTGATCTATGAGAGGCCGGATGGTTGAGAGCCAGGCCCAGGGCATGTCCTGCCCACCTCTGCCTGTGCCACTGGCTGTGTAGTGGGTGGCACACGGGTCGGCCTTGGTGGGAGCTGCCAGGGATGCAGGAAGTGCTCCCTCCACTACCCTGGAGAGCAAGCCCTGGTGGGAATTGTCGCCTTGAGGGGCTGATGCCTGGTGCCTCTCCCCATAGGGAGGGACCCCTCACCTGCTTCTTCTGGTTCGTCTTGAAAATCCCGGAGCACCTCCAGCCCACGCTGAGCCCCGAGATGGTGCGGGTGCTGCTGGTGGAGGAGCTGCTGACCGCGGCCAACGCCTCGGCCCCTGTCTCCTACGTGGCCGAGTACGAGGTGGACCCCGAGGGTCTGGTGATCCTGGGTCAGTACCAGCGGGGTGGGGCTGGGGCTGCACGTGGGGGGCCGGGACACTGTGGGTGGGTCCTCCAGGGACCCCAGAGTTGGGACAGCAGGAGGGTGGATTAGCCTTTTGGGTAGAGCTCGGATGAGACTGGCCTTTGCTATTTTTATTTTCGTTGTGTTTTATTTTACCTTTTGTTGGTGTTTATTTGTTCATTTCTTTTTAACAGAAGCCAGCGTGACAGACATAGTCGCTCTGAATTCCACGCTGGGTATGCTCCTTTTGGTTTTTTCCTTTTGAGTTGGATTTTCCTTGGCCTGGTCCCGCACTGGAGGCCAGGAGGCTTCGGGTGTGAGAGCCGGAGCCCGGCTTGGGGACCCCCAGGGGATGCCACGTAGGGATGCACCGTGAAGTTTCGGGGCCAGGCTTGGGCTGTGGGATGAAGGATGGGTGTGTGCTGGTGTGAACGTGTGTCCTGTGCACAGGTGTGTGTGGCAGGCAAGCACGCTGCCGGCTTGGCACATGCAAACTTAGCTCTGCTCTTCTATCCTGAAGTCCAACTTCCCGTAAGCCCCCGCTTCCCCTCGGGGCAGGAAAACTGTCTTAAATCCAACATTCATCAGCCACTGTGCGTAAAGACTTCACTCTTTCATTTTTTAACCAGGCATGCTGATGCCCGCCTGGAAACCCAGGACTCTGGGAGGCTGAGGCAGGAGGATCTTGTTTGAGCCCAGCCTGGGCAACTTATTGAGACCCTGTCTCAAAAAAAAAAAAAAAAATTAGGAACGAGGGTGTAACTCAGTGCAAAGGCCCAGCACTATAAAAACAAAGCTTGGTCCTTTAGCGGTAGCAGATCTGTCACTTTCAGAGACGGCCCCTCCTCTTCCTTTCCCAGGTAGGTCAATCATCTCTCCCTCCCTGCTAGTACTACAGTGCTACAGTCACCTTTCTTTTGGCCAAGAGGTCACACTGTCTGCCTGCCAGGTTCCGGGCCTCCCTGCCGCACAAGGCTGGGCCGTTGTCTGTGTGGTTGCCTGCGGACTGGCAACTTGTACAGTTGTTCAGTGCACTGCCTGAGCTGCTGTACCCCTTAGTCCTGGAATAAGATTGCCAACTTAGGTACAAAACTGACCTCGTAGTGGGGAGGGTGGTCGGTAGGTCCTTGCTCGGAGGCAGGGCTGTGAACCACAGCCATCAGATCTGCCCTGATTGAATTTCTATTTTATTGCATAGTTGGCATGTATATAATGGCCACATGCATCACGGGGAGTTTGTACCTGTACGCGATGTACCTTGTTTTTCCCTTTGTTCCTCTCTGCCCTCCCTCTTGTCAACTCTTCTTTCCTTATTTACAAAAGCTTTCTTTCTATTTTCTCTCTGTTCTCAAAGTACCTATGTAGCAGCTTCAATTTGGCTTCAGCTTTCAAAGCCTCGGCTGCTGACTCTCTGGTCCTTCCCAGGAGTTTGCGGACCTCTGACCTGTGGCGACACCTCTTGAGATTCTGGTCTGGGAGCTCTGTGTTACTCTTAGAAATGATATGCAGGACCTCAAAGAGCTTTGGTTTAGGTAGGTTGTAGGGATCAACATTTGCCGTAGGAGCTAAAACAGACATATTTAAGAATTGTGTTTAGTCTGTTGTGGTGGCCCACAGCTGTAATCCCAGCTCTCTGGGAGGCTGAGGCAGGAGGATCTCCACAAATTCAAGGCCATCCTGGGCTACAAAATGAGCTAAAAGGCCAGCCTGAACGACAAAGCAAGACCCTCTCTCAATAAACAACAAGTATTTATTAATTCATTTTAAATTTACATTTAGATAATATGCCCATTAATATTAAGACATTTTAATAAAAAATAACTACCTGGGCCCAAACCAGTTTAAGAGTGGCATCGTCACGCACATTCGTGCCTTCCTCAGCACCGTGCGTATGCTCTGGGTGCTGGGGCAGCAGCGGTGCTGGCTCCCCTGTGCACCCCAAAGAGGCAGAGGCTCCATAGCCAGAGCCCCTGCTCTGGTGCGGTCTCTGAGTGGCTCTCACGACAGCTTTTTGCTGTGTTTGCACTTATGGAAAACGGAATTCTCTCGCACAGGGGAAAAGCTTCCTCCGCTCCGGTTCATTCCAGTGGTTGTCAGAGTGCAGAACCTGGCCTCCCAGGCCTTTCAAGGGGCAGCCCCGGGAGCAAAGTACAGGAGAGCCTGCAGGAGGACTCCGGCCCTCCCTCCAACGCTGGTGACAATGCCACAGGCCAGAGCAGGGAAGACCCTCAGCTCCCCCGAGGGCTGGCCGAGGGCTGGCCTTTCCCGTGAGACCCAAGCTTCCAGCTGATTTCTCTGCTTTAATGTGGGCAGCAAGGGCCTCTGTGGGGCCGGTCACCCGGCCTGCCCGCTGCAGAGGGGTGTGGTGGGCGCTCTTTTCTCACTGCTGAGACAGAATACCCGATACCCAAAGTCAAAGGGGAAAGGGTTTACATGGCTCACAGTCTGTAGAGATCCCAGGCTGGCTCCGAGGCAGGGTGGCGTGGCGGTGTGCACAAGGCAGCACTCACACCCTGAGTCCTGGTGCCGCTGGGCCTGGCATTGCACTGAATTAATCCCAGCACCGCACTGGCCAGGCCCAGCCACCTCTGAAAGCCCCAGCTATGACGGCGTGAGGCTTGGGGACAGCCACCACGGGACACAGACAGGGGTAGCGGCAGGATCTGGGCTGGTGCCCCTCGGAGCTGAAGACTGAAAGAGGCAGACAGGAGTGTTTACGGAGGGGACAAAAATAGCTCCAAAGAGCCAAAAGGGACCGGAAAGTGGGTGGCAAGGGACCCTGTCTATCAAAAACTGACTGGGGCTCAGGCCACCCTGAGTCAAACGAAAGCCAGCTGCGGACTAAATCCCGATGCTGAAGCCAGGCATGGGCCACGAGGGTCAGGCAGTAGCCAGCTGTGTCTGCAGGCGCCTCTGCACCTCTGTCCTCCCCGAGAACCAAGTGACAAGGACACACGCTTTCCGGATAGGTGGGAGCAGCAGCTGTCACAGCGGCCATCGGTCACCTCGCTGTCACATCCCTGGACTTAATGGCCCACCTGGTTCTTGTCAGCTTGACCTCAGGCTCCCGCGTGTCTGGCCAGGGCCTGGTCACCCTGGCTCTCCCTAGCTGCCTGCTTGCCCGTCTATAATCAGAACGCCGTCCTGCAGCCTGGCCGTGTGCTGGGCTGCGTGCCGCGGTGAGCGCGCCAGGTACAGGCACCCGCCTGGCCCTCCCGCTCCCAGGTCTGCGCCAAGCGCCTTCAGAAGCCCGGCTTGCTTCTCCTTCCCTTCCCCTCGCTGTCTGCCTCCCTCCTGTCCTCTCCAGGCCCTCCAGCGTTCGGGCGCTGCCCCGCAGAGCTGTCCCCCCGCCCGCCCCATCTCCACACTTGTAGCAGTCCACGCGTGTCCCTGAGTGACTCCGTGGGCATGCAGAGCCCCTGCCCCCTGGAGCGGAGCCCACAGGGTGTGCTTCCTCCATGCCTCGCCCTCCCCCAGCACCGTGAGGGAGGCAGACACACAAACAGATTCTCAGAGCAGCAAGTGTCCTCGAGGGAAGAGAGGCCCCGAGGGAGGAACAGTGGATCTGCCCCAGGACAGAGCAGCACTCCAGGGCAGGTCCGAAGCACCCAGGAGACACAGCTCAGAGCGCTAGGACCGAGGGGGGAAGGCCTGGAGATCCGGGACCTTCAGGAGCAGGGAAGCGCGGGCACATTCGCTGACTTCTTCCCAGCCACGGGGTGGGGGTGGGGGCGAGGTGGGGGGGAATAGCAGGCGCTCCACGGGTGCTTCTGATTAACCACAGGTCTCAGCATGTCACACCCATCTTCCCAGCATGCTGAGGCTGAGGCAGGAGGATGGCAAGACAGAGAAGCCCGCACAGGCAGTTTAGAGACTTTGCCAGAGCTGTCTTAAAATATCAGAAAAAGAACTGGGGATGTAGCTTAGTGTGAAAGTCCTGGGTTCTGTTCTCAGTACTACCAAAAAATATCCCTTAGGAACAGAGGAGCCACTGTTTGCACGATGCCCACAGAGGCATCAGAGGCAGACAGCAGAGCCCGCCCCTTCCCCAGGCCAGCACCCACACAGCCAAGCCCAGGTGTTCTCCCTGTGGTCAGGATGGCTGGGGTCAAGGGCAGAGAAGCACCCAGGATGGGGCACGGGTCTTAGGACTGCATCTGTTTGCCAGGACGGACTGGCTGAGCCACTGGCCCTGAGTTGCACAGCTGAGGACCCCAGGGTGGATGGGAGTCGCCCAGCAAGATGCCAAAGCTCCAGCTTCATGGGCACCGGGTGGGTGAGCGTCACAAGAGGCCGCTATGGTGCTCTGGGAGGTGACATCCTCCACCGTGGCACTGCCGGTCCCAGAGCCCAGCCCAGACACGAGCAGACACTCAGGCAAAACCCTGGGCGGCAGCAAAGCTCAGGATTAAGGGTGAGAGAGGAGGCTTCTCCCGGACCCGGGCCTAAAGCACAGGAGCTGTTCCTTTTATTGAGTACTTACTGTGTGCTGGGCACAAGCATCCTGCTAAGCCTCGTGACGCCCCCACAGGGGTGGGCAAGTCATCCTCAGTCCACAGATGAGACAGCCACGGTCCAGGGAGGTCGGTGGGGATTAAGCGGACCCAGATCTGCCTGGCCCGGTCTGTAAAATGGGTGCAGTTGTAAAACACACAGAGTCGGGTTGGAGGTGCATGGCTGTAATCTTGGTGACTCAGGAGGCTGAGACAGAAGTTCAAAGCCAGCCTGAGCAACTTAGCAAGACCCTGGGGATGTAGCTCAGTGATAGAGCCTCTGTAACCCACGGCCCCTCCCACAGCCTCAGGAGCCCAGTGCTCCCCTCGAGGGTCAGCCCTGCCTCCTCCTCTCCCCCAGACTCCTCAGAGCTCCCCAGCTCGGTCTCTGTGCTCCAGCTGTGAACCCCAGTACACCCAGACTGCCCCCCACTGGCTTGCAGTCCTCACCTCTTGAGCCTTGTCACTTGTCTCTGTACCTGTCCTGCTGTCCTTGGCACTTTGCTGGCAGCACCAGCCCTCCACCTTGGCACTCACCTGGCCTGCAAGCTTGATGTGTTTGATGAGTGAATGAGTGATCAGACTAGTGAACAAATGCTTGGATGAGCTGCAAAAGCAGCCTCAGGGAGGCTGGGAGGTGGGCATGGTGCACTCGGCTCCGCCCATCCGGGGTGCCAGCCCCCCCCCCCAGCGCCCCCTTTGGGCTTCCGGGTAAGGAACTCTGTCCCTCTCCCCTCCAGGCTGTTACCGCTACAGCTATGTGGGCCAGGGCCAGGCCCTGCGGCTGAAGGGCCCCGACTACCTGTCCTCCAGCTGCCTGTGGCACCTGCAGGGCCCCCAGGAGCACATGCTCAAGGTGCGGCTGGAGTGGACCCTGGCCGAGTGCCGCGACCGCCTGGCCATGTACGACGCTGCTGGGCCGCTGGAAAAGAGGCTCATTACCTCGTGAGTCCCGGGCAGAGTGGCTGGGTGGGCTCAGAGGTCATGGTCAGCATGCTGAGACCAAGATAAGGGACTGCAGGAGGGGGAAAGGGAGTCAGCACATGTCCTGTTGCCCTCTATGAGCCTCAGTTTCCCTATCTACAGCCAAGCAGTCATGCCAGGTGACCCCTAAGGTCAGTTTAGGAAGGCCGCATGGCTGCTTGGAAGATTTCAGTGTGGCAGCTGCCCAAACTTCTGGTCCCTACTCTGCTGCTACCTGGTTGTGGGTCCTAAGGCAGGTTATTTGCCTCTCTGGGCCTCAGTTTTCCTGTCTGTAAAATGGGAGTAGAAAGTCACACTTCTCATGGTTATTGTGAGAATTTAATTCAGACCGATTGTGCTGTGATCCTCACACCCCCTGAGTGTCCAGGAAATTCCAGCCACCATAACTGTCATTCTGTATCATCTGGTTGGCACCCAGCTATCCATGGCATGGAGTGCCAGGAGCAGTTTTGACTTTCATGTTTGGTAAATGGGGAGCCCCTGAAAGTTCTAGAGCAGGAGTGGGGGGGGGTTAGGACGCGGGACACGGTGTGCGTATAGAAGTGACTGGAGTCAGAGGGCAGGGGCTGGATGGCCTCGGTGTCCAGCGCCTGGCCATCTCCCCACAGGGCGGGCAGAGGGGCTCGTCCCCCCACAAGGCTCTGCAGCAGGTGTTGGGGGAGCACCCAGCAAGGGCAGCTACAGTGTTGTTTGTTGAGTGCTTACCGCGCCCGGCATCGGGCTGGTGTGGCTTGGGCGGTGCCTGGTCTCCAGGCCCGTGTGTCCCCGGAGGACACCGTCCCAGCTCTGAATCGCCCCATCCCCTCCTGCCCGGCCGCCTGGCCTCAATCTGGGTGTGCGGGGACTGCTTCTCGCCATCATGACTTCCGGCCTGCAGGTGGGGGGCTTCTCCGCCTGGGGAGGAGACTGACCGCCCAGCGTGGCGTCCCTGCTCCCGGGCTCTCTCTTGCCCCAGAGGTGCACGGGGAGTGGCCAGGGCGCAGCGCTAGGACCCTCCGCCCGCCCTGCCCAGGCGGTTTGTGTCGGGTTCCACGCTGTCTTCGCAGTGGCTCCCCGGAAAGCCAGTGAGAAACCCCCAGGCACGGACGCTCCCACAAAGGATGACGGGCCCCACGAGCCTCCTAGTGAACCCTCGGGGTGAAGGTGGGGTGCAGCGTGTGGCCAGGTGGGGCTCCCGGCGAGGACCAGCCAGCCCGAGGCGCCGGGCAGATGGCCCTGGGAGCCTGGGGCCGTTCACTCCTGCACCAGGCTGCAGACCTTAGGGCCTCACCAGCCAGGGCACCTCTGTCCCCCCAGAAGACGCCCCCTTCCTGCATAAGGTGGGCTGACACAGCAGATATGAACAACGTGGCTGCCGGCTGCTGGGCTGTACACAGGCCAGGCAGGGCCATGGCTTCCCGGGCTCTGGAGGGTGAGGGGGTCAGGGTGGGGCACTCCTATCTGAGATGGGCACATGGGGGGACCTGAGGGTGTGGAGGGGACCAGCCGTCAGCAGCACTGAACATGTCTGGCCCTGTCACGAGTGGCTTGGGCCTCAGTTTCCCCCTCCGGAAACCCAGGCGTTAACCTTGAGGGGGCTGTCTTTCCTGGCTGACGCTGTAGATCTCTGAGGCCTCCTGTTCTAAGACTCTCGTATCTCTCCGGAGTCCCCCAGGCACCCGACTCTCATCAGGGCATCCCCAAACCACCGATTTCTCCCTGTCCAGACCCGAATCAGGCCAGCAGCGGGGGTGTGGCAGCCAGATTGGGGGTCCCTGTAGCTGCCGCCCTGACACTCCTGCTCAGGGATCCCAGGAGACGCTGGGGGTGGAAGGTTTTTAGCTGCTGTGGGACCAGGCTCCAAGGCTGGGTAACTCTTTCTCTCTTACTTGAGGATCTGGTCAGACTTTTACAGGGCCTCTGGTCAGTTTCTGGGCCCAGAGAGGGGGAGACACCTACCTATCGACACACAGCAGCGGGTCATAGATCTGGGCCTAGGACCCGGATGTGCAGATAGCTCCCCAGGTACCCTCCTCTGTCCCTCCAGTAGCCAGCCCTGGCCAGTGCCTGACCTGTCCACACCCCACACACACCCTGCCCCTCCTTTGCCACTGCTCTCCTCCGCCAGGGTCTACGGCTGCAGCCGCCAGGAGCCGGTGCTGGAGGTGCTGGCCTCGGGCGCCGTGGTGGCCGTGGTGTGGAAGAAAGGTTTGCACAGCTACGTGGACCCCTTCGCGCTCTCCGTGCAGCCCGTGGCTTTCCAGGGTGAGGCTCCTGGGGCGGATGGGAACCCGGGTCTCCCTGGAGCAGGCCTGCTAGGTCCAGTGGCCCTGCTGAGCAACGCTGGCTCCATGCCCAAAGTCTGTGGCAGTCACAAGTGTTTGGCTACCTTGGTGAGGTGGCCGGGGCAGCAGCAGGGCCCCCGCGTTCCACTCTGGGCCTCAGCCAAGCTGTTCCTCTTCTCCCAGCCTCATGCTTTGGTTTTGTGGTGTTGAGGCTTGAACTTGGGGCCTCCCCTGTGTTAGGAAATCACAGTACCACCGAGCTCCACCCCAGCCCCTCTGAACCTCATCTTTGAAAGGGGAACAACTTTCCCTCCCAGGTGCCATAGCCGAGAGGCTGGCACAGCTCTGCATGCATTTTGTTGCCTGCTGGAGAGAAATGAACACCAGTATCACTATCGCTGACACTGTCAATACCCCAGTGCCAATAAACTAACATTTATTGAGCACTTAGCATGCTGGGCTATGCAGTCCGCTCAATTTTGCTACTATTATTGTCCCCATTTTACAGATGAGGCAACTGAGGCTCACTTTCGGAGTTGGTGGGATGCAAGCTGCCCCGCGTGGTGGGCATTACTGGGGCGGGGCAGGGCAGGGCAGGAGAGCCCTGCATAATGGTTGTCTCCCGTCTTAGCCTGCAAGGTGAACCTGTCTCTGGAGGACCGGCTGGACGCACAGGGTGCCCTCAGCACACCCTACTTTCCTAGCTACTACTCTCCCAGCACCCACTGCTCCTGGCACCTCACGGTGAGCCCACACACTATTTGTCCTCTGCACAAGGTGCCCCCCCAGGCCTCAAAGGCTGAGTCCCAGGCACTAGTCCCCTTGGGTGGGGGTGGGGGGCAGCTGTAGCTGGGGTCTCCTACTGGTTACTGTGATGTGTTTGTTGAGTGACTGACAGATTTTAGCCTTGGCTGGGGCCCTGTGTGGCCTTCTATCTGTGCCCTGGAGGGAGGTGGATGCACCAGCCTGGCCACACCCCTCGGGCCACGGTCCATGCTGTTCTACCCTCCAGGTGCCATCTCTGGACTACGGCTTGGCTCTCTGGTTTGATGCCTACGCTCTGCGGAGACAGAAGTACGGCCTGCCGTGCACCCAGGGACAGTGGACCATACAGAACAGGAGGTACCCGCCTCTCCCTCCCAGCTCCCCACCCAGTGCGTCCTAGGAGCGGACGGGAGAGAGAAGGGGCAGCCGAAGCTTGACTGGAGGACCCTCCCCTCCCAGCTCTCCCTGGCCCTGCCTCTCCTGTGTCCACAGGCCTTGGATTTGGGGGACGGGGACACAGGTGCTCCAGAGTCCCCCAGACACACTTAGTGCAGGGGGGACCCTTTTCCCTGCCCTGGCTCCCAGTTTGTGCAGCACGCGCTCACAGGGCCCTGCACCTCCTACGGGGCACCCACCCTTGCCTTTGTCCCAGCTCGCACCCTCGGTGCCCCCTGGAAAGGAGGTTTCTGGGGTTTAGGGCAGCAGGCTGAGGGGGCTGCAGTGCCAGGGGCTGTGGTCAGGGTCAGCGTGGCTGTGGTGTGGCCAGGAGGAAGAGGACTGGTCAATGTGTCCTGCGGGAAACTGAGAGACAGGCATCCTGCCAAAGGACCAGGCTGGGCAGGGGCAGGGAGGGAGGGAGCGCGGAGCGGTGTTCCCCACTGTCTGGGGGGAGGCGGGACCATTCAGATGGGAAGGGACCCCTGCAGAAGGAGAACGGGGGCGCTGGGAGGCCAGGAGCTGGGGAGAAACGGGTCTGGGAGCAGCTGTGGCAGAACCTTCCCGCCCAGCCCAGGCCCAGGGTGCGGGTCGTCTTCCTTCTCAGGAGCAGTGAGTGGCAGGTCGGCATCTAACGTGGCCGGGTCGCTGTCCTTGCACTCTGGGATTCTGGGTGCATAACAGGCTGGCGCTCTAGAACGTGCTTCTAGAACCTTCTAGAACCTTCTTTGACTTCTTGACTTGGAGGCCGTGAGTGCGTGACCTTCTATGGGGCGTGAGGGAGTGTCTAGGACTCCAGGATCCCCGGGTTCCGCGGGTCCCATCCTCACCTCCAGCACGCACTTCTCCTGTGGGCAGGTCTATGGAGGGACCCTCGACCAGAGGTGACAGGGACTGGCGGGCCCGCCTGACGTGCTTTTGCTCCTCAGGCTTTTTGCATCTTGATGGTGACCATGACTGCAAGGAAGGAGCAATGCGGGTGGTGTGACTCCAGCCTGTGCTCTTGGGGTGCCAGGCTGCCAGGGGACTTCGGGGTATGGTGCTCTGCTCCTTCCTGGAGCTCCCGAGGGACCCCCTAGGCCACCACCCGTGCCGAGGAGGGCTGGGCTCACCGCTTGGTGTGAGGGCCCCAGAGTCCCCGAGTCTGGCCCGTGAGTCCTGGTTCTGTGGATAAAGAAACTTTCCAGACCCCACAGTGGATGCCAGCGGGCTGAAGGGGGCTGGAAGGGTCTCCATGGGCTGCACGGGTCGCAGAGACCCTTGCTTAGGTACAGCTGGGGACACTGAGGCCTGGGGAGGGCTGAGCTCAGGGCCCCACTGCGTGATCATCCACCCAGCAGACAGACGTCTCCCCAAATCAAGTTTGTTCGTTAATTCCCCGTAAAATACCCTTCCTGGTCAGGGCAGTGAGGAGGAGAGGGCCACAGTGGTGAAACCAGGCTGACCAGGCTTCAAAGCTTGGCCTCCACTTCCTACAGGGGCAGGGACTCCTCTACCAGCCGAGCATCTCAAACCTGGCCGTGAGGGCTGGGTGCGGCTCAGTGGCAGAGCCCTTGCCTGGCATGCGCGAGGCTCTGGGTTCCATCCGCAGCATTCCAAAAAAGGGGGGAGCAGGAAATAGGCCCTCTCACCACCGCAGATTAGATGAGCCATTGGAGGAGAATGCGGGCAGCTCAGGCCTCGAGAAGCCCAGCTCCATGTGTCACCAACCACACCGTGATAACTGGCTCCCTCTGCACCAGGCAGGCACAGAGCTGAGGGGTTAAAGTGCCATCTCCCCCATTCTCGGGACCCCTAGTGAGGACATAGATGTTTACTGCAGTGCCTGGTCTTTTCCGTAGCTGTAACAAAATACTCAGGACTGAGTAGTTTATGAAGAAGAGAGGTTTATTTAGCTCCCGGTTCTGGAAGCTGGTAAATGCAAGGGCTTGGACTGGCATCTACAGGGCATCTGCAGGGCTTCATAGCACAGGGAGGATGTCACATGGCAGGCACAGACTGGCTTCTGTAAGGGACCCATACCTGGAACAGCTTGCTCACTCTCTGTTCAGCCATTAATTTGCAAACAGATTAACTCACTCACAAGGGTGGAGCCCGTGACCCACTCATCCCCCACCTCCAAATACGCCTTTGGGGATTAAGTTTCCAACACCCTGAACTCCAGGGGCATAGCCCAACCACAGCAGCCAGCGAGGAAAGGGGGCACAGAGGGGTGACCCAGTTTGTGCCAAATTGTCCAGCTTGTGAAGCCAGCATTGAGCCTGGGCGTGTGTGCACAGTGTCTCTGTGTGTGTGTGTGCACATGCGTGTGAGCTCACACTTGTGCAGACGCCACCCCTACTGTGAGCCCATGGCAGCTGCTCAGCCGCCCATCTGTGGGCACCGGATGGGGGACCCGGCTGTGTCCAGGCTCTGCCAGGCCTTCTAAGAGCACCCCGGGAAACTCAGCCCGATCTCCTGAGACCTCCGGGGTCCCCGGGGGAGAAACCTGCCACCCTCTGCCAGGCTCCAATGCCAGCCTGGTGTGAGCTGGGCTCCAGGGGTGGAGGCCTGGCCAGCCCTCACCTCTAGTCCCCGGCATTGCGGGTTTTGATAACCATCGTCCTCGTGGCTGCTGGGAAATTCTCTGAGTGAGCATCTGCTGGAAAATCTGCCGTGTGGGCGGCAGAGGCAGGGGGGAGCCCGGTCCTTTGGCCCAGAAAGGCAGTGGTGGGGAGACACGGCCAGGTCAGGGACAGGGGTCCCAACACGCAGGTGCCTCCCTGAGCGCCGGTCTTCTCCTGACCCGGCCCAGCCCTCCTGCCCTCCCGTGCCCTCGGGGCGGTGGAGGACTGTCGCTGTGAGATCCGGCCACTGGCTGCTGGTTTCGCAGAACCGCTCCAGCTGGCGCCACCGCAGCAACCTTCCCCGTTTCCAGGAACCTGCCCCTCGCCAGCTTCCCCTCCTGTGACGTCACTTCCCTTGTGACCTGCCCAGCCCTTTCCCCTGCTCCCTGCGTGAGGTCAGAGAACCGCAGGCTCCTCCAGAGGCCCTCGGAGTCCCCTGGGGCCTGGCCTGGCCCTGGGCGGCCAGCGCCTCCTGCAGTGGGCCCTGGGCTGAACGCTGACCACGCTGGAGGTGTCACCCATGGGAGCGCACCGACTGACTGCAGCCCGTGCTGCCCCAGAAGCCACTGGTCAGGTGTCCTGGAGACACCCCGAGCTGGGGCTGGGGGAGGCTGTCACCCCGCGTTGCTGGTGTGAAGCCTGAGGCCTGCCGAGGCAGTGCCGTGTCCTCGAGGTCACACAGCTTGTCCAGGAAGCAAAGCCGGCCTCAGGGCTCAGCTCAGCAGTGCCAGTGGCCGCTCTGGCCAGCATGTTGGAAGCCACTGTCGCCGTCTCGTTTTTTAGTACTGGAGATGGACCCCAGGGCCTTTGCACTGAGCTACATCACAGTCCTCTTTTTTCTTTGTTTCATTCTTTTTTTTTTTTTGAAACAAAGTATTGCTAAGCTACTAAATTGCCAGTTTGGACTTGTGATCCTCCTGCCTCAGCCTCCCAGAGTGCTGGGTGCCCAGCCATGCGCCACCATGCCCAGCTGCTTTCCCTCTGTTGTGGCTGTCCCTGCGCCCTTCCCTGTCACCTGTCCTTAGGAAAGGCCCTGTGTGAGTGCATCTCTCCTTCCTCCCTTCCTTCTCTTTCGCCCCTCCATCACCTCTGTGCCCATCCTCCTAGTATTTCTCCAGCTCCTTGGTGCTCAAGGCTGAGCAGATGGCTCAGCGCAGTGGGTGCCTCTGATGCCCAGCAGCTGGCAGTGGATGAGGGGCGGGCAACCCCGTCAGCCTGGTGCTCCCTGGAGAGGGCTTGGCGGACAGGAGGGACGGGGAGCCAGGGGACAGGCTCTTCACCTAGAAGGGTCTGTGGCAGGAACCAGAACCTCAGCAGGGCCAAGGGGCTGGGCCAGAGTGGGTCTCCTTGAGGTGGCTGCCCAGGGAGAGCTGGGGTCCTGGTCACCAGGGCTATCCAGCCTGCTTGTCCCAGCCTGTGTTTCTGGAGTTTCTTTTTTTCTTTTTTTGGTACCAGAAATCAAACTCAGGACCTTGCACTTGCCAGGCAGATGCTTATGCTACTAAACTAAATCCCTGGCCTGGGTTTCTTATTTTTATCATGTGAAATTAGCTGGCAGCTATGGTAAAAACCATTCATGCGCTGCACAGATGAAACAGGTCGCATGACTCGCTCTGAGTCGTGAAGCTGCAGCCTTTTGAACCCTCGTTCCAGGTGAGGGTCCCCCAGGGATCCGCAGACCCCCTGCAGGCGGGTGCGCAGGCTGTAGGGTCCTGGGAAGGCTGCATCAGCCGGCCATAGGCTGACTCTAGGATTTTTGGGGTCCCTGAGAGAGAGATCACCCTACAGAAGGGAATAGAGCCCTAGCGCTCTGCCCAAAATCAAGATGGCATTTGGGCTTGTAGGTAAGACTCCACTGCCCTTGGGCTGGCTTCTCCTTTATCTTCTGAGTGCTGGTGACGCATTCGGGTCCTGTTTTCCCCTGCCCAGTGTTTGCCAGCCCCTCGGTCCCCTGCCCACTTCCTGGAGCTGTCTCTAGCATAGCAACCCGCAGCGTGTTTATCCACAGGAAACCGGTTTCCACAGATTGAAAGGGGCAGAGGGAGCCAGGCTTGCTCCGGGGCGCCCCCTGTTGGTGCCTCGTTCGTGTCCGGTGTGAGAAATTTTGAGCCCTGACAAGACGATTTCCCAAATGTTCTATCTTGGGACCCCTTTAACTGTCTTTCAAAAGACTGAGCACCCCAAGAGATTTTCCTCCTACAGATTATATCTCTACATTTATAGTATGTTTATTCCAGTAGCTTCCTGTACCCACAGTTATCAGTTAGCCCTGGGCAAAGGAGACCAGAAAATATCAAGCGGAAAACTCCAGAATTGATTGGTGAATTTTAAATAACTTGCATTTCGTTGCGATAACTGCTGTATTTGATTGTTAGTTATTGTTGTAGACCCCTTATTGTGTGTAATTTGGAAATTAAAGTTTATCATCGATATATTTATGTACTGGAAGAACAGGGCAGGCAGGGTTCGGTGTTTCCCGCAGTTTGAGGCACCCACGAGGGGTCTTGGGAAGTGTCCCCCATGGGTAAGAAGGGGCTGCTGTGGTTCCTTTAAAATAACCTGGCCCGATGTGGTGGTGCCCACCCGTAACCCAGCACTCTGGAAGGATGGCAGAGGCAAGCCCAGTCTGGGCAGCTTAGCAGCTTAATGAGAATCTGTCTCAAAATTAAATTAAATTAAATTGAACAATAAAAAGAGGTGCAATGTGGATCAGTGTGGAGGCCCTGGGTACAATTCCTAGTCCTGAAAGAGGAAATCCAGTGTATATTAGCATAACAATTTTTGATTTTATGAAAAATTGTTTCTCGGGGGCTGGGGATTTAGCTCAGCGGCATAAGTGCCTGCTTTGCAAGCGTATGGTTATGAGTTCGATCCCTGGTACTGATAAAAAAGAAAAGAAAAGAAAAGAAAAATTGTTTCTCGAAGCCAAAAAAGTTTAGCAGCATGGTGTCATCATTTTACGGTTTTTTGCAGCTTCATAACTGGCTGAACAGACCACGGCTGACCCCTTAACCTGCTTCTTGGTTCAGTCAGCTATGATTCATAGATCCCGTGGTCTCTGGGAAATCCTGCTGTATGACTGTGTGAGAATGGGGACAAAGCAAACAACCAGCAAAGCCACCTGAGTGTCACTATGCAAATGCTTTGGGACCCCACAGGGTTCCCTGGACCGCACTCTGAGAACTGCCGGAGTAAGCTCAAGAAAGAGGTGGCTGTCCCTAAGCAGAGTCCAGGCCAGGCCCCTGGGGAGGAGACCGTGGGAGCTGAGGGGCTCAGTCAGTCCCCAGAGCGCACGCTGCGGTGGGAATCCGGGTGCCTTCCCCTCCAGAGCTGCCTGGATTCCAGCCCCACCCTGGCTCCCTCTCATGAGCCTCTCTGTGACCCAGCTGTGCCCTGTTGGGTCACAGGGAGAAACTCCGACCCTGTGCAGGGTCCCTGTGGCCCATGAGGCAGGGGCTGGGTGAGAAGGTTGTTAGGACACCCATACTCAGGTGTTTGTTGATTGATGAACTGATGGACTCATTGATCTGCTCTGGAGTTCTGAGAAAGTGTCTGATGCTGGGAATGAGGTGGCCCACTTGGGGGTGCTGTGCACGTGCATGAGAGGTGTTCCCTCAATGCCTTGGGGTGTGTGCTCCATCCTGTCTCTCTTCCGACCCTGCTGGGCCCATGTTCTGGGTGTGTCCTCCACCCGCAAAGGCCGCCTTTCTGCTCACTGGGGACACCCATTCCCAATGGGCTGGTGGGGCTGTCCCACTGGCCTTGCGAGGGTGCCCCACTTGGGATGGAAGGAGCGCCAGCTGTCTGTGGGCAGAGTCTACCTTTCTGGGGATGGCTGCATGGATACCACTTACTCAGGGAGGTGGGGCCGGGTCCCCATCCAGAGAGGGGCTCCCGCCTGCCTCATTTGCCCCTTTTTGAAGAGGGCAGGTGTTCAGCGGGATGGCGGTGCTTGCAGGCTGGCAGTGGTCCTACCCGACTGTCACCGGGCAGCACATTGAGCCCAATGACTCCGTGCAATGGGTCCCCAGGGGAACTGCCAGGGTGCAGAGCCGCCCTCAGCCAGGGCAGGGCTGGAACAGGGTGCGGGCACTGCTGCTCCCTGCCCTGCCCCGAGCACCAGGGCCTGCTCTCTTCCGGCTGCAGTGGGCCAGTCTGGATCTTTTGCCTCTGCTAACACGTGGAATCCCTTTGTCACCTCTGAGGTCAACAGAAATGATTAGTGTCCTTATTTTAAAAAGGAAAGAAAGCCAAACTTAGGGAAGGACCCTCAGTTACTGGACTCTCACAGCACACAGGTGACTGGTACCGGAATCTAGACAGTGGGAGCCATTGAAGGTTTTTAAGCAGAGGAGTGACATAGGTAGGCCGCTTTCCGGAGGACGAACTTGGGGCCCGGTAGTCACCCCAAGGAGAAACCAAGGCAGAGGAGGCGGGCTGGGCTGTGGCTCCTCATTCCTCCTGGCCGACCTTTCTGCCCAGCTGTGCGCAGGCACCCAGGCTGCGTCACCCGTCTTGGTGGGAAACTGGCCCGTGCGCCCCTAAGCTGTTCCTTGTCGCCCCTAGGCTGTGTGGCTTGCGCACCCTGCAGCCCTACGCTGAGAGGATCCCTGTGGTGGCCACGGCCGGCATCACCATCAACTTCACGTCGCAGAGCTCCCTGACTGGGCCGGGTGTGCGGGTGCACTACAGTCTGTACAACCAGTCGGACCGTGAGTCCCCGGCCCCGGGGCCCCTCCCTGCCCTCTGTGTCCCCAGATGTGAGCAGCTGCATGGGAGGCTGGCTGGCAGGTACGACTGCGTGTGTGCGTGTGTGCAAATACAGTGCTGGCAGCATTGGGTCTCCGTGGGGGTCTGTCACGTGTTGGCACGTGTTGTGTGCACATGTCTGGGAGTGTGTGGCTGCCCGGGCTACCACCCTGGTGTCCCTGGGAACCCGCCATGCATGGAACACACAGGTGCGTGCCATCTGCCTGTGCTGTGTGATATCGAGTGTCCTAATGGTGCCCTCTTGTCCCATGGCCCTCTGGCTCCCAGCCTGCCCTGGTGAGTTCCTCTGCTCCGTGAATGGACTCTGTGTCCCCGCCTGTGATGGAATCAAGGACTGCCCCAACGGCCTGGATGAGAGAAATTGCGGTGAGCAGCCCGCCTGCCCGCCCTCCTCTCCTCGCTTCCCTGTTCTGGGCTGAGCCGAGACCCTCACCAGCACCCAGGACACGGGTTCTCTCGATGGGCTGAACGGCAAGATGGGAACAGATGGGAAAGTGGCCCCCGGGGCCACTCTGTGGGGCAGTGGCAGAGACAGGCTGGGTCTCCTGGCTCAGCTCACAGCCTCTCCCCAGCGGGCAACAGTGCAGCCATCTGCTCTGGCCGGTGCTCCAGGAGGGAACAGGGCGGGCAGAGGGATGCCTCTCAGACCATGCCACGGTGGCAGGGAAAGTGGCTCATACTGGAAACTGGACCCTGGGCTCCCGGTTCTCATTCAGCCGCTGGACCTCGAACAAGCCACCCATTCTGTTTCTGCCAAGGAAACGGGGTGTCTCTCAGGGACGCTGGGAGACTCAAGTGTGGAGTGACAGAGGAAGACGAGGGACAGATAATGTGTGCCCACACTCCAGGGGCACCGCCGAGTCCCGGCCTGCTCCTCCAGCTTCCTCCCCGCCCTTCTGTGTCCCTGCAGTCTGCAGAGCCACATTCCAGTGCCAAGAGGACAGCACGTGCATCTCCATGTCCCGCGTCTGTGACCGGAAGCCCGACTGTCTCAACAGCAGTGATGAGGCGCAGTGCCAAGAAGGTAGGGCGGTGTCTGAGCTGTTTCTCAGCGCCCACAGGCTAGGGGGGAAAGGCTGATTTGGCCCACAGTCTGTAGAGGTTTCAGTTCACAGTTAGCGGGCTCCGGGGCAGGGCAGCAGGGCAGAGGGGCATCGCAGAGCAGGAATAGTTCATGGCAGGGCAGGCAGAGGGCCGCAGAAGCAGCAGCCCGCCTCGGCTTTCCTGTTCCATCCGGGCTACCTGCCCGTAGGTGGGGCACCCCAACTCCAGCGTCACATCCTAAACCAGACACAGTCCAAACTCCCTACCTATGAGCAGATGAGGCTTTGGGAGGCATCTAGCTCAAGCCATGACAGTGGGGCCTGGCCAGGGATCAAAGAAAGGGTCACCGCCAGCTGTCCAGGCCTCTTACAGTCATCCTAGAGAAGGTTTATGCCCTCTTATCAAGTACCCAGCAACTCTCTGTGGCTATGCTGGTGTGCCTATCCATCCCTCCTTCCTCTCTTTTCTATTTATTCATCCCTCCATCTGTCCATCCATCCATCCATCCATCCATCCCTTCATCCCCTTCATCCATCTATTCCTCCATCCATCCATCCATCTCTCCATCTCTCCATCCCTCCATCCCTCCCTCCACCCACCACCTTCTGGTCTCTTGAGTCATGTCTGTCCATTGGTTATTCATCTCTTCATCCACTGACCTGTCCAGCCATGTGTCTCCCTGTCCACTGAACGTGTCGGTCTACCATTTACTGTTAAGCCCTTTAGCGGTTTGTCCTACCTTGTGTCTGAGAGACCGCTGTTCCACCCACCTGCTCTCCAGCCAGTCATCCATCCTTCCGTCCATCCCTGATCTCCCTACTCACCTGCCTGTCCATCGGTCCTTATGGCCACTGATCTGTTCACCTTCTAGCTGTTTGTCTGTCTCCCGCTGGACCATCAATCTGACCATGTGACGATCTGCTCAACCTTCTGTCTGTGTCCAGTTTTACTCTTCCTCCTTCCTTTTCTCCCTTCCTTCCTTCCCTCCTTCCTTCCTTTCGATTTACCTTCCCAGTCAAGCTTGCAGACCACTCAGGGACAGACAAGACGGGATGAAGAAAAAAGAATAAGACATCAGAAAAACGGCCCCTGCCCCTCAGGGTTTGTTAGGAGAAGGACATGATGGCACTCTTCTGCCCAGTCTCCTGGACCTGGAGTTCTGTAGTGTGGGAAGCATGGGGTAGGAGAAGCTTGGACATGGAGGCCTCCTGAGAGGAAGCAGACCGGAATTTAAATAGGGGGGCAGTTGGGGGGCAGGAAGACCAGGTGTGACCAGGATGTTGGGTACAGCGGACAGGAGGCAGGCAGCTATGCAGAGCAAGGGCCTGGGGCCGCTGCTCCAGAGACCCAGTCTGAGGTGGGGGCACAGTGCTGCCTTCCGAGATCACACTGGCCCTCCCTCTCAGCAGATGGGTGTTGGTGGGGAGCTGCTTTTAGGAACCCCTAAAGAAGACTCAGGGACCCTCCGCATGGGCGAACGGCCCCTCCCCAGTGTCCTGCCAGCCTCTCCTGGCGCCCTGGGGCTCAGAGACCCACTTTCCGTGCCCCCACCCCAGCAGTGCCTTGTGGGACCTTCACCTTCCAGTGTGAGGACCGCAGCTGTGTGCGGAAGCCCAACCCGCAGTGTGACGGGCACCTGGACTGCAGGGACGGCTCAGACGAGCGCCACTGTGGTGAGCTGCAGGGCGCCTGCCGGGACGGGATGGCGGCTGGGCATTCGGGGCAGGGACTAGGCGGATCTCAGTCTGTCTGGCCCTCTTTTGTCTGTCCCTCTCCATCTCTGGCCTCTGCCACTTCTTCCTCCTTTCCCCTCTTTGCCCATCTCTTCGCCCTGCTTGGCCTCTGTCCCTCTGTCTCTCCCTGGCCTCTCCTTGCCTTCCTCCTTTGTCCCCCAGACTGTGGCCTCCAGGGCCCCTCCAGCCGCATCGTGGGTGGGGCCGTGTCCTCCGAGGGCGAGTGGCCATGGCAGGCCAGCCTGCAGGTTCGGGGCCGGCATATCTGTGGGGGCGCCCTCATCGCGGACCGCTGGGTGATCACAGCTGCCCACTGCTTCCAGGAGGACAGGTGAGGGGCGCTGGGGCCTGGACCTTGGTGATGCAGGCAGGGAGGCTATGCAGGGTACAGGGTGAGCTTTACACAGTCGGGGACCCTGGTGAAGAGCCCCAAGACTGACTGCTGTGACACTTGGATCTGGTCCTGGCTCCACCCCGAAGACACTCTGTCCCCGGGCACTCTGCCCACCTCTCTGGCTCCCGTGGTATCATGGGTTGGGCCCATGACTCATTCACTTGGAAATATCTGTGGTGCTCCTCCTATGCCCCAGGGCCATGCTACATGCTGGGATGGGGTAGAAGACAAAGCTGCCCACGCTGTCACAGCCATGACCCTCCCAGCACAACCCGAGCTGTGTTGGGGGTGGCGGGCAGGGACTCCCCTGTGGTTAGCACATCATCCCACAGCCTTTGTGCTGTCTGGCTGATGGGCTAAACCCCCATCTACCCCAGTCAGATCCGGGCCCCAGTCGCCAGGCCCTCACTAAGGCCAGCTCTCTCCTGAGTCCTCTGTGGCCACCAGGCTGTTCTCGCCAGGCAGCTCTTGACCCTGGCTCCCCACTGCCCCCAAGGTGAAGAACCAACCCCCACCCCAGGCTGGTGACAGCAGTTTCCAGGGGTCTGCATGGCCACTTCCTGCTGATTCTCACACTCAGCTCCCTAACCCCCACCCAAAACTTGCAAACCTTGGGGCTCCCCACGGCCCCCCGTGAAGTGGGCACGCAAAGCTGCCATGTCTTTTTACACATCCCGCCTTCCCTGAGCGCACTAAGCGCCTCAGAGCAGAAAGCGCGCTTCCTGAGTCCGGGATGAGGGGACCGAGGCATCCTGAGACCCTGCTTATCCAGGGAGGGATAAAGCGGGGCCAGTGGAACCAGGGGACCCAGTGCCATGCACCGGCTCCACACTGGTAGGGAGGGCAGGGCGTCCGTGGCGCTGAGCTGGACCACTCTCCCCGCGCACCCAGCATGGCCAGCCCGGCGCTGTGGACCGTGTTCCTGGGCAAGGTGCGGCAGAACGCCCGCTGGGCCGGCGAGGTGTCTTTCAAGGTGAGCCGCCTGCTCCTGCACCCCTACCACGAGGAGGACAGCCACGACTACGACGTGGCCCTGCTGCAGCTCGACCACCCGGTGGTGCGCTCGGCCACCGTGCGCCCCGTCTGCCTGCCTGCGCGCTCCCACTTCTTCGAGCCCGGACAGTACTGCTGGATCACGGGCTGGGGCGCCCAGCGAGAGGGCGGTAAGCGGTCTCGGGGGTCGGGTCGCGGTGGGGGATGGGGCACAACATCCGGGTCCTCTTCGTTGTGACTCAGTCCGGTTGGGTTTTTTACAGTATGGCCCGAGGACCCCCACCCCTGCGTTATTAAAGGGGAACAAACAGGATGTCAGGCGTGGGGGGGGGGGCAGAAGGGGCGGCCCCAGGCGTCTCAGCTCAAAGGCTGGCTCCTGGACAGAGGCGCGGGGCGGAGGTGAGCTGGGGCAGCTTAATGAATAGCGCCTGTATTGTTTTGTACTTGGTACTGAACCCTGGTCTTTGGTTCACAGTAGGCCAAAGCTCTGCCTCAGTGCTCGCCCCGCTTCCTTGTTTCTTTAAACTTGTTATAATTTGGAACAGGGTCTTGTTAAGGCCGGCCTTGAACTCAGCTCCTCGAGTCTCTGCCTTTTGTGCAGCTGGGATTACAGCGTGCGCTACCGCACCGGCTCTTAATTCTTCAGACATTGTAGCCTGGATTTTAGGGGAGCACGATTGCATGTAATGCATTTGGTTTAGGGTGGGGATGGTGGCTCCTGCTATGGGCGAGGACACCGAAGGTGTCACTTAGCATCTGCTAAGTCGCACAGGACTGAAACCCAGGCGAGGCCCGCTTCCTGCTGCTGCTGTCAGAGGGGGGCTCTCGGTCCTCCAGAGCTGACTGAGCAGAATGCTGTCCCCAGAGCCAGCCCTCAGTTCTGAGGATGCAGGCTCAGCTTGGGCCTCAAGCTTCATGTGGAGGGCTTTGAAAATGCGCGATTATCTACCACCTGGAGGCAGGAGATGGTAGAGAGTTTTATTCTTCACCTGTTTGGTGAAGCTCGAACTCAGAGCGTTATGCATGCTAGGCAGGTACTCTGCCCCTGAGCTACACTCCTGAGCCCTAGAGAGAGGTGGGGAAACTGAGGCACGGGTGAAAGGGGCCTTGTCTGAGAGTATGACACGGTAGTGGCGTAGACTGGCACGCTAGCTAATTTGTTCGTTCATGCAACACATACACGACCACTTGCTGTGCCGGGCACTGAGCTCAGCAAAGCGGGTGGAAAGGCAAGGGGGGTGTTTTGGGCGACACAGTGGTAAGAGCTGACACATGGAGAGGATCAGGGCCACAGCGGCAGCAGGGGAGAGCCTCTAAGGGAGGCTCCAGCAGGGGCCATGGGTCTGAGCTGACTTGGCAGTGCTCCCATCCAGGGCAACGGGTACAGTGACTGGGGGAGGTGGGGAGAGAGGCTCTCGGGAAGGACCAGCAGGGCCTTGCAGGCCACCATGAGCCAGGGTTCTGTTCTCCAGCTGCACTTGGGTCTTCAAATCCTGATGCCCTAGACGAATGCGACCATGTGTCTGGGTGGGCCAGGTGCCAGGGCCCACCAGTGCTCTCCAGGGGACCCCAGTGCACAGCACTTGTGCAGCAGCTCTGGGCTGGACAGCAGGACCACGGGAGGGCATCAGGGGGACAGCGTAGGCTCTGGAAACTTCCCCAAAGATCGCAGCTGAGCTGGGCCAGGGGCACTGGAGTGGGAGGAGGGAGGGGACAGGATACTGGAAGACGACACTGGTCCAGAGAGCCAAAGCCAAGGGACAGTGAGGCAGAGGGGTAGAGCGGGAGAGGTGCAAGGGGCCCCTGAGGTCAAGAAGGGGGCTTCTGAGCACCCTGGTCATCTCGCCCCACGGCAGGCCCCACCAGCAACGTCCTGCAGAAAGTAGACGTGCGGCTGGTCGCGCAGGACCTGTGCAACGAGGCCTACCACTATCAGGTGACCCCACGCATGCTGTGTGCCGGCTACCGCAAGGGCAAGAAGGATGCATGCCAGGTGACACTGTGGGGCTGGAGAGGACGGAGAGGACGCCTGGCCCTTAGTTCACATCAGCCTGTGGAGCCCTGAGGCCTCCTGGCCAGGTGGACAGACGAGGAGCCTGAGGCTGGGAGAAGCAGAGGGATGCTGAGCAGGGGGACCTCAGGCGGGGAGATTGGGCCCTCGGCCTGGGGCCACAGAGGGGAGAGGACAGGAGGAGAGGGAGGGGAGGTGGGCAGGGCGTGGGGACATCGCCTGCGCTGAGCCCTGGGTTCACTGGCGGCCAGGCAGCGCTGCTGCGCTCCATTCCGGGGTCTGGGGAAGAGGTGGGGTGTGCCATTCTTGCTGCCTCTGCAAATTCTTGACCCTGCCCCCTTTCCTCTCTCCTCCTCTCCTCAGGGTGACTCTGGGGGCCCACTGGTGTGCAGGGAGCCCAGCGGCCGCTGGTTCCTGGCAGGACTGGTCAGCTGGGGCCTGGGCTGTGGCCGGCCCAACTACTTCGGTGTCTACACGCGCATCACAGGCGTGATCGGCTGGATCCAGCAGGCGCTGACCTGAGGTGCTGTGAGCCTGGGGCACCTCCAGGACAGAGAGCGCATAGGGCGCCACCAGGCAGGGGGACAAGTATTCTGAGGGCAAGTGGCCCTGCGGAGGCAGGAGGCAGCATCCTGTCCCCTCCATGTCCCAGGGCTGCACGAGGAGCCGGAGGGCCATCAGCCTGTGGTCAGGACCTCCAAGGAGCCCAGGTCCAAGAGGCCAGGCTGGTGGGGTCACACCCTGCCCCATCACCTCCCAAGCCATCTCCTTGGTCTCCCCTTTCTTCTCGCTTCACACCATCTCGGGGGTCCTCTGTGGGGTGGTGCAGCTCTCTGTCCGGGAGAGGCAGCACACCCTCCTCCAGGCAGAGCCCGCATGCGTAGCCCTGGCCCCGTAGCAGCTTCCAGCCTCTGCCCCATCCTGGGGAGTGGGAGGTGCTCCTGCCAGAGGGGACCCTTGGGCCCCGGAGATGCCAAGTGGGCAGCTGCTACCATAAGCCAAAGGGTGGGGGGCCTCATCTGGAGGGCCCCACCCACCTCTGCTGCCAGTCAACAAGGGCAGCTCACTCGGAATAAAGCGCCTGACCCATGAGGCCCTGCTGCTGGCGACTGAATGGGGACTGGCCCTGCCGCGCGCCCTCGAAGGAGCCCTTGCTTCCGCTTAGCCTGCTCGCCAAGTGTCCAGAAGGCATCAAGGGGCAGTCAGTGGAGGCCACTGAGGGCTGGGAGGCCATAGCTTGGGGACACTCAGGTCACACCAGGAGGACAGGACAGATGAGTGATGGGTCCCTGCTGGAATCCTGGAAGGAAACTGTGGCTCAGAGAGGGGCGAGGGTGCCCCACGATGGCACTGGGTGGCAGCTGAGAGTAGAGCCAGCCGCAGAACCCATTCCGTGTGTGGCCCTGCCCCAATGTCCCCGTCACTCGCTCAGTGGACATGTCATAGGTTCCAGCGCCCCCTCCTCCAGGCGGAGCCCAGATGTGCCTGGAGCGGGGACTGTGGGCCACAGAGATAAAGAATGCAGCTCCGGGTCTCAGCATGGGGACGAGGGGACACAGGGGACACAGGGGACACGGGCTGTGAGCTGGGAGGTACAGGAAGGCTGCCTGCAGGCTGTGGCGGGGGCACTCCAGGCAGGGGTGGAGCCTGAGCAGAGTCCACGCAGAACATGGCATCCTGGGTACAGCAAGCCCTGGGTCATCACCACAAGAGGCCGAGAAGGGACGGACTGAGGGGACTCAAGGAGGTAAACTGAGGCTGGAAAGGCAGACTTGGGGCTGAGCTAAGGATGTGACAAGCAGCCAGAGCAGAGACAACCGAGTGGATTCACCCTGTAGTGCAGCCTGGAGGCAGCCGGCTGGGAGGCCAGCGCAGGGCCCAGGGAGTGGCTGGGACTGGATACCGGGGTGGCAGGGCGGGGCTGGTGACAAGCCATGGTGGTGGAGTGGTGGGGGGTGTGGATCACTCTTCCTGGAGGCCTAACTGGGAGAGGAGAGGCGGGGAGTAGGCGGAAGGGGAGCAGAGGGAGACGCAGGCAGGCAGGTCTGTGGTGGGCAACATGGGGGGGTACAGTCACCTGCCCCATGTACACTGGGAGAACTGAGCTGTGATCCCTGGGGTGCTCTCCTAAAACTCAGATTCCAAGGCCACAGTTTTGCTGCAAGGAGGTGGGGGCTGGGGGGCTCTGAGGTGAGCTGTGAGCTGCGGAGTTGGGCAGGAGCCTGCCCGGGTGACACGGCACCTGAGGCCGTCACTGCTGGGTTGGGCCCGCGGAAGGAACTGGCTAGGCCCGGTTGGAAAGGGAAGCAGTGTCCAGAGTCTAGGAGAGCAGGGAGCGCAGCAGAGGCCTGGCCTGCGGGGTTGGGGGGTGCAGTGGGGTGCAGGGGTTGGGGTCTCAGGGAAGGGAGGGCCAACCTGAGGTCAGGATACAGCTGGGGCCCTGGTTCCCACTGCTGGGCTCCAGGCACCTGGCAGGGATGCAGCCACGGCCTGACCAGTCCCTCAACCTGGCTCAGCTGACAGCCAGGTAGGGGCGGTTCCTGCCTGCCTGGGTTTGGCCCGTCCCCAGCAGTCGCCTGCAGAAAGAGGCAGCGGCCAGGCTGTTTCTTCAGTTTATTCTGTGAAGGGGGGACACAGCTGAGGTCAGCACCCGTCCTGGAGGTCACACACAGAGGGCCCCTGGCACCGCCTGTCCTGGCCAGCCTGGGCTCTGACTGAGGGAGGGGTCTGTTCCTGGCTGGGCAGGGTGCTCTGCAGCCCTGCACATGGGTGGGCACGGGGACAGCCACGGTGAAGGCCATGTCACCTACCCCTTCCTCTGGGAAGGGCTGAATCGCCACACCCTGCCCCCCTATGCCTGAATCTCTACTGGCAAATAGTGTCCTGCTTGGGGGTGGGCTGGCCCCCAAGGGGGAGAGGAGGGCAGTCCGACTCTGAGGGCTTTCAGGGACTCTGCTCTTTGCTGCACCCCACAACCCCGTGAGGTAGGTGGGCAGGAGGGTTACCCCACTGACAGGGAAACTGAGGCTCAAGGAGGTGATGTAACGGGACCAGAAGGGAGTACATCTACCATGCAGCAGGGGGACCTGGGCACGGGGACAGAGGGGCCTGGCAGACACAGCCGGACAGCGCCACACTTGGGCCAGCGGCAGGTGGCTCTGCCCACAGGGCTAAGGGCCCACCGCAGGCCTTGCGAGCCTGCCGCCAGGGGCAGGGGTAGGTCACAGCCCCACAGGTGTAGACACAAGTGGCAGGGGGGAGAGCGCTTCTTCCTTCTGGGGCCAGGGGCCCACCCCGTGGTACAAAAATAAAGGATTTCGGATCGGAACCCCCCGTCCCTGGAGGTGATCTGGGGCCTCACATCCGGGTGCCTCTGGCTTGTAATAGCTAGAAGATAAGAGGGAGAAGGGGCAACAGGAGAGGAGGGGTCAGAAGACCAGGGCCAGTGAGGAGTCAAGGGGAGAGGGGAGGAGAGGGGGAGAGAGAGGCAGGTGAGTCACAGGCTGCTCTGGGGGAGCAGGGCTGAGGCCCCGAGGAGGCGGAGCGGGAACCAAGGAGGAGGGGGCAGGAGGGCCTACCGGCTAACCCATCCCGAACCCTGAGCCCTGGCCCCGCCTGGGCTGGGTGCTGACTCCCTGGAGAGGCCGCTCTGGTGGGGACAGGACTGGGAGAGGCCACGTCACTGCTGTCTCAGGGAGGAGGAGTCCCAGGATGGCTGCCTGTCCCCATTTTAGAACCAAATGCAGCCCAGAGAGGGACAGTGACTCGCCCAAGGTTACACAGCTGGCACAGGTAAGACCGAGGCGGGGCTCATGGGCACCTGGCCAGGGCTTTTCTGCCGAAGTCCCATCCTTAACCAGCTCTGGCTGACTCCGCATTGGCTTAGGGTGTCCACATGTGGCCTGGCCTCGCCTGCCCGTCCCCCAGAAACAGGGGACCAGGGTCCCCTGCGGTGATGGGAGCTCCTGGGGTCGCATGGATGAGGCTGAGGCACAGGGTTCCAGCCCCGCCCCCAGCCTGGCTCAGGTGCTGGTGGGCAGGTGGGCAAGGGCCCTCTCTCCTGACTTTCTGCCCCAGGGCTCACCCCAAGACAGGGTGAGGGACTTCGGGGGGTGGGAAAGTCAGTGGGAAGAGTGCCCTCGGCTCCAGTGCAAGGGCCAGAGCTGTGCACCCTCCTGGCCTCCGCCCTCCCTCCAGCCCGCCGGGCTACCAACCAGGGATGGCAGCTCTGGGGGTGGGTGCAGGGCCGGGGAGCAGGCTCGGAGCCGGGAGGGTGCAGCCTGGGACCTGCAAGGAGGAGAGGTGAGCAGTGGCAGTGGCAGGAGCTGTGCGGGGCGGCGCCCAGGACCAAGGCCAGCCTCATAGGTGCCCGGTGGCAGTGGCGGTGCTGCTGGGCACACGGCTGTGGCCCTCTTCCCCAGGCCGGGAGGCCGGAGGGGCCAGGAGGGGGGAGGAGGGAGGCAGTGGCAGGCGGGATGCTCTGGGATGCGGGGCTGGGGGATCTGGGACGAGGGCAGCACCGGGATGGAGGTGCGAGCAGGCAGAGAGGAAACCCGGACAGGGGCAGAGAGGGAGGAGGCAGGGTGCAGATGAGGTCCAGGAGGAAGAGGAGGTGGATGAAGATGAGGCGGAACCTCCAGCGGGAAGCGGAGGAGGCAGTGGTGGGAGGGAGGGAAGGTTAGCGGGATCCTGAGATGACTGGGCTGCAAAGAGAAAGTAAGAGAAGGGAAGGTTATGCGGGCGGCGGCCAGGCGCCAGGCACTGAGCTAACCCTGCAGCCCGCCCCCCCGGCCTGGCCGGCTGCAGCTGGCTCCAGCAGGGAGAGGGCGGAGGTCCGCTTGCTGGCTCGGCTGTTAGCAATCCTCCTCCTGGGGGTGGGCTGCACCTTTCTCCTGGGCATCTGCCTCCACCTGCACCTGTGCCACCTCCACCTCCTCCACCTCCTCCTCCTGCCGCTGCCGCTCCTCCAGCTGCTCCTCCGCGCTCTGCGGCCGCCGGCGGACCCAGGGAAGAGAGAGTGCACACACTAACGAGGGGGCCCGGGCGGCTGCCCCCACGGACCCCGAGCTCAGGCTAGAGCAGACAGGCAAGACAAGGGGACCTCTGGAGAGAGTGGGTGACAGCCACACGCTGGGGCACCCTCTCCAGCCCCCTGGGAAGCCTGGGGAAGGGCTAGCTGAGGCTGAGTCAGTCTGGCTACTGTCACGCTCGCAGGTGCTCGGGCGAGAGGTGGAAGAGGGACGGATGGGAGTCACTGGTATCTGCAAGGGCGCCTGGCACTACCTGGCTGTGGGAGGACAGATTTGGGAGAGCTCGTCGAGGGAGCACAGGGCCAATGCTGGCCAGACTGGGAACACCAGCAGCAGTGTCTTGTGACAAGGGAAGGCAGAGTGGCGGGCTCACTCTGCAGTCCTGCACGGCAGTGCCGATGGCTGGCACCCACAGGGGTGAGCTAGGCCGGGGACCTTCAGCAGGACAGGACAGCAGACAGACAGACAGACAGGAAGCTGGAGCTCCTGAGCCTTCAGTGCACAGGAACAGGTCCCCAGGAGAAACGGGCTCTCTGTTCCCAGCCTAGCTCCAGCCTCCTCTGCCGGCCGTACCAGAGGCCTGTGGGGCTTCCAGCCAGCTCAGGTCCAGGGAACAGGACCCCACTCTACCCCTCGTCTACAGTGCTGATGCTGCCAGATGTCCCCTTAGGACAGCCCTCCCGAGTCGGGGTGGAAAGCCAGGGCAGGTCGCCAGGGCTCCTGGCACCCTGCATGCAGAGCTTGCAGAGAAGCCTGGAAACGGCAGGACCAGGGACCTTCACCACCCCCTGGGAATCACCTATGCATCTGGGAGCCCAGGAGCCCACTCGAAGTACACCTTGCTCACTGCACAGAGGACACAACAAAGGGGCCAGGGGGCAGGGCTCACTCCAGGTCATACTGAGTGTCACACTGGGTCCAGCCTCTCTGTCTCACGCCACCACACCTGTGGCCAGTACGTGTCCCGAGTACCCCGACACTGAGTCCCCCTGGCTGCGCCCTCAGGACAGTCCCATCTCACTGCTCCCCTGCCTGGGCCTGCGTATCTGGTGCGTGCAGACAGGACCACGTGGCATGGGATGGATGGCATGGGCTGTGACCATGGGGTTAGGCGTGTGCCGCGGGGAGGAAGCGGCAGAGGATGGTAAGGCGGGCGGGGCGTGCGCTGAGGCTGGGAGGGGCTCACCTTGGCCTTGCGGCTGGCTTCTGAGCTCAGGCCGTTGGGGGAGCTGTGCAGCTCCTTGGACACCACACACAGGAACTCCGCCTGGTCCTCGCTGCCGTAGTTGTAGGAGGAGCCGATGTTCACCAGCTGGGGGTGGGGGCAGGGATGATGAGGCTGGGTATCGCCTTGCCCGGCCACCCAGGTAGGACTCCCAGTTTCAGGACACCTCCAGAACCGTCTGTCTCCCGCCCTCCCTCTGCCTCTCCCGGCCCCGAGCCCAGCCACGCCCACACCCACACCCACACCAGCCTCCTTCCTGGCAGCAGCAGTGGGGCAGATGGCCAGGTGCTGGCCCAGAGGACAAGTAGCCAGGGGGCCTCCTCTGCTTGTTCTGTCTCTGAGGGCTGGGCCAGTGCCAGAGACTCCTGTCCCAGGACCCTGAACAGCCACACTCTCACGGCCTCTGGCCAAAGAGGTCCTGACTCCTGAAGGGTCCCATTGGGCTTCTGGGGACCCACTTTCAGCAGGCAGAGCAGAAAATAGCACCCTGAGAGTGGCAGAGCTCGGCGAGGTGGTGGCCCAGGAGGTCCTCAGCCAGGAAGCAGCGGGACAGGGGCTGGAACCTGGGCTCACTCTGCGTCCTCCATGGGGCCTCTAAGACCTTAATGCTCTACTTCTGGCAGAGAAGGCCAAGGGGATCGCCTCCCAGGCCTGGAACTGTACATGCGCCTCTTCCAATGTCCACCGGGGTCCCCTGGAGGAGGCGCCATGAGCCCACAGCCCAGAGGAAGAGGCCAGGGAGGAGCCGTGATGTGTGACATGGAGACATGGAGACATGGCAGCCAGCGGGGAATGAAGTCTCTGGCTCCTGGGCCAGGAAGCCCAGCCCTCTCTTTCCTCGGCTTCCCCACACCAGATGCTCACAGTGATGGGTGAGGGGCAGAGGACCTTCTCCTGGAAGAGCAAGCCTGACCTTGGGCTCACTCCCTGGCTGTGCTCCTCCGGAAACCCCAGTGGTGGGACGTCACTGTGTGCACCCCTGGGACATCACTGCTTGTGATGAAAGCAGCCTGGCTGGTAAGGGCATCTGGCCTGGGACACACCACAGGTCCCTGAGTAGCCCTCTTTGGGAGCCTTCATGGGGCTCCCCTGGTGATAACAGGGTGTCCCTGGGGGTCTGGGGGCTGTGCCCATGGAGCTGTTACAGAGGTGCAGACCAAGGGGAGCGCCCTGGCCCTCGACTTCTCATATCTGGGCTGTCACTTGGGGCTGGAACCTTGCTCAGAAGTCTCCAGTAGGGCTGTAGTGGGGACCCCGAGGTTGGGCTACAGGAAGGAAGAGGGCCCCTGTCTCCCATGGTGCCCCCATGTCCCTAGCCCACCTGCTCAAAGCGCCAGCCGTCAGACATGGTGGAGACCATCTGAGTGAGCTCCTCCTCCTGGCACTGCAGCACACGGTACACATGCTTGGGTGGCACCTGTGGGGAGAAGGTCACATGGAGGGCAGCTGCCACCTCCCCAAACATGTACCCTAGGCAGAAGACATGGGAGGAAGAGGTGGAGGCAGGGAGCCGTGCCCTAAGTACCTACTGTGTGCCAGGCGCTCAACACACAGGAGCTTGTTTAATTCCCCTAGAGCCCTGTGCATTGTGGGATTTTTCACTGAGGCTCAGAAAGGTTCAGTTACTTATCCAAGGTTACCCAGCTCGGGGTGGCAGAGCTGGGACTGGAACGCAGGTTAATAACAGAGGGAGGGAAATCAGAGCTTGGGCGTCTGGTCACCAGTGGAGCCTCCCCTCTACAGACTCCGGGGCGGTGAGGTGTGGTGGTGGGCTGCCTCCCTCCCTGGGACAGCTCTCACCTCCCAGGGTGGGAGACCTGCACCCCCTCCCGTGGACTGGTCTCTCTGAAGACATGGCTTGACACCCTCTAAATTCCAAGAGAGGAAATCAAGGTCCAGAGAAGGACACACAGCAAAATGGCAGAGGCAGGGACAGAACTCCAGATGGGACGTGGCCCTGCCCTCACAGATGCCCCGCCTCCCTGGCCTCCCCTCCTTTCCCCGTCTGCCCCAGCCTGGGCTGGACGACCCGCCCGCTGACCTGTGTCACCGTGTAGTCCTTCTCCTCCATCCGATCTTTGATGATACGGATCAGCGGGCCGATGTTGTAGAACTCAGCTTCCTCTAGCACCCCTGGAGGACACAGCAGCTGTGGTCAGTCTCGCTGCCTGTGCTCCATTCTCCCCTCGTCCTCTCTGTCCCCAAACCTACTTCCTGTTCTGGTCATATACCCTGAGGAGGTGAGCTGTGCAGCTGTGGGCTCGGGAGTCAGGCAAGAAGCAGCACTTCCCTCTGGAGGCCCCACATTGCTCATGGCAGGGTAGCTTCCGCCCTAGATCCCCACGGTGCGGAGCATAAGGACCTGGCCAGTGCACCACTGGGGTTGTCCAGGACTGTGAGAGGGCTGAGCCCCTGAATGCTCTGTGAGGACAGTTCGGGCCAGGCACGTGCCAGGTGCAGGCTGCTGTGATCTGAATGTGATGTCCTTTCTCAAAACAGGAGGTGGGTGCTTTTATCGTCTCCCTGAGCTGGGAATGAAGGCTCTGAAAGAGGAGCCATCGGGAAAAGGTCACAAAGCCAGTTCACTGCGGAGAAAACTCAAGCCCCTCGGCCTTCAGAGCCCGAATTTTCCCACTGCAGACGCACACACTACTGTATGTGTAGCCCCTGACTACAGCACTTTACTGTTCACAGAGCCACCTGTGCTCACCCTAAATCACAGGGACACGGGAGGACATCCGTCTCCATCCCATTTTACAGCTAAATCTGAGACATGAAGCAAGTCACCCCCACACAGGAGAAACCAGGAGCTCCCCGTGTCTGACTTCTTACTCTGCAGGACAAATGACCTCCTGGTCCCTTCTGGCCTCTGGGCCCCTGAGGAACAGGGCCTACTATGAATTGTTTGTGTTTCTCCAAAATTAATACACAGTGTGATGGTATTAGGAGGGCCACAGGCCTGTGGGAGATGACAAGGACACGAGGGTGGTGCCCTTGATGGGATTAGTGCCCTTATGGGAAGTGGCCAGGCCATGGCCCTGAACCTGACCCCATAGGCACTGTGATCTCAGACTTCCGATCTTCAGAACCGGGAGAAACAACTTTTGGTGCTTTATAAGCTACCCAGCCTACAGAACTTTTTGGTCACAGCCAGACGGACTACTTTAGGGCCCCTTTCTGATCTCCCTGCTCTCTTGATGCTCACATAGGACCTCACACGGAGGGGGTAGTCACAGTGCTGCTGCCCGGTGCAGGTGACAGATGGGACATCCAGCCCTGCAGAGCCAGTGTGGTGGGTGCCACTGTCCCCCCATTTCACAGAAAGGGAGGCACAGATGAATAGCATCCTGAGAGTCACACAGCTCACCAAGCCCTCTCCCAGACTGCCGCCTGCCTGCTGGGTGCCTTGCCCTGTCTGAAGGTGCCGGCAGAGCAGGGCTTGGAGAAGTCCAGATCCTGTAAATAGGTGTTGGTTGTGACGCAGCTGCAACAGTCACTTCCCCTCCCGTGGGAACTGCACCGGGCCCAGGCCACGCCCACAGTACCCAGGCTCCCAGACGGGCTGCTGCCAGGGCTCAGCAGAGCGGGGCAGTACTCGCGCTCAGGGATGAAGCCCTGACCTGCTGAAGAGTTACTTGGCCCACCTAGGGGGTCACAGAAGGGAGAGCACAGCCCAGAGTAGGGAGGGCTGGGCTGGGCTATGTCAACAGCCCCCGTGGTGTGGGGCTCAGGACATCTGTAAGACCAATGTGTGCGCCCTAGAATGCAGGCCACTGCCCCACTTTAGAAACATCAGTGGAGATGCAGAGAAAAGTGATGTATCCTAGCTGGCCCCGCTGGGTCAGCTGACCACAGACACACGCTGTGCTCTGGGAAAGTTGACTCGGCACTGACTGTCGTCCTTGGCCCTGGCTGGGCTCTGTTAAGGGACGGTTCTCCCTGCCGTGGCTTCTCTACTGTCTGCTACACCCAGATGTGGGCACTGCAGGCCTGGGAGAGCCAAAGCCCTCCCAGAGAGCACTCCCCCACCTCCACCCACAACCAGCGCAGTATGCAGAAGGTGCCAGATTGGGGAGGAGGTACCCGCTCCGCCCACCTGCTGCCTGCCAGCTCTTGCCAGGCAGCATCTGAGATACCGGATCACCGGGAGAAAGGATGAGCCTTTCCCATGCCTGTCTCAACCCATGTCCCTACCCCTGCCTCTGGGTGTGACTATACTTGGTTTCCCAGGAGGCTAGAGCCTATAACAGAAGCCCTAGGGCAACACTGACCTTTCCTATTCTCTGTGTATGTCTCTGTTACCTTCCCTGACAGCATTCATTCAGTGACAGCTTGGTAGAGACCCTGAGAACCAGCCCTGCCCACATGGGAGAAAACAAGCATCCAACCAGGCTGGGAGAAATGGCTCTAGGCCTCCAGGGAAAGCCACAGCAGGCTACAGAGGCAGGGCTAGGATGTGGGCCGTAGGCCAGGCCCCTGGGCCAACTCACCCTCCTCCGCCATGTCCTTGTCTAGCACCAGCTTGCCATGTCGGAGGAAGTTCAGGATGGGTCCAAAGTAGGTGGGGTCACGGTCGATGAGGTATGCCCCAGTCTCATCCTAGGGAGAGGAAGGCACAGAGGGCAAGAGAAGTGTGACTCCCTCCTCCTCCTCCTCCTCCTCCTTTTGCAGCCAGCTCTTATGTCCATGCTCTTACTATATCCAGGAAGAAGAGACTTAGGGCAGGGAGGGAGGGGGAAGAGGCAGGATAGTACAGTAAGGGCCCGGAGTCAGGTGGACCTGAGTTCAAAGGCCCCTGCCCTTTCCAGACTTTGGGTCAACAATTTGCCCTGTCTGAACCTCTCTTCTTCCCACTATTAGGGGTCACTATGGACATACACTGAGTGACATATGGCCCAGCATAGGTTTCCCCAAGGCCAGCCCCACTGTCCATCAACTCCCTAGTCTTCCAGGGATGTTTACAAGTTTCCAAAGGAACCACGCTCTGATTGGAGACTCGCAGCCTGTAGGGAGTCTCCTGTACAACTGGGATACATCAGGAGAAAAGGGGCTTGCCCAAGGTCACAGCTTAGGCATGAGGGGCAGGGAACCTTTCAAGTCATCTCCAGACCGGTCCCTTGGGTTACACAGGAGGAAGCTGAGCCCGGAGGAGAGAATGGTTCCACCCAAGGTCACGCAGGAGACCAAAGCAGGGCGGCTGCCCAGACATGGTGTCCGGTGGGCCAGTGCTCCTCCGAGATGAAGCCCAGCTCAGAAGGCACTTCCATCTGTTCCCTCGACCCTCCACCACCCACACCCCGAAGAGCAGGACGGCGGCCCCTTCCACTCCTCCCCGGAGCAGGGGTCCCGTCTGGGAAGCGGGTCCACCCCACCGCCCCAGAGAGGGCCGCCTCCAAGTTCCAAAGGGCCGCGGCCTGCGTTGTCCCGTTGCCACGGCAATGGGCACACTCCGGGCTCCACTCCCTGCCCCTCCTCCTGCCACTTCTTCCCGCCTCCGGTTCCTAAGAAAGAACCCGACGTGGCCCGGGCAGCAGGCGGGCGCGGCCGGGCCGGCCGGGGGAGGGACAGCGCCGCGCCAGGAGCGGGGACCCCAGTCGCCGCCCCCGCGCGCTCACCCGATCCGACTGCAGCTCTTCCCCCTGGCACAGGCGGCTGAGGAAGGACTTCTGCTCCCGACACAGCGTCTGCCGGGTGGTCAGGAACACCGTGCCCCCCACGTTGAGCCGCACCCACTTGCCCCAACCTCCCGCGGCGCGGCCGCCCGCCCCCGCCGGCCGCGCTGCCTCCCCGGCCTCCATCCTCATCGCCCGCCTCGGAGTCTGCATCCTCGACTCCGCGCCGCGGACGGGGCGCGCGGGGCACGCCGGGAGCTGTAGTCCGCGCGCATCGTAGGCCCCGCCCACCACGTCGCCACGCCCACCCTTCCCTCCTCTCGCTCTGGGTCATCTCTGCCGCCCCGCCCATCCTCGCCGCCCCGCCCACCCCACCCCCTCCTTTCCCACCACGCCCATCGCCATCGCCACGCCCACTCCACGCCTCCCTCCCCTCCCCCTCCCCTGGCTGGCTGGTCTGAGCATTTGTGCGCTCCAAAAAGCACGTTGGCAGCTTCCTCTGTCTGGGGAAGGCCAGGTTCCCAGACACAGAAAAAAGAGTCGTGTCCCAATTCAGCAGTCCTGCCGTTTGTCCCGCACAGTCGCTTCTTGGTCTTTTGGCTAAGCGTGTTTGTCCCCGCATTACAGTATTGTCCTTTCTTTGTGCAGTTCAGCCCCTGTGGGAATGTGTGTGCTCCAGGGAGCTGGGGCGCGGACCAGTCCTAGGAGTTGCTCTGTCACTCAGTGGCACCTCCAGCCAGCCCGGAAAGCGGTCCCTGTGCCCTGTGCAAGCGCAGGGGCGCAGCGAGGAGGGGGATTCTTTCCCACAGACGTTCTCTGAGGACAGAGGGGCACGCGGGCTGCAGAACACGGGCAGCTGTCCTCAGCCCTGCGAGCAGAGACTTCCAAAGACTGAAAATCCCTGAAAAAAAGGAGCTCAGGGAGGAAGCTGGAGGTGGGGACCGGGAAGAACTGGTCAAGCTGGGGGAGAGGAAGGAGCCCCTGCGGGGCTGAGAAGGCGGAGCCGGGTGTGGGGTAGGCCCCGTCCACTGGGGGCCGGTTCCCACGGAGGGCGGGCTCTGCCGCGGACCCAACGGCTCGGGGCTTCCGCAGGGGAACAAGGCTGTGGGCGTGGCGTTTGGGGACTGGTGTTCAAGGTGGATGGCGGGGTCGGGGTCAGCTGGGGGTAGGAAGGGAAAAATGGGGACACTATTCATGTCAGGGCTGTTCTCCTGCCCTCCCCCACTGCTTACTGGACTTCTTGGGGTGCAGCACTGTCCCTGCACCATTGTATCATAGGGCCCATGTGTGCTTGATCTAGGGCAGGGGAATGGAGCAAAATACAAAGACCCCTGGCTGTTTGCTGCCTTCTCAATCAAGTAAGTGTGTGTGGTACTGGGGATTGAACCCAGGACATTTGCCCAGAACTGCATCCACAGTCCCTTTACAATTTTATTTCTGAGACAGGGTTTTGCTAAGTTACCAAGTTGCCTACGCTGGGCTTGAACTTGCAGTCCTCCTGCTTCAGCCTCCCAGAGCGCTGGGATTACAGGGGTGCACCACTATGCCCCGCCTGTTTTATTTAACTGCTCTCCATGTCCCTGGGCCAACACATCATGGCATGTACTTGTGAACATTCAACAGTGGCAAGCGTACCATCTCCTTCCGTGCCCCAGGCCATGTGCCAGGCATTCTGTCACAACCCCACCACTGTGGAGCAGCGTCTGTCACCACTGAGGGCTCTGCCCTGGCCAGGTGGTGCCTGCTGTCGGCCCCCATCCTCACTACAACTCACTTCCCACTTCCACCCCACTGATAGGAGTTGAGGCTTAGAGACCAGGCTGTCCCTAGGCTGTGCTGGAGACCACAGAGAGCACAGCTGGCCTCAGAGCCTCACTGACCCTGAAGCCAAAGCCGGTAGCCGTTGGTTTCCCCCCCCCCCAGCACCCCACCCCACCTCGCCCTAGGGGCCCCTACAGATGGGGAAGCCTTGGTCCAGGACAGACTCATCTCAGCCCCCAGCTCCACGCAGGACTGGGCACTGTCTTGCCTCGGAGTGGGCCTCGTGGCCAAAGTCCTGGAGGTGTCCAGCAGAAGCTGGCCCAGAGGGAGGCTTGTCTGACCGTCCTTCCTTCCTCTGAGCCACTGTCCCTCCAATGGACATAGCATGGCCCTCGGCAGGCTCTTAAAAGTCTCCGCTCTGAAGCAATAATCTCTTGGATGAGGGACACAGCCGAGAACCAGGTGGCAAGACCCAAGTTCCCTGAATAGAGCTGCCAGTGTCCACTGCATCCTTCCCTGTGTCCGGCCTTCGTGAGGGGAGCCCTGGTTTGGTGGAAAATCATAAGGCTAGGAGGTGGGGGTGCAGAGGGCTGTCCTCACCTGTCTTCCCACCTGCCTCCCTTCCTCTGTCTTATAACCAGGCCATCACTGTGTTTGCTGAGCACCAGCCATACAGACACTGGGGACAAATATGTCAGGGGTTGCTCCTGCCTTCCAGGGAGCTTTGGTTTGGGAGAGGTGGGTTTGAGAGAGATCCCAGAGACCCCTGTTTGTAATCCCAGACTGTCATTCTTTGTACATTTTTTGCATGTCCCCCATTTAGAAGATGATGAGGAAAACCCTAAACATTTCTGGGGGGGGGGAGCACTAAGTTGGAAAAGGCCCAGACTTCAAGTGCTTTTAGGTACAGTGCCCCCCTGCTGTCCCCTTGGTTCTGGATTGGCTGCAAAGTGGGACAGGACAGAGCAGGCTGGCAGAGGGGAATGTCAGCCTGGCTTGTGGCTTGCTACCTGAGTGGCCTCAGAAAAATCAGTCTCCCTCTCCCAGCCTGTTTCCTTATGTATAAATGGGGATGGTAACTGGACCTTCCTCCTGGGGGCGCAGTGAGGGTGTCAGGTGCCAACGCCAGAAGACATCAGAAGGGCCCCCTCCTCCCTACTGGGGTCAAGGGGAAGCAGGGGAGAAAGACCACCCCAGGTGTCCCCAGGTTTAGAACCGAGTGGGTGTTATTTTGTCATGCTAAGCCTCCATGACCTAAAGCCACCTGTGTCTCACTCTGCGTCAACAGAACTAAAGGAACAAAGTATTTCTGGGATTCTCACTTGGTGCACCTTGGGGCGTCCTGCTTTGACCTTTCCCTTTCTCCTAGCAGCATCTCCGCATCTGAATGGCTGTGTCACATCTGCTGGCAGTTCCATGACTAACATGTCACTCATTCTGGCTGGCATTTGACATTCAGGTCTCTTCCCCAAGGTTCGGGATGTCAGAACATTCACCTCCATTGCTAGTTTGGGTCTTCCCTGCAAATCCTATCCTGGCTTTGCCTGGGGTGTGCGGAGGGGTGGTGGTTCTGCTGGTGGTGAGCTTTGACGTGGGGTGCTGGCTTGAGCTCCCACATTTTCAGGTCACCTGGGGAGAGAAAGGGGCGGATTCAGGCAAAGAAGATACATCTAACCTGCTAGAAATAGCCCTGCTAAGAGCAAGCTTTGAAAGGCAGTGGCTCAGGGTTTGACTCTGCCCCCAGCATCCTGATTCAGGCACACAGTTAGTTAGACATGCAACCTCACTTTAAGTCATTTGCAATGCTGAAATCATAGCGCCATTACATGCAGCAGATGCTAACCGCTGTGGCCAACCCCTCGGTGCGCTCAGCTCTGGACCAGAGCTGCAGTCTTGAAGAAGCTAAACACAGCCCCATGGACTTGAATGTTTACAACACTTAAATCGCCACGCCTTCACCTAGATCATCCTCGGGTTGTCAACAGACGCTCACCAGCCTGTCTCCACGGTTGGGCTTTAGTTTCAGAAAGGAAAGAGACCCTGATCCTCCCCCTGGAGCTCACAGAGCGCCAGTAAATTCCGCAGAGAGAACAGCCAAGCGCCTCCTCCTACCTCAGCAAAGGTGTGTACGTGGGGGCACCCGAGCTGGGCTCTGCGCCCTTCAACCAGAAGGGGGCGCTCAGCGAACCGCTCAGCCGGGCCTGACCGAGCGGTGAGCGTGGCCCGCGACGCAAGTGTCACCACCAGGGGACGCGCCAGCCTTCCCGCCTCGCTGCGCATAAGCAGATCGGCCGCCTACCAGCTCGCTAGGAGCTGCATGGGTGTCTTTTCATAAACTCAGCTGGAGTGAGACCCTGACGGCTGGCCCAGCTCTCCCCACCAGCTCTGGAGGATCCCTAATATTGACGCAGTGGGAGATCAGCTGCATTGGAGGGGCGCAAAGGGTGGCTCTCCACCCTCCACAGCCTCAGCTCCTCCCCAGTCCCCGGAACACACAGGTCAAGCCCGCTGGTGCGTCTTCCCCCAAGCCCCTTCCTCAGCGGGTGAGAGGGAGGCCTTGATCCCAGCACGTGGGCAGCCGCCAGCACTGCTTCCCAGCTGCTTCTGAGGCCACCTCTCTCTGTCTGTCCCCTTGTTTTAGGATACGGGCGCATTTGTTGGGGGGGGGGGGGGCTGAAACTGTATCAGAAAAATCTGCATTGAAACAACACAAGACCAAGCATGAAAGCGCACATCTGCAACCCTGGCCTCTGGACAGGAAGGTCGCAAATTCTAGTCTAACTTGGTCAACCAGGGAGACCCTGTCTCAAAATTATTAAAAAAGGACTAGGGATGCTGTTTAAATATCTGGGTTCAATCCCCAGGACCACTCAAAAAATATTAAAATAATTTCACACAGAGAGAAAAGTTGCAAAAATAGTTCCAAAAAAATTCCCGAAATGTTTACACTTCGCTGCTCTTGATTTTTCCTTGAGCCTTCCTTATTTTTCTGAACTGTTTTTCAGTAAACCGCAGAGTTAAAAACTCTTTCATTCCTAAACTCTTCAGCGTGGTTTCCTGAAAACGTGGACATTTTCTTGGATCACCTCAGTGCTGTGTTCAAAGCCAGGAAATTTAACATCATCGATAAAATATCTCCAACTTATCTAGAGAGGTTTTCAAACCTCTTTTGATCTTGTGCATGTTCTTTAGAGCACAAGAAAAAAAAATGCTAAACGCATTTGGGATCCAGTCCAGCAGGTCCGGTACTTGGTCATCCTGTCTCTGCACACCTTTAATCTGGCAGGCCCTCTCTGTCTTTCATCTCTAAAGCATCAGGGTGATCTCTTTGGTAGAACCCTCCACTGTGGGTCTCCTTACCATCAGATTCACTCGGGATTTTGGCAGCAGTGCCACAGAAACACAAGTGACGCCCTCTCTCTCTCTCTCTCTCTGCATCTCACCAGGAGGTACCTAACGTGGCCCTGTCCCATCACTGCTGAGGGTAACGCGGGCCATTTCGTAAAATTGGGGTCCTCCTGAATGTCTCTTAATGTGTTCCCAGGGGTGAGCAGACCTCCTGGTCACTTTTTCCTCTTTTGAATTAATCAGCACCTCATGAGATTCGGTGAATTTGTGCTAATATGCTGTTTCTCATCAAACCGATTTATCTCCTGAGTAATTTGACTATTCATTCATTGTTCCCTGAAACAGTCTTTGCCGTGAGCTTGCCACAGTGTGATGCTCTGGTTCCACGAGTCCTTCTCCGTCTCTTAGGAGGCAGTCTACAGGAGGAGGGATTTCTCTTCCCTTCCATGCCTGTGCTCACTCTTTTGTTTATATCAATACAGACCATTGGATTCTTATTTTATTCTGGGTTACAATCTGTTATTATTATTATATGTTTTGGTGTTCAAAATATCTAAGATTCAGTCAAATCTGTTAAATGTTTCACTATCCATTTTTTAAACAATAAAACAACCCTTTAAGATGGGGGTAAAATGCACATAACATAAAACCTGCCATCTGCTCTGTGTTTAATGTACAGTTCCCCGAATTAAGTACACCCACATTGTTGTGATGGGATCACCACCCTCCTTCTAGAACGCTTGCCTTGCAAAACTGAAACCCTGCATCTGTTAGACAATAACTTGTGCCATCATCTGCCGGGGACCTGGCCAAGATCCCCCACCTCCTGAAGGGTGAAATAAGACACAGACAGTTTCAGTAATGTATAAAGTGGGGCTGGGAGGTCAGTGCCTCTCTGTGCCTGTAATGCATTTCAGAAGGGAGGGGATGTGTACTTTTCCTGGAACAGGGCGGTGATTGCTGTGGGCTAGGGAAAAGGCCAAAGCATTCTTGCAAGGATGAGACAAGGGCCAAAAGGAAACTGTTTTTTCCCCCAGGAGAAATTTTTACTGCTGCTACTATGTTGCTTTAAAGATCCTCATAGTCCTCAGCAGGTCTTATCCTGCCCTGGGAATGCCACTGCGTCACTAGCTGAAGGTCTTCAGAGAGCGGGGAGGCTCTGAGGTCCAGCTTACCGGGTAGCACAAAGATGGCCTCGGAAATCTTCTGGACCCAATTTATAATCTGTGTTCCTAACGTTCCCCCCTTTCTGTTTATTTGATTGCAGAAGTGGAATCCCAGTGAGCTGTGGCCACAGAACTTCTAGACGCCGGTGGGTCTGAGTTCCTCTGCAGAAGACTAAGAATAAAACCAGGTGACCTAAACCAATCACTACGAGTACAGCCGTGTAAACCAGAAATGAGCCTTGAGATATTTAAAAGGATTCAGCTACTTGAGGATGTCAGAAAATTTATTCTAATCTTGCATTTTTTCATCAAAATTTTGAGTTTGTTGAGACATAGACAATAATTTTTTTTGGTAAAATATCTAGGTCCAGAGTTATATTTTGATGTGTGGCCCTCTGAATATTTATTAACGTGTTTCCAGGGGTGAGCAGACTGATGAGTCTGGTCGGGGACTTAGGCAAAACTGGCGGTTCATAGTGACACTTGAGGCTTTGCTGTGTCTGCAGACTTTCACTTTGATCTGCCACCCAGAGAACTACAGTCCTAGCACGCTTTTTTGTGGCTGAGGCTTGGTGACTAGCATGTGCTGTTTTCCAAGCTTTGTCTGCTGTCTTTGTCCAACTGTCCACAAAATGAGCTGCCTCAATGGAGTGACCAAGAGCAACAGGACAGACAGGCACATTGGAAATCAGCGGTACTAAAGAGACTATCCCAGCAACAATCAGGCTAATTATTTTTTTTAGTTCTATATACAGGATGATCACTAAGGACTGCAAAAGTTGTAGCATTGGAGTGTGAGACCAAGGCTCAGTTAATTTAACCGATATTGGGGCTGGGGATTTAGCTCAGGGGCATAAGTGCCTGCCTTGCAAGCTCACGGTCATGAGTTCGATCCTCGGTACCAAAAATAAAAATAAGAAAATAAATTAACCGGTATCCACACTCCTGGCATCCATCCCAGGGCTATTAGACTTCTATCAATATTGTCTCTTGCTTGGTGCAGTGACTTTAGGTACATCTGGTACGTGTAAGGGAAGTTTCACTCCAGACTATCGATCCATAAAGGAGATCACAAGGATGGTAAATACACAGGGAAGCTCTTTGCCTGCCACTTCGTTTGCCCAACACAGTAACAGTGTCCTTAGTTGGGTGCATATTATAACCCATCCATTTTTTCCACCACAATACAGGACAGGGCAAGCTTCCAAACGGCAGTGTATAGGCTCAGATTTGCCGTTAATCAAAGCCCATGGGATTAGTGTGCTAAATCTTGCACCTTCCACATAAGCTCCCCTGCAGGGAGGATCTGGACGGCTATCTTGTTAATCCGTTTCCATAAGGCCTCTTACCAATCAGAAGCATTGTTAGCCCTTCATTGCATACTCTAGGGCTCCAGTCAATAAAATTATTTCATCATAGACATTTTTATCTCCCTTTTCCCTTGCAAAGGCACCAAGAAGGAGAGAAAGTTTTTGTGTTATTATTCCAGTAAGTGTGATTTTCACAAAGAGGGACATGAGAGGCAAATCGATCTCTTCATCCGTTACATGAATCGAATCGAAGATCAAAATGATGAATTGATCATGATGATGCATCAGCCAATTTTGGGCACCAGGAGAAAGACAGTAATTGGATTGTATTGTCCTAGATCCTACACTCAATGGAGGGTGAGTGAAACGAGAGATAATTTATACGACCTTACCCTGCATCTCTGGTGATGATGAAGGACCAGCTACTCAGTCAGCCTAGGATGAACTTGTGACTTCTGATAGATTTCAGGAGGAGGCAGCCCAAGAAAGGGGTTTGAGAGGGCGGATCTGGCACACACTCCCGATACTCTTGTTCCAGCACAGGGTCATGCACACAGCTCAGGCCATGATGGCCATCACACAAAGAACATTTTTTGGTTTCACCACAGTCCATTGCTTTCTTCTCCCAGGCTCGTGTATTGTTGGATGGCAGCGGTACTGTGGCTCCACCGCCTGTTAACACCCAAGCTTCCCCTCGGTCCCACGTTACTAGCAGTGACCGATCTTCCTAGGCACCTGCTTGTTTATCTGCCCATAACACTGGGCTGGAAGCAGAAGCAGCCTGCCAATTAAATTCAGCAGGAGAGCATGTTTCTGTGCTCAAATTAAAAAAAATTAAAGTGAAAGTAGCAAGGTCTAATGGTGCTTTAGGGGGCGACCGCACTCCCCCTTTTCTGTTTGTTTAGTTGAATTTTAACGGATAGGTGTGCTCTCTCTGCAGCTGTTTGTCCTTATGGGTTGTAAGAAGTTCCTGTGATGTGCTTCATACACCAGAGCTGAAATAGGGAAGAGAAGGCTCTGCTTACATAAGAAGGGCCATTTTCAGTTTTTAGGTATAAGGAACTCCCATAGGTGCAAAGGTAGACAAGCAGAGCTGTTCAACATGTCTCAACTTCTCTCCCGTATGGCAAGTGGCATGAGTCATGTGACAACACGTATCTATTTAAACAGGAACCAATTATAATGGGGAGGAGGGGAGATGGGTACCATCCATTTGTCAAAGTTCATTTTCCTTAAGTCCTCGGGGATTGCTACCCTCAGGTGGAAACAGGTCAAAGAATTCTTCAGCAAGTAGTGCAGGACAGTACAGTCTGTATAGCTTGTGATGGCAACCATTGAAATCTTTAGCCAAAACTTTGCTCTTTGGATGACGAGGAGCCTGGGATTGTCTGGTCAAATCAAAAGGAGTCGCAATGCTATTAAAGAATCAGCCTGTTGATTACCAAGAGCCAATGGTTCTAGTAGATTGAATTGTGGTCTAAGAGGTCCAGTATCAATGGGATCAGAGTGGTTTTTGAATGGCTCATGATAATCTAAGAAATAAGTTAAATAGTGGAGGTTCTAGTGTAGCCTGAAGGGTGGCACTTTCTAGACATTAGGTAAGAAACACTGCATAGGCAGAATCACTAATGATGTTAATAAGGGTTTGACTTGTTAATTATAAAACATAAAGAATAGGAGTGACTTCTAATTGTTGAGCTGAAAACTCTGAGTTCAAAATATCACAATGGAAGTCCTTATTCCAGATGGCTGCATTTCCTTTTGAGGAGCCATGGGTAGAGTAAGTTGGTTCTAATTGTGTAATTTTAGGTATGATATGTGGATGTTTAAGGAAGAATTGAAAAATAGGACCACTAGGAAAATGACAATCAATTTGTCCTATAAAATCAGCAAAAGCAACTTGCTAGTGTAACAATGTAACATGATAGACCATTGAGATAAATCTATAGGGCAATATAATCATAGATGGATCAACAGCAAACAATCAACAGAAGTGGGTTCTTCCCAAGACAATGATTTTAGCAGTCTGTACAATCGAGAATCATAAAATTGACTCAAAAGTCCAGTAAGAGAATGAGGAGTAATTAAAACACTCAAGCCATAAGGCTGATTACTATTGATACCATACACTTGCTGTTCTTGTAATATTTTCTCTACTAATTGTAATTCTTTCTGTGCCTCAGGGGTTAATTGTGGAAAGTCAATCTAAGAGACTCCTTGTGGGATATCATAAAGATGTCTTAATGTGTTAAGTGACTGACCAGTTTAGGATGGATCCGATCAATGTCTCCTGGGAACTTTTGGAAATCATTTAAAGTCAACAATGGATCTTTTTCTTATTTTGATTTTTTGAAATCTCACTGCCTACTTTGTTAATAAAGTTCCTAAATAATAAGGGCTGGAAATCTGTACCTTACCAGGGACTAGGCAAAGGCCAAAAGCCTTTAGATCCCTTTCCCCAATGCAGTCAAGTTATATAGAGTCAGTTGCTAATAAAGTACCACCACTGTAGTAGACAATTATGCTTGAGGAAATAGTTCTCTAGTATTTTGCAGGGCTTGTCCTACAAAACGTTGACACACGTTGGGGACTGTTACTCATCCCTTGTGGCAAAACTGCCCATTGATATCTTTTCATAGTTTTCTCAAAGTTTACACTAGGTATAAAGACAGCAAATTTCTGACAATCAAAAGGATGCAAGGCAATTGTAAAGAAGCAGTCCTTGAGATCCACAGTGACCAGTGTCCACTCCCTAGGCACAGCAGTGGGGAATGGAAGCCCTGGCTGCAGTGCTTCCATCAGCTGCAAACAAGCATTAACTGTTCTCAAATGCTGTAACAATCTCCACTTACCAGGATTTTGGGGAATAAAAAACACAGAGGTGTTCCAAGGACTAACTGATGACTCCAAGTGACCCAATTGAATCTGTTTCTGTATTAACTCATATAGATGTACAAGCTTCTGTTTGAGGGGTTGTTGATCTACCCAAACAGAAATTCCAGTATTCATTGTAGGAGTAAAGCCACCTTTGGAGGAGAAGTACTAACAAATGGATTGATAGTCAGTTCCTATCCAAACTAGTTTAACCTCAACATTTGAAGACTCAGGCCCGTCCTGCAAATTTTTTCCAATCCCATTCCAAACCAGTATCCAGTTCTTTTGTCATATTTTCACCCACAGATGTAGATTCAATGGTTAACTTCATTTTCTATTCCTTTAATGAATCTCTCCCCCATAGATTAACAGGTATGGGTGCTATACATGGCAGGAAGGAACCAGTTTGGTAGGCTGACTCTGAATAAGATAAGAGACACACACTTTGTGAAGCCAGTTGTAGTGACCCAAACCCCACTAGTGAGGTTGAAGTTGTTTTTGTAGGCAACAGACAGCCCATTGATAAGTAGACATCACAAGGATGTCAGCACCTGTATCTACCAAGCTCCAAACATCTCTTCCGTTAATATTGAACTATATCTGTAACCTATATCTGTCTTTTAGATGTGTCTTTGAAACCTTTGGTTATTGTTCATGAATATCTATAGCTCAGATCATCAGCCTTAGGTGCAAGCAATATAATTAACTTGAGCTACCATAATCACTTGGCTCAAATACTCAAATATTCATGGACTGAACAGCAACCTGGTTTTCCCTCTTATGATCAGCATCTATTATCCCAGGTAGCACTGTGATATCTTTTAAATTTACATCTGCCTTTCCCACCACCAGTCTGACAGTGCCATCTGGTGGGAATCCCCAAGTTCCTGTAAGTTCATCTCCCACTATGAGGTGACCTTCTGAGCAGCAGGGAGGGAGATCTAGTCCTGCACTCCTTGGAGTTCCACAGGTGAGAGGAGTAATGTCCCTTCTGGGACCCAGGCCTGCTGGCAGGTCTGCACTGGATAATTTGAAGGTGTGGGGGTAGGGGGCTGTACGGAGACTCAAACTCAGGACCTTGCACCTGCCAGACAGACACTAAGTTAAATTCCCAGCCCCCATGTACTGGATAAATTTGGCTGAGGTTCTGACTAGAGCCAAGAGTCGCCCCTGTTATTTGGGGGCCCCATGGCTGGCCTCAACCCCTGTTTCCCACCAGAGGGGTCCCATCTTTATGGTATTTTAGCATCTCTATGATATTTTACCCAAGTGTGTTTCCCTTCTCAAGCAAGGGCATGACCCAGGAGGGGCTGCCTCTGTCCCTCCCCCCCCCATGCTAGTGTTTCCTGGAGGCACCCCATTTTCCCACAGTTGAAACATCTAACACCCTCAGTGTTGGTATCTCCGACTCTCATAGGGAGGTCAACATTGCTTGAGCTAACACAGCATCCCTGTGGCTCTCTGTGCCAACGTCCTTGCAAGTCTTAATATAACTGTCCAAATTCCTCGTAGCCTTAACCACAGCCAAAGCTCACTTGCAATCTTTGTGTAACATTATCTTAAGCAAGCTGGAGAATAAGACATGAGCTGCCCAGGGCACGAGGAACTCGACAAGAAACTGCCTCTTGCAACCGAGCCACAGAGTGAGATTAGGATTCTCTTGGATTTTATAAAATACTGAGGAAGGACTGGCCAATGCCCTCTCCTGGGGAACAGTAAGCCAAGCCTCCCTCAATAAATGGCCAGTTTGTTCAATACCTTACTGGTATTTTGTATTTGTTGAGCTGTATCAGCAAAACCCCCCAGTGCCCAACAGCATTTCAGCCGTGATATGTGCCCTAGCATTATCCTGCCTGCTCCTGGCAGCCTGACCCACTGTGATCTCTTGTGGCTGAACACTAAGATGTAAATATTGGCGAGGTGACAAACAGGATCAAGCCAAATGTCTCACATCAAGGGGAGTCAGATGGTAATTTCCTACGACCAAATCTAAAATTCCCAGAGTAAGTGTTCCCTGAGCTCCATTATTAACCACACTCTGTTTTAATTACTTTAATTACTGGAAATCAAATGCCTGATAATCCACAATAGCTTGATTTTAATTGTTAGGGTCTGGTTGGGTAGCATGGAAAACCACAAAGCTCCAGAACCTCTGGATGTGTAGCTTTGTCTTGGACTCAGCTTTGATACTTAGACATACAAGGCGCCACGCGTAGTTGTTTTGAGAAATCCGTGACACCGGCGTGGAGCCTGGAGATATTCCTCACCGGCCCTCCGATCTCCCGCGGTGCAGGGGGGGGGCGGGAGGCCACTCAGACCTCACCTACTTTTATTTCCCAAGGGATCACATCTCTATCATCCACACCCACCCTGCTGAGTCTTGTTCTCTTTTATTTTGTACAAAGACGCCCTCTGGACTCAATTATAATTTGTGGTTCCCCAACAATCAGCCCTTCCTGGATCGTTCCGATGGGTTCCTGTTATTCCACAAGCATTTCCTCCCTTTCCGGCGCAGCACGGGGATCCTGGGCTCAGGCCGTAGCTCAGCAGCAGAGAACTTGCTTAGACCGTGCGAGGCTCAGGGCTCCGCCTCAGCCCGGAAAACAAAACAGGCAAACAAATAAATGAAAACCAAACAAAAAGCCAGCAACAGCAACCGCAAAACAGCGGGGCTTGCGGTGCCCTTTTTCCATTCCTGCTCCCCTGACACCTAGACCTGCGGGCAGGGTCTATTCTTTGTCCTGGGCATTGCTTCCTCCTGCCACTCTCAGGGCACAGAGCTGGAGTGTGAGCGTGTGTACACTAGCATGTGCACGCGTGCGTGTGTACACACACACACACACACACACACACACACACCCCTCTGTCTCTGTGTCTACCTCTCCTGGAACTCCGAGTTCACCCTTCTCCAGCTCCAGTCTGGTATCACGAATTCTTTCTCCCCTCCTCTCTTCCTGAATTTGTTTTCCTCGCTTCCATAGAGAAGCAGTTGGTTCCCGGGCCCCTCAACGTGGTCAATTATTTGCTTGGCCCTGCTTTGTGACTGGTAATCTGTATCCTGTGAAAAGCAAATCTACCAGCAAGAGTTGATATCTTTTCCAATGTTCTGGTTCTGTTTTGTCTTTTGCCTGAGGGTACAAAGTGCAACCAGCCAAACACCACGTTTTAGAGCTCCTTGGATGGGCAGGTGGGGTGGAGGGTTATAGGGTGGACCTTCGCCTCCTCAGGGTGGGTGTGGTATCCATTTGAAAACCAGTTAGGTTCACGTCTCCCCGTTTGTGTTGTAGGCTTTTCTCATCATTGCTGATTGACTGATTGATTTTTTACTTACTATGTCAGAACTATGAAAGAAGCCCCGCCTACCTGTAGCTTCTTGGGTGCCCCCTCCCCAGATCCAACCCAAGGACAAGAGCCTTAGAGTGTGCTAGGCTGCAAGTGGCCATCCCTCTGCTTCTGCATGGTGAATCACACTGCCACTGCCATGTTGGGGGGGATGGTCACCTAGGAGCTCAGCATGCAAGTCCTAGGGTGTCACACTGCTCTTCCCTCTGTGCCTGCAGAGAAGGGCTGTGCTGGGCCACTCGCGGCCTCATGTGTTGAAATCCCATATTTCCGCAAGGATGAGAAGCCGTGAGAATTCTCAAACATTGCCCCAAGTTAGGAAATACTAAATCTCCGCCCGCTAGCAAGTGGGTGGCACTTTGGTACAATTATACTGTGGGAAACTGCTCCAGAAAGCGCCCATTTTGGGGTCCCTATAATAAATATTTCTCGTGGCTACTTTATTTAAAAGCAACAAAATCAGCGGGCACACCAGTGAGTGTGGCTCGACTCAGAGCTCAGTTATTGCAGCTACTGTTTGGACTCTGCTGTCACCACTGGCGGGCACGTGGCTTCCTCTAGTGACACTCTGGCTCATCCTCTATTGCCCAGCTCTGAACCTGCCAGCTGGCCCAACACACCCACACCCAGTGTACCCCCGGCGGGCCCTGGGATCCTCCAAATTCCCCCCTGCCAGGCTGCACCCTGCCCCTTCCTGCCCCCACCCTCCAGGCTGGCACTTGAAAGACCCCGTTCCAAAGCCACTTTCTAGCTCTTTCTGCTCCTGTTCACCCCAGATTGATTACTCAGCCCCGCCTCCCACCTGTGGGGCCCAGCCCAGGACAGCACCTCTGCTGACCACTGGAAGAGCCTCCCGTGGGGGCTCTTTGGCGTTTTCCCTTCTTGCCTGCTTTTTCGTGACTTTTGGCATAGACCGTGCTCTGGGGAAGGAGAAGAGCTGGCTCTCAGGGAGCTGACCTGCAGGTCTAGGTGGCAGCCAAGGTGGCCAGGGCGGATGAGTTCCTGGCTCATGCCAAGCGCCCTGAGTCAAGGCGGCAGAAGCTGGACATGAATACGGGGCCTGAGAAGGGCAGTCAGGCAGTGAGCAGCATCCCAGAGCTGGCAAGGTGGGGGGCATGCTGGGGTCCCGCGCAATCCTAGGGTGCTCTCCGGCTCTGCTCACAGAGGCCCCAGAGCAGCGCTCGCTGGCCAGGACCGTCCAGCTGGCCCACGGCTCTTGCCTCTAGTGGCCTCTGCTGTCCCTGACAGTTATGCTCCCTGCGTAGGCCACCGCGTGTGTGTGCCCAGCTGTCAGACGAGCAAGAGCAGCGCAGAACCGAGTTCCTGCCCGGCTCCCCTCACCATAGGGCCCCCCAAGGGAAGGCGGAAACAGGCAAACAGACTCAGTTCAACATGTTTTCTTGTTGCCTTTCTTCTAAAACCAACTTGGCAAATAAAAATGTCCCTGTCCTGTACGAGGCTCCTTTTTTGTTGGTCTGCACGTGTCACGTGAGCCCAGAGCCCCTGCCCTGCTCTCAAAACTCTAAGCCTCTCCTCGGCCCCTTTACCCTCCCAGAGCCACTTTCCTAATGGCCTTCCGATGGACCTTCAAGCTTTTCATGGACTGGAAATCAGAAGGGCCACACAGACAGCAGCCGGAGGGCGGGGAGGCTGGCGGGAAGGAGACACCAGCCAGCCACCGGGTACGTTAACCTCCCAGGCCCTGCCCGCCTGGTCTGGGTCCTGGAACTCTGCCGTTTAGCTGATTCTTGTGACTAGTTATAGCACCCGGGTTTTGGCACCCTGGCGATTGTCTGGTTGCTAACATTGTTCTCTACTGAGTGTGCTTGTGTTTCTGTTTGTTTGTCCACAGAGAAGAAAGGCATCTTTTCTTAAAGAGTCCTCGAGTAATGCTTCCAAGAGTATGCATCCAGCCAAACAGTGAATCAGCCCCTGGTTGCTTTATCTCTCATGTGAGAGCAAAGGTGTGGGCATGGATGTGTGTGCATGTGTGTGCACGCATGTGTGTTTGTAGGGGGCTTAGGAGCAGCCCCTGCCCCCAGGAACTATCCCTCTCCTCTCATTTCCTTCTCAGGCTTGTCCTGCAGCAGCTAGAAACCCTTTCATCATCACATCCATCCATCCCATAATTACCCCTTTCTACCCGCTGTCTTCCCGGATGCAGCACCGAATCTATTGCTTATGGGAGCCGCCTAACCTGTGCAGCTTACACTAATTTCCCAGGGCAGTTGCAGTAAGTGGATGCAAAGCACTTAGCATCCTTCCTGGTCCTTGGAGAGTGCTCCGTAGGTAGAGGGGTCACTCAGGCCTTCCAAGAGCACATTCAGGTACACATCGCACTTCCATTGGCCTCGTCCACACCAGCCACGGCCCCATGCCAGGAAGAGGACGTGAGTGAGTTATTTCACCCCGCAGGGGCTCACGGCCCAGCAGGGGAGGCGGGTGCCGAGAGCGTGGACAGTAGCCGGCAGGCCTTTGACTCACAGGGTGGGTCCTCAGCCAGCTCCTGTTCCTGGAGCTTTGTACGAAGCAGATGGTTCCCTCCCCACAGCAGCTCCCGCCTTCACATCACAGAGGAGGAAACCAAGGCACCTGCACACACTCACAGCCAAGGAGGCCGGGGGCTCTGGGCTGCAGTTTGAGTCCCTAATGCTTCCCTTGTGAGGTCTGTCTGTCTGTCTGTCTGTCCTTTCCTTCTGACCAGGCAGCGCTGCCTGTCTGGGGCCGGTGAGGATGGTTACTGGAATTTCCAGGTGAGACAGTCCCCAAGTGCTGGGGCGTGGAGAAGGTGGGTGACCTGGGCCAGGGCAGCAGGGAAACCGCTGGCTACCTCCAGGCGGTGGGGAAGGGAGGCTGTCTCCGCTGGGCCTGGTGCAGAAGACCCGTGAGCGGTGGCTGTGCGTGCTGAGGCAGAGAGGACGGGAGAGGCAGAGAGCTGCAGGGTTCTCAGATCAGGAGGCAGCAGGCCCAGACCAAGCTCAGTGGAGGAGGGTGAGCCACTGGCTTGGGGAGAGAGGGGAGGCCCTCCAGGAGCAGACGGAGGGTGTGTCAGGGACAGGACACTGGAGGACGGACCTTGAGTGGGAAGTAGGGCCAGCAAGGTCCAGGCACCAAGGACTCAGGTGCTGCGAAGTCCTAAGGGTTGGGGCCTTTGGGTGTAGGGCTGAGCAGCCCCTGGGAGTACCACAGTGCAGCCAAGCTGGAGATGGAGCCGCAATGGAGTCTGGGTAGTCCAGCTCCCCACAGGTCAGTATGTTAACACAACTTTGATTTAGCCTTGACATTTTATTTTCCCCCAGACGATGCATTCTCTGTGAATTACAGATAATAAAGCTCAGATAACATAGCCGTGGAGAATCGCCCACCATGGTCTTCAGCTTCTCCTGCCCTGTCACACCCACTCGGTTCTTGGCAGGACCAAGTTTGCTCCCACTTTTCAGATGAGAAGTCTGAGGCCCAGCAGGAAGGCCCTGGGAGGCAGGCCTCCCAAAGCCTGAAGCTAAGCTGATTCCATAGCCTTGGGGCCCAACCACTGCGCAGATGCATTATTCGGTGCCCAGGGGCTCTGGACCATGATCCCCCACAGCAGCACTGACTCAGCAGGGACAGGAAGTGCCCTTCACCCACCCCTCGGGCAGAGGGCCGCTCAGCAAATATTTGCCCAAACTTTCGCCATCCTCACTGCCTGGTGTGGCAATTCCCGGCTGAAATGCTCAGTGGCGGGGGTGGTGGGGCGCTGGCCCAGCTGGGGCCCCTGCGGAGGGTGGTTTACTATTCTGGAAGCTCAGGCTTGAGTGGGGTGGCTCTGGACAGCTCAGGGGCAGCCCTGGGTCCTTGCTGGGGAACTGCTGCCAGGTTAAAGCGAAGCCACAAGCACTCTGCAGGGCACAGTTAGCTCCCCTGCTCCCCTGAACTGTCCACACCTGTCCAGGACCGTCCCGGGGAGTAGTGAGTCACTGCCCCATCAGCCGTGGTCTCCATTTTGGAGGTTCGATGGGCTCTGGGAGGAGCTCCACCCAAACTGCCTGCTTAAATCCCCTTGCTCATGGGCTCTCTAAGAAGCTGGGGAAGCACCCCGCTATCTTCCACGGGCTTGTCACCTGTGTACCCAAATCTGGAAACCCTCACAGGCGAGACCCATCATCAGAAAGACTCACACGCTGAGAATTCTAAGTCCAGTTAGGCCCCTTCCAGCTGTGTGTCCTTAGGCAAATTGCTCAACCTCTCTGAGCTCATGTACGCTCCTGTAAAGACGGTCTGTTGTAAAATAGATCATTTCGCAGTGCTCTCTTTTCTCTGCAGATGTGATAGAGGGACTGGCTTCTCTTGGTTTGAAGGTTTTTCGAAAGCAGGGATACCATTCTGGTTTTTCTTTCTTTCTTCTTTTTTTTTTTTTTTTTGGTACTGGGAATTGAACACAGGACTTTGCACTTGCCAGGCAGGCGCTTACACTGCTGAGCTAAATCCCCAGTGAGGGATACAGTTCTTAGAACAATTCTCGTATGCATTGTTTTCTCTCCCTGTGCCCCAAGTGCAAAAAGCAGGCAAAATGCGAATTAGAAAAACATCCTTTAAAAATAACACCACTTGTCCACTCTGTGCTTAGCACCCGGTTAAACAGTTTCTGTGGATCACCTCGTGTAACCCTCACTGCCCAAGGAGGTACGATTGCACCATGCGGAAGATAGGAAACCGAGGCCCAGAGAGGGTCAGCAGCAAGTCCAGGTCGGGCAGCCCATGTGGCCTGGCCAGGGCGGGACGGCAGGAGGACAAAGGTGTCTCCGGCCGACAGGCGCGGTCTGGGGAGAGGAAGCAGGGTGCACCTGAGGTGCGGAGGGAGAGGGTCCCTAACCTGCTACCCCAGCGGAAGGGGCTCAGGATGAGAGTTAAGGAGCCCCCTCCGCGGTGGGTTCCCCGCCCACACACTCCTGGCTGCTGTGCTTAACTTCCATTCGCCCCTTGAGCAGTGGTTCTCAACTCGGGGTGATTTTGGCTCCTCAGGAGGACACTGGGCCAGGACGGGAGACGCTTCTGGTTGTCATATCTGAGCAGTGCTACTGACATCTAGTGGTAGAGGCCGGAAATGCTAAGGCCCACAGTGTACAGGAAACACCCCCCACCACCTCCACTGATGAGCTCCCAGCCTGATGTCTAGGTGGGGCTGAGGCTGGGTAATCCAGTCCAGGAAAAAGGGAGGCTGTGCGGGTCTCTGGGCCAGACTCTTGTATGACTTCCCTTTCTGAAGTAGACATATTCCCATTTTGTAGATGAGGAGACTGAGGCTCAGAGGGGTTGGCTCTGCCTTTAGGGCTCAGGCTGGTAAACCCAGGATTCTGTGCTGTTGGCTTCTCTTCTCTGTTCCTGAGGACTTAGGGACTGATTTGGCATCAAAGGGCAATGGAAGAGGGATCGAGTCAGGTCAGTGGGGAACCTGGACTGGCTCCCTGCTATGCTCTAATGCCCCCGGGTAAGTCATGGTCCTCTCTAGAAGGAGGAGAAAAGCCAACCAAGGTCCCTTCTAAGGTTTCTCCTGGTAATGGGGAAAGGTGTCCCGGGTCCACGAGGCGGCACGGGGATACAGACACCCGTGTCCACCTCTGCACAGAGGACACGTACAGAGGCAGAGCTGAGCCTGGGGTCCCTCAGCAGGAAGGATGGCGCTCCCTAGGCCTGCCCTGCCTCCACATGTGAGCTCCCAGATTTCGGGCCATATCCTCCTGCAGCTTGGCTACACTCAGCCCTTCCCCGGGACGTCCTGGCAGGGCGTGAGGAGGCTTCCGCAGGCCTCTGCCCGCCTCTGTCTTGCAGGGGACACAGCTGATCTGTGTGGAGGCCGCCAAGTCACAGCAGAATTCATCTAAAAGCCAGAGAGAGACCTGGAGGGTTAAGGGGCGGGCAGAGGACGTGCTAAGGAGCATTCCGGTCAAAGGCAGAGGGAGCTCTGGGCCCCAGCACCACTCAGGAAGTAAGGAAGGAACCCCCAAGACCCAAGGCATCTGAGGACAATCTTTGCCGGGTGTGTGGGAACACCGGCTTCCTAGGAAGACCAGGCAGCCCCACGGCTACAAGGATTCCACGCTGGGATGTTTTATTTCCTCAGTGGTAAGACGGAAGCGAAGCAGGGCCCCAGTTTAGCACCCTGGAGCAGTTCTGTGTCCTGATGTCCCTTCCTGTGCCTGTGTCACCTTTCTCCTGCCTCCTCTGGGAGCCCACGAATCACCAGTTTCTCAGATGCCGCCTGAACTGAATGATAGTAAACAGTCTGTCACACAAAGCAGAGTCAGGGCTACCAGGCTGCACGGTGCTGGTGGCTGAGTGTCACCTGAGCTGGCTGCGTCCGTCCCCAGCCTCAGTGCATCTTCCCTCGACCCTCTGAGATGATGTTCTCAGGCTGGGCACGCATGTACCACTCTACCCAGGAGCCATCATAGACAGGCACGTCGGGCTTGCCACAGAGGTAGGCCCCCAGCACCACCGTGCAGGCCGAGATGCCAGAGCCGCATGTGGCCACCAGGGGCTGGGACAGGTCCACCTTCTTCTGCTGGAACAGGTGTCGGATCTCCTCGGGGCTCTTCACCAGACCCTCCTCTGTCAGGAATTCCGTGAAGGGGATGTTCGCAGCACCAGGGATGTGGCCGGGCTCGATGCCTGGAGCAGAAGAAAGGTACCATGACCCCGTGTTTGTGGCACTGCGATGCCCAGAGATGCCACACAAGCAAACCCTCTGTCCACAGTGCCTTGTCTCATCCTTGCAACCACAAAACTTGGGCACCAGTGAGGGCCAGTCCCATGTCACTGCCGGTGACGCCGAGGGCCGGAACCACCTGAGGCCAGCACATCTAGTGAACTCCAGGCTGATGTCTGAGCTAAACATGAAGATGCCACCAGGCCCCCTGGGACCCAGGTGTTCTGACTGTGTGTCCTGGGGACAGAGGATACGTGCGGCCCCTGCCCAGCTAGGTTTGTGGTAACAGCTGAGAAGCCCTGGCTGGGAAGAGGCCGAGGGTTAAAGCCAGGGCTCTGGGAGTCTGTGCCGCTGACCACCGGCCAGCCTGCCTGGGCAGGAGCTGGGTGTCTCCAGGTGAGCAGGGGTCAGCCGGTGCCGGCTCAGGGCGGAAAGCATCCCAGGCAGAGGGACTCTGACAGGGCAGGGACTGCTCCGAGCTTGAAGAGGAAACAGGGCATCGTGCTGAAGGGCTGGACAGTGGGAATCAGAGGACCAGGGTTGTCTCAGGGGGATGCAGGGAGACTTTAGGGTCTAGTCTGACCCACAAGGAATATCAACTTTCTTTTTCTTTTTTTCCCCCTTCTTTCCTTCATCCTACTGAAGATCAAACTCTATTACTGAGCTACCTCCTCAGGCCTTTTAATTTTTTATTTTAAGATCACATCTTACTAAATTGCACAGGCTGGGTTGGAGCTTGCAATCCTCCTGCCTCAGTCTCCCAGAGTGCTGGGATTACAGGTGTGCACCACCACATCTGACTCGGATGTCATACTTAAAAGACTGTTTGGGTTGGGGGAGGGAGAAGAGAAGCGGGGTAAGGACAGAGAGCTATTAATTAAGGGGGTCACTCCTTTACCTATGAGTCCCAGTGCATTTTGTGTTCACCCCATTAAACAGGTGTTAATCCATTTTCACAGGCCGACTGAACCCTGAAGTGAAACAAACCCTCACTGTTGGTGACTCGAATCAGCCATCTGGACACTAGAGCAAGGGTTTTAGGGCAGCTTCTGCCTCAGTTTCCCTGCATGGTGGGGAGGCAGCCCTGAAGGAGCTGCTCATCTACACTGGCTCCCATCTTCAGATAGACAGGAGTGGGCCATGTGGTCCCCACACACCCAGTGCAGAAACTGTGTTTGGTTCATACATCACAGGGCCACAGCACAGCAGGGGTGAAGGGTGAGCCCTAAGCTAGCCACTTGGGGCTTCCCTGCACCTGGAGCCCCACCAGGAGGTCCCTGACCCGATGGACCCAGGTGGGAAACTGCAGGTGCGCCTGGCCAGGCCTGGGGCTGTGGGGCGGGCACCGTGATGACAGACAGGAGCCCTGGGTACTGGTGACTCAGGCTTACACCTGACGGCCTGGTTTGTCCAGACAGCAGGCTGGTGGGGAGTGGCGGGGTGAGGGAGGGGGCTCAGCTCCTTTCCTGGATAAGCAAGCCAGATGCAGGGAGCTTCATTCAATGTCTCCTAGAAGGGCCATTCCACAGACATTGTTAATGCTATCACTTCCCACCTCTGGGGCACAGCTTATCAGGATGCAAACAGAGCCAAGGCTTTACACTTCACTCTCTGCCACTCCCCTGTCCATGCGGCTTCCGGTTACTGCCCTCTTTGTAAACAGGCAGAGCTTTGGGTCATAGAGGGTGGGTGACCTCTTGCCAGGTACTAATCCCAGGTCTGGTGCACGGCTGCCTGATATTGCTCCGGGCTACACGGCTGCCTGACACTGCTCCGGGCTGTGGGGCTGAGCTGGGGATCAGACTGTGAGCATGGACTGTCCCTGCCCTGAGACCACCTACACATCTATCCCTACTCAGGATCAGGTGTCCCCAAGCACTCTGGAAGCACACAGTTCCCATGTGGTATCTGGGGCCCTAGATGGTAGCCCCTTGGGCCCTTGCAGGCTTAACAGGCAGAATCACTGGTTGCTCTGTGGTTAAGGGTTCATGTTTGAATTCCTGAGATCTTGGACAAGCTGGGCATCCTAGGCTCTTCCCCCTCTGTACAGTTGGTCCCTGTTACCTGTGCCAGCTGGTTCCAGGAACCCCCAAGGATAGCAAAATCCATGGACGCTCAAAATTTGCTATTTGCATCTATTTAACCCCACCCCCTATATCTACATGATCTCTAGTCTACTTTTAATGTGTCAATGGTTGTAAGCAGCTGGGAGTGGGGCACACCTGTGCCCGCAGCACTTTGGGAGGCTACGGCAGGAGGATTGCAAATCTGAGCTCAGTTTAGGCAACTTGTCTCAAAAGGACTGGGAGTAGGCTATATAGCTCAGAGCAAAGAGCAGGGTTCGACTCCCCCTCCTTGTACCACCACAAAACAAAACAAAACAACTGGCTGTTACATTGCATCATTTAGGGAACAGGAACAAGGAAAAGGTTTGCATATCTTCAGTGTAGACAAAATCCCCTGCACCAAACATTTTTGATTTGAGGCTGGTTAAAGCCACAGTCCAGAATCTGCAGGTACGGTGAGCAGGTGGGGAGGAGAGGGGACCTGGTCATTAAAGTCAGCTTTGTGAGGACCCCTCCCCGCCCTCTACCAGGCTTTCCTATGGTTCTTCCTGGGAAACCCAGCACCTAGGCAGAGGGCTCTGCTGGTGGGGGAAGCAACCACCCTGTTTGGTGCCCCCTTCCTTCCCTCTCCGTAACCCCTGCTCCTGAGATACCCCTGCCTCAGCCCAGGCTCCCCTCTCTCTGCCTTCATCACCTCAGGATCTGCGGGCCAGACCTGCTTGGATTTTTGGGATTGTCCCAAACTGAGGGCTGTCCCCATCGTTCTGCACAGACCGCATATAAGCACAGTAGTGAGAGGTGCTGTTTGGGTTTTCACACTTAGAAATGACATCCTGGTTCCCAATGCACTTGGGGTGGTCACCGCCCAAAGCCTGGGAGGGAAGGCACTGGGGGCACCATTGCCCCAGTCAGGAATGCAGTGACTGAGGCTCCAACCCCAACCCGCACCCCACCGCGACCTCCCACTCCTCTCCCCAGCCCAGTACCGTCTTGGGGCTCGGGCTCGGTGCCCTGGAAGCGGCCGGCGGCTCGGGCATCCACCATCTGGAAGCGATGGGTCTCCAGGTTGTCCTTGATGTCCTCATAGGTCTTGACAAAAGTGGGATCCAGCTGGGCGCGGAACTCGGTGGGCACAGGGTGGCTCTTGCCGGAGCTGAGCGGAAGATTCAGGTGCGACCAGTGGCGGAGGCCGCCGTCCAGCAGAGACACGGTGCGGTGGCCGAAGGCGCGGAACATCCACCAGACACGGGGCGCAGAGTAGAGGCCCTGGTCACTGGTGTCGTAGACCACGACGTGCGTGGTGGTGCCCACGCCCAGGTGGCCCGCGTACTCTGAGAAGTGCTCGGCGCTGGGCAGCATGTGGTCGTAGGGCGATGTGCGGTCGCTGCAGTGGTCCAGGTCGAAGAAAGTGGCACCTGGGATGTGGCGCTCTTCGAACTCTCGCCGGGTGTCCCGGCCTAGCTTGGCCATGTACCAGGACGCGTCCAGCAGCTGCAGGGGCTGCCCAGCCCGTGGGGCCCGCAGCGCTTCTGCTACCCACTGCGCTGACACCAGCGCGCGGAAGAGCTGTGCGGGGGCCATGCTGGCCGTGGCGAGGCCGGCCGCAGACCTGCGCACAGGGAAGATGTCAGGACGGGAGAGAGGGAGAGGAGGCTGGTCCCGGGCTTACGGCCAGCACAACAGCCCTGGGCTATGCCAGTGGAGAGGTGGAGGCTGCCAGGGCAAAGTCCTGGAAAGCAGACACCCCCGGGGGTGAGCCCAGGCGGACTTGGGTCACCCAGGCTCCCCCGGCCAGGCCAGTCCTGGAGTCTCAGTCTCTCTCTCTCTCTCTCTCTCTCTCTCTCTCTCTCTCTCTCTCTCTCCCTTCCTACTTACTTACCTATCTACCTATCTATATGTGCATTTGGGGGTCACCCTGGGTCCTAGAGAGGGTCTGGAGGCTCCTCGCAGACTCCAGCTGGCCCTTTAAGGTAAGCAGGGTCAAAGTCTCAGCCCCTCCCTAAAATACAGCCACCAAATCCCTGGTGGAGCTCATTACGTCCATAAGGCACCGGCCCTGCAGCAAGAGTGGCTAGAATTTACTGTCTTTTCTGTGTGCTATTTAATCTGCACCATACCCTAGGACAGTTCTGGACATGGAGGACTGGCAAGTGTGCAACCAGTCCTTTTAAGAGGGTGCGTCTTTCACTGGGAGAACTGAGGCTCCTAGAAGTGCCCAGAGTGGGCCTGGTGGTGCCGAGCTCTAAGCTAGGTGAGCTGATCCAGACGTTCAAAGGGTCAACACCATGTGCATCCTCAGTGGGCCCTGGGAATTTAGAGAAGCCAAGTTTACAACCAGCCTCAGCTTTCTCCTGGGCCATTTTACCAGCAGCAATGTGACCTAGTCTCTCCTTCCCCTCCCCTGCACAAGATGAACCAGCCCTCCACCTCCCAGGATGGGGACTTTGTGATCAGTGAGACCACTTCCGTCCCTGTGGGGGGTGGCTGATACTGCACAGGGCCTCATGCTTGTTAGAGAAAAGGGGCCTTTTACCAGGGCCCCCAGCAGGGCACATGGCTTTGCATCTGTGCCAGGCAGTCCTGCCGGGGAGGGGAGTGAAGGATTAGCTAAGAGCCATGTTGGTGGAGGCCGGGCCACATGCTAGGGCTACAGCCCTGGGCGGTGGGCACTAGACCGCCCCTTTTATGAACCAGGTAACTGGCAGCTCCGGCTCTGCCTTGGTCACACAGCCTGAACTCCTTCCCTAGCTCCACAGTGACCAGGGCTTAATGGGCTGCTGTGTGCCCATTCCCACCACAACTTTCTCACAGCTGGCTTTTAGGAAGCCCAGCGCTGGATTTCACCAGGCCCAAAGGAGCAGGACAGGCCTTCTCTGCACACTCAAGCAATTGAGGAAGTAATTTGATGGGGTGGGGCAGCAGGAACTTTGGCTGGACCTTCGGGGTAAGGAGGCAGTGGGTCAGGGGCAGGCCTATTATCTGTGGGTTACACCACAGCTAGGTAAGCCTGGGGGCTGCAGGCTCCCTCTTGGAGACCCCACTTAGGGGCCACAGCAACTTCTATAGCCCCCATCACCACTCGGGGTCCTCCCTTTTCCCACCCAAGGACCCATTTAGAATGGAAATAGCCCTGATTTGGGGTAACTCTAACCCTGCCACTTAACTGCCCCTGTGATGGTGGGCATGTCAGGGTTCCCGGGCAGTTCATTTCTTAGAATAGTACCTCCAACCTCTCCCTCTTAGAGAGACATTTAAATAATGAATGTAGAGAGGCCACTGGGATGTACGACATGTGGCTGGTTTTACTAATCTTTGAGAATGATTTAATGAAGTCCTGTTATTTCTTGCATTGTTCTTAGGTCACCCTAAGCAAAATAAGAATCTGAGAATTTCAGAGGCTGGAGGTCACCCTGCCCCAGCTCTGCTTGGTCAGCAGTTGTCACAGAGGCTGTGGGCTCTAGAGGGGGAGGGAGGGCAGGTTCTGCCTGTCTCACGGGTGGCAGAGATTAGGAAAAGGACCTGGTCCCTGTGTGCCCGGAGGGCCAGGCTCCCTACACGGGGTTCTCAGGGGTAACATTCTCCAGGATATAAGGGACAGTTCCAGGACATCTCAGAGGGCCACACAACTGCATCAAGTGTGAGTCCACCCTGTGCTGACCAGGTGGTCTTAGGCACACCAGGATGTGTCAAGTGTCCTGTCCCCCCTCCACCCTCCTTCATTATTTCCTCTCCCACTGCTGGGCTCCTAGCTTAGAGGATTCCCTGGAGGAATGCTCACCAATGATTGGACTTTGCAACATTTAACAAGTAACAAGTAACTGTAACATGTGTTTTGGACAAAACCAAGTTATAAAAAGGCAGTGTCAGCTCATTGGGGAAGGGCTACTGTTTCAAATTCAACTGCTGGGCCTGGGGGCACACAACAGTACTCCCAGCATTCTGGAGGCTAAGACAGGAGGTTTGCCGCAAATTCTAGGCCAGCCTGGACTGCATAGTGAGTTCAAGGCCAGCCTGAACTGCGTAGCAAGATCCCATCTCAAAGACCGTGTCTCAAACAAACAAAACAAAACACCACACGCTATATAACTGAACAAAAACGAAAGCAGTTTTAAAGAAGCCAAAGCCTTTCCAGATGAGCCAGGTGAACAAAAGGTTCCCGCCCACTACGTGGGCTTCAGATCCCTCGACCCGCTGTGGGCCTGGCGCCTCACACTGCCTGGTGCTCCCGAGTTGAAGGAAGTTTCTGGTCTACCCGGCAGGACTTTCAGGTTTAATGAACGCTCTCAGAGTGCTGGGCAGGGCGGCCCCGCAGGCGGCAAGCCTTACTGCCATCTCACCTTTCAAGTTCTCCGGGGCCCTCGGGGTCTCCCCTGCCTCTCCAAATGGCTTTACAGGTCCTCCTCCCGCCTTCCTACCCTCTCTGGTGACTCCAGGTCACCCCATCCCACCCCACCCCGCCCACTGCTTGCATTCACCCGCACCCCCAAATGTAGGTGGTCTCCAGCAGCTGCAGAGTCCCCCTGGGGTGAAGTTAGGGGCGCCCTTCTCTCCTGGCCTGTGACCCCTCCTCTGCACGCGTCCCGCGCTGCGTCCCGCCAGCGCCCTCTCTCTGTTGCTAGGCCCAGTGAGACGTGGGCGGCAGCAGTTGGGGCTCCCTGCTCCCCAGCTCAGCTATGGTGCCCCCGCCCCGCGCCCCGCGCCCACAGCAGTCCCTCCCTCCCCCAGCCACCCACCTGCTGCGGGCCAGCGAGAAGCCTTGGGCGCAACCCACAGACTTGGCCACTCCAGCCACTACTGCCCGCGCCTTCCACTGGCCCGGCCCGGGGGACGCCCGAGCCGCGCCGCCCAGTCCCGTTTGTCCCCTGCGCTGCCCGGCGTCCCCTGAGACCCCCCCGGGCCTCTGCGAGGCCCCCACGAGCTGAGCGGCCGCCGGGACGCTGAGCCGCGGTGCGGGGGGGTCAGCTCTGAGTCCTGGCGGATGGCGTGCGGTCCCCCCGCGGGTGGCGGGCGGTGGTGCAGGCCACCGGGACAGCTGCGGCTCGGGCTTCAGGTGTCCCGGCTTCTCCAGCGGGCAGGGCGAGCGCCAGTGAGTGCGGCGGGCCGCCCGGGACGGGGCTGCTGGACGGGCCGGGCCACTGCGGCCTAGGGGAGGGTGCCGGTGGCGACAGCGGGGCGGGGTGCCCGGGAACCCCGAGTCCAACTAGGGCAGTGGGCAGAGAGCTGGGGGCTGCACGCCGTGGCTGTCCAGAGACAGCAGCGGGGCTGGCGAGGGCGCAGGCCGGGGCGCGCTGGACCCCAGCGCAGCCCACCCTTCTGCGCCCCCAGGAAGAAGCATTCCAAGCCCTAGGTCGGTGTTGTCCCCTCCTGTGCACCCGATCGCCGCTCCCTTCCGGCCGGACCCGGAGAGCCGGTACTGTAGCTGTAGTTTAGAGTGCCTGACACCTTCCCCGCCTCCTCTCCAGACCGCGCGCTCCAAAACTTTTGTCCCCTTTCCTCCGCGCGGGGGGCGGGGCCAGGGCGGAGGGCGGGGCCAGGCGGAGGGGCGGGGCCTGCTTAAAGAGTCTGCAGAGCTGCCAGCCGGCTCGCCCCAGACCCGCTGGGTGCTGTTGACGCTGCTGGCTGGGTGAGCGCTTGGGGGAAAACATCGCCTCCTCCCAGCCCAGCTCACCGCACTCTCAGACTTCTTTCCTGGTTCTCACCTGCGCCAGGTTTCACCCGAGCTGCCACCATGGTTCATCAGGTGCTCTACCGGGCTCTGGTCTCCACCAAGTGGCTGGCGGAGTCCCTCCGGAGTGGCAAGCTGGGGCCCAACCTGCGGGTGCTGGACGCATCCTGGTACTCACCGGGCACCCGGGAGGCCCGCAAAGAGTACCAAGAGCGCCATGTGCCCGGCGCCTCCTTCTTTGATATAGAGGAGTGCAGGGACACTGCGTCGCCCTACGAGATGATGCTGCCCAGCGAGGAGCACTTTGGGAACTACGTGGGCCGCTTGGGCATCAGCAACGAGACGCACGTGGTGGTGTACGATGGTGACCACCTGGGCAGCTTCTATGCTCCCCGAGTCTGGTGGATGTTCCGCGTGTTTGGCCACCGCACGGTGTCCGTGCTCAATGGTGGTTTCCGTAACTGGCTGAAGGAGGGACACCCGGTGACATCCGAACCTTCAAACCCAGAGCCTGCTGTTTTCAAAGCTACGCTGGACCGCTCCTTGTTGAAGACCTATGAGCAGGTCCTAGAGAACCTCCAATCTAAAAGGTTCCAGATGGTGGATTCACGGGCCCAAGGCCGGTACCTGGGCACAGAGCCAGAGCCAGATGCAGTAGGTAGGTGTCCTGATGGGTAGGTGGCCCGTGGGGAGGATGGGAAGGGAATGCCTGGTGCCTCCACTGGGTTTTGCCCTCAGTCTTTGCATCTGTAAAATGAGAGGGTGGACCTAAGCCTAAAGGCTATTTCAGCTCTAGTGCGTGAGGACCTATGTATGTGTGACCATGACCATGTACTAACAAGTCACCAACAGTAGCAGAGGTGTCCACCAAAGCACACATCCAGGCTCCAGTTCCCCCATAAGCTCTAGGGCATCCCGTGCTTGAGCTGGTATTTGCATCACTACACAGAAGCCTCCCAAGAGGACCCTGCTTCTCGAGTCTCTAAGAAACGCTTGCATCCCCCAGCAGTTATCATTCCCCAGCTCCTGCCCTCCCCGCTCTCCTGGGACCCAGACTGGTGTTTGCCAAGGGCAGCCTGGTTGATAACCTTTCTGCGCAGCTGCAGTCTGTCTGTAGTTGTCCAAGCTGTTAATAGCAGCTTCCAGCTCATGCCAGACACTTGGCACTGCGTTATCCCATCCAACAAGGTGCAGATGCCAGGATATTAAGCCACTTGCTCAATGGCAGAGGCAGAATCTACACCAGGGACTTCCTTGTTTCGAAACAAGTACTCTTTTATTCCCTCCCCCCAAAACAAGGGCTTTAAACCTAGGTGTACCCACATTCTGTCCCATTCCACCTCCTGGGACTCCAAAGGAGTCTCCTCTGCCAGGCCTCCTGGAGAGATGGCTCTTGAGTCCCCTCTTGTGGAAGGGGAGGTCCGGAAGGGTGCACATTACTTGAAGGGCCTGGGGAGCCTCAGAAGGGGAAGTGCTCCTAATCGGAAGAGAACCTCAGGTTCTGTCCTTCCTGGGCCCAGGGCGCAGGACTAGTGGCTGTCGCTACCTGGATGGCTCTCCCCTAGTCAGAGCCCCTCTGCAGGACCTCACTCCGGTGCAAGGTTTTGCCTAACTTGTTGCAAAATGTGTTTCTTTGTGTGCATCTGAGGGAGAGAACAGAATGCTGGGAAAGCTGTTTTGTAGTCTTAGAGCTGCAGAATCTGTAATAAAGGGGAGATGGAGGCGCAGAGAGACAGGGGCAGTCAAGGCCACACAGACTATTAATGACAGAGCCAGCAGAGCAAGGACTCTGCCCTCCCTGCCCAGCCTTTTCCAGTCCCCTGCTTTCCTTGCCTGGCCTGTTCTCTGCGGGTCTGCCGTAGAAGGTTCAAGTTCATTTGGCACTGTCCAAAGTCTCCTGGCACCGGACACTCACGGCCTCCTCCTGGCCGTGGTTCAGGCGCCTTCTCTTCTTGGGACTCAGGCTGTCCTTGGGGATGAGCTGTGGGATTAGTTCTCTATTTCCCAACTTGCTTGGCAGCCAGCTGACAAGTAAGTGAGGCCAGGCCCAGCTAGAGCACACCCATTGCTTAGAGGGAGAAACTGAGGCTCAGAGAGGAGAAATAACCTGCTCCTGGTGATACCTCCTGAGCCCTGAATTCTGGTCTGAACCGTTCTCTGTGGTCCTGGCCACATTCCTCCAGTTTCCAGAGAACACTGATTCTCACTTCAGCCCAGAGCCTGCTTTGTGCTGTGATCTTAGTCCAGTTGCTCGGCTTTGGCCAGAGTTCTGTCACCCTGCCCACCTGGTCATGTATGCACATATTTATGTGTTTTTAATGCATTTATTTAAACGCGGCAGTGCGTGCAGTTCTGAGGAAGTAAACACTGTCCAGTGTCCGGGCCATCGAGAAGGACGTAGGGGGCCGGTACCTGCCTCCTTCACTCTAAGAGGATTTGCTGCTCCCGAATGAAATGACTGGGGGCACAAAGGCACATATGGCTCTGCAGGGTTTGTGGTCTGCAGTCTGGGGTGGGGTAGAGGAGGCAGCTGTGGGTTTAGTAGTTCAGAGGCAATAGGGTGGGAGGCCTTGGGGACAGGAGCGTCCTGCAGGGAGTGACCTGGAGGAGGAGCTGGGAGCAGGGGACAGCAGGCACTGACCTCTTGGGGACTTGGTGTTGTGCCCCTGGCTGTGCTCCTTTGGTAGCGAGTGCAGGGTGGGAATCAAGGGGACCTCCGTTTGCAGGCCGTTGTGGCATTTATCTGTGACCCAGGGCAGGTCCTTTCCCCTTGACAAAAGGAATCCTGCCGTGTCAGAGTGATGGGGACAAGAACATTGGCAGGAGTTTTTGTGAACACTGATCTTTGCCTGAGGCGGATGGGGGGGCTGACCCCTGATGGCCCTCAAGGGGAGGGCACGGGGCGGGGGTGGGGCTTGGTCCTGTTCTGCAGATGGGGTCAGGAGAAGGAGTTTCCCTTGGCAGGGATACATGGCCAAGCCTTGACCCCAGCTCGGCAGGCTTCAAAGCCCAGCCTGCTCTCCAAGGCCACTGCTGTGGTGGGGTGAGCAGTGGCAAACACTGGGCTGGGGGAAGGGGAAAGATGGTTGCGCCACCGCATTGCTGGTGTTGTTCATGGCACCCGGAAGGCTCCTGCTGGTCCCCCATCACAGGGCCAGGGGCCTGGCAGTCTGGGCTGTGTTCTGTAGCTTCCCTTACAGCGCTGGGTTCCCTAGTGACTTTATGAGGAAAGCCCAAAAGGCCAAGCAGGTTTTCTAGGCCTTGGATGCCCCCACCTCTCCTCAGCCTGTGGAATGTAAACTCACCAGCTTGACTTAATTTTAATATTCCTACACCTGAGCCATGGAGGAACAAGAGGTCAATTCATCCGCTCTCCTGCCTCAGCTTCCTTTTCTGTGGAGGCTTAGGGTGGCACAGAACCTTCGGAGCCTGACCCACTGGATTTCATAACTCTTGCTGTGCATCCTGGGGCAAGTTACCTCCCCTCGCTGAGCCTGGGTTCCCCACCCGGGATGGGAGGATAAAGAATGTCTGCAGCTTTGTGAGGACTGCAGAAGACACAGCTCCCAAGGACCCCCACTGACTGCTGGGGTGCCTGGTGCCAGAGTTGGCTAGAATGGGGGCACGGGGGTGGGCAGGAGGGGCTGCCAGGGGTGTGAAGGGGAAGACGGGTGTGGAAGGAGAGCGGTGGCAGGTGCTGCTTTCAGCTGCTGGACCATTTCTTCCTGCTGGCCGCTCTCCAGGACTCCGGCCAGGCTGAGCTGGGACTGCCCACCCCAACTGGCTGCTCATTGAAGTTACCCAGGCAGGCCCCAGCCCCGACCAGGACAGCGAGCCCGGCTCCCCGGCTGCAGCTCCAGTGCCACAGAAGCCCTGACTTCTCTCTCTGCAAAGCATTCAAATATTTGTGCTCCTAACCATGCTTTAACCCGGCCCCCTGGTACCCTGATTGCTGACCGCGTAAAGTTGGGTTTCTTTAGAAGGTTCTGGAAATTGGCCATCAGCTGCTCTGCACAGCAGGCCGAGTGCTCACTTGCGCTCAGGATAAAGTCTCCAAACAAAAAAGCTGAGGTTTAAACAGGAAGATACCGCTGCAATTTACGACTCAAACATCTGTTCAATCCGAGGGGCCCTTGTGGAATGTTCTTTGGAACTTGGGGCACACTCTGGCTTGAGTGCTCCTGTGGTGTGCCTGGGGTCACTTAGGGGCCTTTACTGCAGTGGGTACACATCCTCGTGTGCCTGTGAGGTTTGAGGGGTGCTCCCTCCCTGTTAAGCAGGCGGGTACACTGAGGCTCAGAGGGGCAGGGCCTGCCTGGCTCCATGCTGCTGGGGCAGCTCCAGGGTGCCTTGCCCCCCCGCCCCCCCACAGGTCCTTTCCCTCTGGTTCCTGTCACCTGGTCTTCTCTGCCCTGTCCTGTCCCACCACCTAGGCTTAATGTGGTGGTGGGATTGGGGGAGGGTAGCAGAGCCCAGAAAGATGGAGGCAAACCTGAGCCAGTGCCCTTCCAGTGCCCAGTGTCTGTGGGTACAGTGTGCCTGGCCATGTGGGGCACCTGGCCAAGGCCTGCACCCCGTGGGTGGCGCCAGCTCTGGCTGGGGCCATGCCCTCTGGTCCTCTTGCCAGCTTTTCTGAAGTCGATGTTAGCAGAGGGCCTCGCTGGGTCAGCCTAGGCCCAACCGGCTTGTGTCCAAGTCTCAGAGACCCTCAGGGGGACCTGAAGGGACCACACTCCTGTCCCTGCCCTGAGAGATGTGGCAATGGGGGGGGGCGGTCTGTGTTTTCCTTGTATCACTTTCTCCTTGCTCAGGAGTATATTCTTATTTCCCTGCCAGGGAAACTGAGGCTCAGAGAGGTGACATGACTTGACTAAGGTTACCCACTGGCAGAGCTAGGATTTGATAATATGTCTAACAGCAGGTCACACATACTTTCTACAACTGTGTACCTAACAGGAAAGCCAGGGGACTGGGTGTCCTCCTCTTTGTGGCCTTGGGTGAGCCATTTCTTTTTGTCAAGCTCTTTTTGCAAGATGGGGTGACATTATATTGGAATTGTGATGAAATTAGCATCTGTCTGCTTTGCTGAGTTCTAATCTCCCAGGCTCTGTCTGTCTCTCACCATGGTGTCCTCAGCCATCGCCACAGCACAGAGCACCTATGGCAGTTTGTCCCATTTGCTGTTTCCCATAATGCCATGAGACATGGCTAGACCACTGTGTCCATTTTACAGATGGCAAAACTGAGGCACAGAGAGGTAGGATGATTTGCCCAAGGTAAAGCTAGTGCAAAGGTTAGCTAGTTGGCTGAGCCAATGCTTATACATGGCCCTGTCCTCTTGAGCAGTATGATTTCAGACATCCCTCCTTCAAGACAGGCTTTAGGGGAGGGATGCAGGCATCTTAAATCACGGGCATCAACTATGGGGTGGGGAGGGGCAGCTGATAATAAGCTGAGTGCCAGAAAGAACAAATATGTTTCTTCTATTTGCAAAGCTCCTGTGCTGGCTGTGGCTTCCAGGTCCTATCGGTCCCCACCCTCCTCCTTCCCTCTCTAACCCTGGACTCTGTCCCTCCCCAGGACTGGGCTCGGGTCACATCCGGGGCTCGTTGAACATGCCCTTCATGGACTTCCTGACCAAGGATGGCTTCGAGAAGAGCCCTGAGGAGTTGCGCGCCATGTTCCAGGCCAAGCAGGTGGACCTCACGCAGCCCCTCATCGCCACCTGCCGCAAGGGCGTCACCGCCTGCCACATCGCCCTGGCTGCCTACCTCTGTGGCAAGCCTGACGTGGCCGTCTATGACGGCTCCTGGTCGGAGTGGTTCCGCCGGGCACCCCCGGAAACCCGTGTGTCCCAGGGGAAGGGCGGGAAGGCCTGAGCAGCCCTGTCCTCTGTGCACTGTGACACCCGCCCCGGTTTAGTGACCTGGCCTGAGCTGTGGCCTCCTTAGGCACAGGAGACTGATGCACTTTTTAGGGTTTCTATGCAGAGCTTGCCGATCCCCAAAACACTGGAATAAAGTGCCTTTTCTGGGGAGTGCGCCTGCCTGCCTCTTCTTCTGCACTGGCCCCCCGCATCTCTCCCCTTCGCTTTCCTTAGATTCCACCTAGGAAAGAAGCTCCCGGCACCTCGCCGGGACAGCCACCCCGAGGACACTGCTGTCTCCCCGCTTTGGCACAGGCCGCCTCCTCCTGCCCCCTGTGAGGTGCCTGGGGGCCCTGAAGGTACCAGGAAGCCAAACTGGTGACCCAGGGCTAATGGGTGCCACCTTCCCGCCCAGCCCCCAGGTGAGGGACAGCTCCTTAGAAAGCAGTGTCCAAAGAGCTGTCCTCTGCTTTAGAGGACACAGTGCTGAGGTCCTGACAGTGCAGGCAAAGGGGTGCCTCTGCCTTAGGCCCCCTTCCTGGCTCAGATAAGACCTGGGGAGGGTGGAGGGAAGGGCGTGGGAACACTAGGCCCAACAGTGTCTGCACCCCCAGAGGCTGTGTTTCCTGTCTCCCACAAACAGGCTCCTGGAACCCTCCTTCAGGGTGGCCGGACCTGTTATGTGTTTCATCTACTGGGGGTTCCTGGCTCCCCGCTCGTCAGTTCCCCGACGCCCCAGGGAGCACATCAGGGCTGCAGGAATACAGCCCTGAAGCTGGGATGTGGGCAAGAGGTGCTCCAGAACTGTGGGGAGACTGGCTTGGGCCGCAGGGCCAGGCTGGGGCATCCGCGGAGGCTGATGCGGGAGCTGCGGTGACAGCTCTTGGCTGCCTGGGTGCCTGGCCCCGCAGCTCCATGCGGCCCTTCCCGTGCCAGCCCAGGTCCCTTCTGGTGCCTTGGTGGGCCTATGAGCAGCTGCTGGGCGTGACGACACCTCTGTCCCCTGTCCTTCCTGAGGCTGAGTTGCCCGATCAGCACGCTTAGGAAGCACCTGCCAGGAGACAGGTGCAGGACCAGGTGCCAGGGACTGGGCAGGGGACCACACAGTCCTGCCCCCTTCTCACAGCCATAAGAGGCGTGTGCTGAGCGTGGCAGGAGGTGACGCAGAGCAGCACTGGGAAAGGGAAGGCACCAGGGTGTGAGGAAGGGCTAGGATGTTTCCAGAAGCATGCAACGTCCTGGCGGAGGTGGAGCAGAAAGCCCCGCAGGTGTCTGCGGAAAGGAGGCTGCGGCAGAGGGACCAGCTGTGCCTCGGCCCAGAGGCCAGTGCGCTTGGTGTCCAAGAAATGACTGAGGCAGCACAGCTGGGGCCCAGGGAGCACTGGTGGACAGGAAGGAGCCAGGGTCAGAGGAGAGAACGGGGACGGGTGGGGTCTCGTGGCTTTGGTAGACTCAGTGCATGTTGGGGGCCCATACTGCAAGGAATCGAAGTTGGCTTCTGGGTGACCAGCAGGATACGGAGACCCTCAGTCCAACAGACCGTGAGGACTGTGACCTGCCAGTGACCACGTGAGTTTGGAGGCATATTTGTCCCCTGGGGAGCCTCAGATGAGACTGCAGCCCGGCCAATACCTTGACTGTGACCTTCTAAAACCCTAAAGCAGAGAATGCAGCAGCTGTGCGCAAACCCCTGCCCCCCAGAAGCCGGGGTCACCATGACGGTTAACTGGCAGGCTTGTGGGAGGATCACTGGACAGTGACACATAATTCATTCAGGGGACAAAAGGAAAAAGGAGACGGGTGATGAGGGGACCAGGACCAGGCCTGGGGGAGAGGTGGATGGAAGAATTGAAGCCTGGCGACCGTGGGGGGTTTGTGGGCGGGTGCCTCGTGCCATGAGCTTGGCGGTGTTTGTGACATCTCTCTGGGCCAGGGACAGTGCTGGGCAGTTCACAGACATGACACCGCTCACCTGTTCCCATTCTCACCCCTGCCCCTGTCATGCTGAGGGATGTGGAGCCAGCCAGCATGAGTGCCAATGCCCGGTGCTTCCTCTCCCAGTCTGCAGAAAAGGAATCAGTGTACTGCGTTCCCTCCACCTGCAGCCCTGTGATTCAGGGGCTGGGAGGACACTTGCTGGCCCGTCCTACTTTCATTTCACTGTGCTGGTCTCTGATCCCTGTGCATCAGCCCTGATAGTGAGGGTCTCACTCCTCCGCTCTCCCCCTGACCTATAGATCTGCTCTTAAACACATCCACATCTTTGAGAGTCTAGTCTGTTCTAAACTGCTGAGCTCCTATGCATCCTCCAAGATCCTGCCCAAATGGCCCATTTATGAACAGTGCTCTTTTTCCCTAGACAGTCTTTATAATCCCTCAAATTTCCTTTGCGTGTGGTGGCATCTGAGCCCTCTATGTCTGGAATACAACCTGGCACTTAGTGGACCTCAGTGGATATTTTTGAGTGGGTGAGAGAGTAAATGACAGGGGAAGACACCCTCAGTTCCCCGAGTCTTCCCTTTGTCCTGGGCCATCTCCCCTCAGGATGAGTCCACCAGCCCTTTGAGGTAACAGAGCCCTGTGAATAGTGGTTACCATGGCAACTCCAATCAACAGCAGGGGAAGGGTGCTCCCTAGCAACCACCCATTGCTGCCTCCAGTCATTGGGCAGCTCCAGATTGTGCTCCTGGACTTCAGCACCTCCTGAAGAGGTTCCCGCGCTTTCTGTCGTTATGAAAGTCATAGAGAAGGTGAGGCAGGGTCCTGGAGGTGATGAGGACCCCCCAGGACCTGGGACCTCACCCGCTTTCTCCCCACTCAGGGTGGCTTGTGAGAGACACGTGCTGGGCTGCAGCTGGACCCACCACCCCGCCTTGACAGAGGTCTTTTGAGATCTTTCTCCCAAGTCAGAAACGACAGTGAGTCCACCCTTCCGACAGACTGGCTTTGGGACAGAGAGGGAGCTCTGTGGTCAAGGGGTGGCCAGGGGCAGGGATGAGCCCGGAGAAAGCCAACTTGGACTTAGCTAACCTGCGGGTGTTTGGCTTTTAGTGGCCCCTGTGCCAACCCCACCCCCCTATTTGATTCCCGTTTTTGGGTTTTCAGACAGGCTCTCACTCTGCAGTTTTCGGGCCGGCAGGCAGCCCAGGCTGACCTCCAGCTCCTCCTGCCTAGGTCCGCGCCCACCACTCACCCCTACTTTTCTGACCCGCACTTTCACCATCGCAGTTACTCTGCACACCTCACCAGGTCCGCAGGGAGCCTTGCTTGTCCCTCTGCCAGCTGAGGGAGCGCCTGACCTGGGCATTGTATTGGTCACGCCCTCGGCTAGGTAAGAAGTCACGCTGGAAGGCCACCGCTTAAAATGGCATCACTCATCGTTTCCTGATCCCGAGGGTCTGGGACGATTCTGGGACTCCCCTCAGGATCCCTCCTGGGCTGCAGTCCTGGGGATGCCTGGGGTTTCCAGCTCATGGGCCAACAGGAAAAAAATCCCCTTCCGGGGTAGCTCACACAGCAGGACTCGGCTGCTCACATGCTGGTGGCCACGGCCCCCTTCCCTTTTTGTCACGTGGGCTTCTCTGCAGGGACCCCGGGTCCCATTGGAGTGCAGAGCAAGCAGCATCTCGAGACAGTGTGCGGAGACAGCAGTCTCTCTCATGTAGTTTGGTGGTGACTTTGCTTAACTGGGCCTGTGCTGCTGGTGAGAAGCAAATCTCCAGGTCAGCGCACACCCAGGGGAAGGAATTACACTGTGACACCGGGGACATTAGGGACGGTCAGTGCCCGCCACTGTGCATCCTCTGGCCCCCAGTATTCTACATCCTCCCATGTGCAATGCATACCCATACACTCTTGGGATCTCTGAGGTTCCATCTGATGACGGTGCTCATTACGCTTGAGAATCCAAGAGATAAATGCTCAGGGGAGCTTAGGGGCCCCGTGCTGCCCGCAGGAGACCTTCCTGTCCTGAGCTGGTGGCTTGGGTGTCTTCCCCCAGCCACACTCAGGGGCCATGTGAGGCGTGGCTTTCAACAGTGATGAAGGAAGAGACCTGAAGGGTCTCCCATATCCGCAGCTTTTGAACTCCAGCCCGGCAGATGCCAGGTCTCTGTCACTGTCAGCTCTGCCCTGGGGGATTTTGCATCTATGCTGAGTGTCTTTTCTTTATATCTGATTTTGTCCCATGTCTGTTTCTCATGCTGCTGGCAGTACTTTTGCTAATACAGTTTCCTCAAAAGCTGTGATGCATGGCATTCACCCCGCTGGATGGAAGCCATGCCCCTCTGTATTGGGGTGCCCTTACATTGTCAGAGGCCCCCAGATTCCCCTGGGATGGATGTGAGGTGCAGCCTTAGTCTCCTTCAAGGACCTGTGTGTGGCTGTAAACCCCCGTCCTTTGCTCTTTCTAAGGGTTAAAGGTTGTCCTGTTACCTAACTCGAGGTGGGAAGCTCATGAGCCCAAAAAAACAAAACCCAGGGCACAAGTGTCGTGGTCAAAGAAAGCAGGCTTCCCTGAGGTGCAAGCATCCTGGAAGGAGCTCACATTTGCACGGCTCATGTTCCACTCTCCCAGTCTCTGGAGAGGTGGAGATATTTGACACGAGGACCTGCCAGGGGCTTCCTTCGGAAATCAGCCTTTCCCAGGAGCTGGAGTCCGGCCGGGAGGGTGGCGAGCTCTTATCTCCGGGGTGGACATTCCTGTTTGGCATCAGGTTTGTGGTCAACAGCTGCTTCCTGGAGTCCATGCAAGAAAAACAAGCAGGGTCACAGGAGTGCAGAGTGGAGGCCGTAGTCAGAGATGGGACAGAGGACAGGCAGGAAACCAGGGGAGCCACCGAGGACGGCAGCCTGCCACACTCATGTCCTGGGGGTGGCCTGACAAGATCCACACAGATGACAGGAAAGCTGTGTTTGCACATCAAGGACCAACACATGGAGGGTCCAGTTCCAGGGTCACACAGAGGCGGGATTCACCAGATCTTCAGGACACGGGCCTGAGTCCCTCGTGTGTAGCTGGCCCGAGGCCACTACCCTCAGCTCCACGTGGTCCCCTTGTAGTGCAGCTGCCCCTCAGGCTGAGCGACCAAGGGGAGCCAAGGCCAGTGCCACTAATCTCATCCCAGAGGGGTGCTCCATCACTTTCACTATAGTAAGCCACTGGGTCCAGCCACGTTCAAGGGCCTGCACAGGCGAGAGCAGCACGGAGCAGGCTCTCTGGGCAACGCATCAGAATCTGCATGACCCCTGGATTATTAATAATAAAGAGTTATTTTTGGTGCTGGAAATTGAGCTGAGGGCTTCTCGAATACTAAGCAATGCTCTGTCTCCAGCTCCAAATAATTATAATGCCAAAATTAATAGATTTGTTTTGCTGGGAAAGTTTTTAAGGGAATAAAATTGACCTGGTTTTTACCTGCTATCAACTTACTGGCAATTCTCAAAGATCCCTTCCAGTGTTCTCCTATTACAAAGACTGCTAGCTGGAAGGGACTGGTTTTATTTTGTTCATACTCTGACATGGGGGAAAAATCAGGAGAAAAGCCAGGCACGGCGGCTCCTGCTCCCAGCACCTGGGAGGCTGAGCTGTGCGAATTGCTTGGAATTCAAGGTTACATTAGCTTGTAGTGATTGCAAGGCCAGCCTTAAATGCAGAGTGAGACCTAGTCTCAAAAGATCAAAGCAAAACCCATAACACCAATCAACCAACCGAACAAATAAAAATCCCGTATGTTATAAAGTAAGGGAACACAAAGATTCTCCTAGGAAAAAGGAACTCAAATTTGAAATCTGCAGAGGGGCTCCCCAGGTCCTGCTCTGAGGCTCCCTTCCCAGCCCCGGGATGAGTAGCCGCAGTGGACAGCAGCCTATTTTCAGGAAGGCCAAGGTTATCGGGGAGGAGGGCGAGCTGCCCCTGGCCCTGGTGCAGGCTGTGGAGACCATAACCATTTAGAGAAGGGCAGCCCGGGGGGCCTGGTGATGGGTGGAGGGTTCCAGCCATGGCTGAGGGCACAGCAGTGGAGAACGGGCAGGGGCAGGGCGGTGGACCTCTGTGGCCTCCCTGTGGGCTGGGCTTGTCCTGGTCCAGGAGGGCCTGTCATCTGAGAGGGGACAGAAGTGCATCCTTTGTCTACAGGACTGAGCTTGGCATCACCTGTCTCAGCAAGAGGCAATGGAGCCGGGCCATCGAGAAGGTAGGCCAGGGCGGCTGGGATACAGCCGGGAAAGGGGACAGGACCTGAGGACGGGGACGTATCCCCGTATCCTGTCACCCTGAGGAAAAGATCCCCTCCCATTCTTCCAGGCCTGGGGGCTCAGACCCCACACAGTCCCCGGGGCTCAGGTGCTTCCTGTCACCAAGAAGGAGTCACTCCTCATGTTCCCAGCAGGGCAGCCCCAAGGGACAGCAGAGTGTGCACCCTGGTTGCAGGGTTTGGGGTGGCCGCAGGGCCCACGGCCCATCGTGGGAGGCACAAGGTGCTGGCCCAGACTGGCGGAGGGAAGGAGCTGGCTCTGGTGGACGCTGGCAGACACGGCTGGGGTGGGCTGGCTTGGGGAAGGGTCCCTGGTGGGTGAAGGTGTCAGAGCTGCAGGTCCGGTGGGGGCACGGCAGTCCACTGAGGCAGGGACCACTCCTTCTGGAAACTTCTTCCACTGCCTGGAGCAACCCTGGGACTTTATCTTTAGATTTCTGGCTTTCAGCAGATCTGAGACAGCTGCTCTGGGAGGGGCCCAGTGATCTGTATCATCCTCACTAGGAGGAGGGAGGATGATGTTCCTTCCTTCCTTCCTTCCTTCCTTCCTTCCTTCCTTCCTTCCTTCTTTCCCTGTTCCCTGCCTGCGTGTATTCATTCAACAAGCATTGTGCTCCCAGAGGACAGGGATTGTACCCAGCCCCTGGCTTGAAGTAGGTGTTTACTCAGGGGTGAACTGGTGACCATCTTGGCTCTCTGAGCGGAGGATGCAGGACACACTGGGGTCGCTGAAATGCTCCTAACTTCAAATGGTGGCAGTGGACGAGCAGGGGTCCCAGGATCGTGTGGCCATAGAGCAGTCACTGGGAGCTCAGGCCAGGCCCTGCCCCAGCGGCGCTGAGCCCTGAATCTGTGGAGGGGCATCGAGGGGAACCCACCCTGCGATGGGCTTCAGTTTCCCCAGGAGCAGGCCAAGGGCAGAGGGAGGCCAGGCAGGTGCTGAGCATGCTCGCTCTCTGCCGTCGGCCTGCTCCCCTTTGAGAAGGGGGCCCTGGACCTCCTGCTGGCCTCTGGATCCCCACAGACCCCTTCTGCAGAGCCCAGCGGGAGAGACAGAATCCACTTGGCCTTGGAAAGGTTTTCCCTCCGCCTTTTGTAGGTGACAGGGGACAAAGGACAAAGGCTGAGCAGGAGAGCACAGAGCCTCCCCTGTGCCCAGCACCCTGCAGTGACCTCTGGTCAGTGCCTCTCGGTGACAGCACAGCGGGGGCCTGGATCTGTGCTCACAGCTGCCTTTTTTTTTTTTTTGAAAAATTAAACTGGACCAAGCAGCAGGTCCAGAAACCAGAGCCAGGAACAGCAGTGATGCTGGACTGGGAAGGGAAGTTCAGCTTCCATCGCTACGGGACGGAGGCCCCAGGCTCTGGCTCAGTTTTTTAACAGCAACACATGGGCTCTGACCTCATTTGCAGACAGAAGTGAAGCAAAATGAGGCATCTTTTAAGAGCAGGATCAGAGGACCCTTCAGGAGTGGTTGGGAGGGATGCTCACCCAACAGTTTACAACTGTGACCCTGGACGAAGGTGGCCGCAGGCTGAGTGGCCTCTGTTTTTTGCACAGAGATAGAATGTGCAAGCTGCTTAGTGTTATGTCACACATCTGTCCTGGCCAGGTGGAGCACACTTGTAATTCTAGCACTTTGTGAGCCTGAGATAAGAGGATTGTGAGTTTAACTTGAACCTGGACGCTTTAGCAAGATCCTGTTTCAAAAAATAGAGCTGAGGACGGTGGTGCGTGCCTGTGATCCCAGCACTCAGGAGGCTGAGGCAGGAGGATCACTATGAGTTCAAGCCTACATAAATGAGTTCAGTGTCAGTGTGGCATACACAGTGAGACCCTGTGTCAATACATACATACATACATGATACATACATGCATACATAAGGCTGAGGATGCCACTCAGTGTGAAGGCTCTGGGTTCGATTTCCAAGACCCCAACACCAAACAAAAAACACGCCCTAAGTCATTGTGCAGTGGCTGTAAGATGTACCATTTCTGGGGTGTCTCGAAGAGAAGACACTGCTGTTGGACCACAAGACTGGGCCTTAAGGCTGGCAGGCTGGGGCTGTGGCGCTGAGTGTCAGAAGCAGAGTGAGCAGCCCGGCTGTTGACCTCACTTCCCTGTCTGTCTCCTGTCTCACTGTGTGTCCTCCTGGTGCTGGCTCCCTGTCTGTCTGTCCCTGTCTGTCATTCCCCGCTCTACCCGCCTTGCTGCGCCCTCCCTGGCTCCACCTCCTGCATCTCTCTGAGAGTCTCCCCCTCTCCCTCCTTCTGTGCCTCTCTCTCCCGTGTCCAGGAGCAACCCCTTTGACCAGGAGCCCCCGGAGGAGCAGCAGGGACACAGACACCTCCAAGTTCAAACACAAGACCCTGGCCTCCTCCAGCTCCGGAGGCAGCTCTGGAGGACAGGGTTACCGAGAGGAAGCCCGGCCTCCGCCCCCAAGCCCTGCCAGCAGGGATTCTCTAGGGCCTGGGGCTCTGAAGAAGAGGGGCTCCAGGGCCTCCTTGAGGGAGAGTCGCACTTCCCTCCACGAGGGGCCTCCGCAGGACAAAAGCCCCAACGAGAGGACCCAGGAGCTGAGAGGTTTGCCTCCCAGCCAGAAGGACAGCATCATTCCTGACAACATTCGCCACAAATTTGGGAGCAAAGTGGTAGACCAGCTGGTCTCCGAGGAGCAGGTGTCTGTGCAGGGGCCCGGAGGCTAAGGGTGGTGGAGGGGCCCTTGTGAGATGTGAGGCTACAGAAGAGATTTGGATCAGTCCCTGTGATAACAGCATCAGGATGCGGTACTCAGTGACACCCCCTGTGCGCCAGGGACCCTGCGTTGCTTAAATCCCTGCCCTGTAACCACACACTCCATCTTTCCAGCAGCCCTATGAGGAAAGTCGTATTATTATCCCTGTTTTACGTGGATAAAGAACAAAAGGCTAACATGGTTTAAGCTAACCAAGTTCATTCAGTGGTGTGGGACAAGAATCCAAACAGGGTGGGAAGTTTGGTGCTTTCACCAAGATCGCTTTGCAGTACAAACCTTTTGTTTGAATTGGATGCTTTCGATTTGAATGTATTTCCCAAGATAGGCGACACTCCATGGACAGATAACATTTGTTGGGAATCAGAAGACGTAAGTTTGAATCCTGGTTCTGACCCTGAATTCTGGGTGACTTTGGATAAGTTACTCTCTCTCCTGGATGTCAGTATCTACATCTATAAAATGAAGCAGAGAGATTAGACAGATTCATGGCACACAGACTACAACTGGCCCATCTTGCTTGTGTGGCAGACATAACTAATTGATAATGACATTCTTTCCCACATGATGTACCATTTCTGGCAGCCAGTTCTAGTCAATTGAAACTGGAGATAAAATTCAGCTTCCATTTCTGATCAAATGCAAAGCATCTTTCTTGTTCTGGCGTTCTGAGACATATCTGAGCCAGCATTTCAATCCTCATAGCAACTACATGGTACTGTTAGCCAGACAGGAGTTAGCATTTTGTAAAACATGGTAAAACCAAGGCCCGAAGCCAGGAGCTGTTATACAGCAGAACTGGAGCTCAAACCCAGATTTCCTGCTTCCTAGGCCTGAGCTTGACTTCTCGGGCCTTGTTTTTCCTATCACTACAAGGAAGGATTTGGCTTTGGTGAATGCTAAGAACTTTGATTCGTGTGAGGCTGTGGTTGTGGGGAGCAAACCAGGGCTCTTGCTCCCCCATGACTGATGGGGCAGGTGAGCCTGGCCTCTGCTGCAGGACCAGTTTCCTAGGTTATAAAGTGGTGGGAATAGTGTCACGCTGTGAAGGCCGTCCTGTGCAGCGGGGGCCTTTAGGATCATCGTCCACGCAGGAGGGAAGAGGCACAGGGCGGGGCACAGAGGGGCTGCAGCCGGTGGACGGGTGAAGGGTGGGGTGGGGTCAGAGAGAGAGGGGACTTAGGGGCCGCGGTGGGACTTACCCCACCTTTCCACCCTTTGCTACTTGTCCCCACTCTCCACCAGGCTCAAAGGGTCATCAGTGAAGTCTTGGAGGAAAAGAAAAAGAGAAGCTTGTGGTCCAGTGGAACCCGGAGTCCTGTGAAAATCTCCTCCATCTTTTCAGACTACTATGACCTGGGTTACAACATGAGGTCAAACTTATTTCAAGGTCAGACAGAGGGCAACAGCCGGGGTCTCCAGGGCACTGAGTGGTGGAGGGGGAGAGCCTTTGGGGTATCCATCCTCTAAGCAATCTGGGGCCCCAAGGCATAGTGCCAAGGACACCCACTTCGTGTCCCCAAGGGCATCCTCCATGCCCCCAAGGGCCGGTCCGGCATGGGTGCTGGTCATGCCCAAGCCCGGCCAGTCTGTCCTCGATGTGTGGATGACACAGCCAGGAGGTAGCTGCTTCTGGAAGCTTCTGGACACTTCTAGCTTCTTAATCTGCCAGTGGGGGGCCCAGCCTCTCTGGCCTGACATTGGAAATACTGGGTTTCTTGAGCTCAAAGCTCAGCTCAGTCCCTCCTTGGCTGGGTGTCCTTTACTTCTGAGCCTCAGCGGCCTTCCGAGGGCGCTGGGACACTGATAACACCTGATGACCCCTGGGATGTGGGCAGGAGTCTCTGAAGACATGGAGGCACTCGGCCTGTGGCACTAGAGAGCCCTCAGTAGCTGCCAGGCCATTATGTCCCTTACCTAGAGCTGGGGAAAAGGCAGGATGTCGGGAGGCCATGTTGTCTAGAAGTTTCCTTTGGGTCTGAGTGGCCTAACCTGGCTGGGGGCAGGTGGTGGCAGCAGCCAGAAGGTCCATTTTACAGGTGGATTTGAGGTCCACTACCTGAGACTTGTTAGTAACCTGAAGGGGGTCTGGGACTGAGATCTAAGGTCTCCTTCTGATCCGTGGTCTGTCCTCAGCACCAGACCCAGTCACCTCCCCACCGTGACACGACAGACCACCAGAAGGAGGGCTTTGCACAGTGCTCACACAGGGGCCAGCACACGGGGCGTCCCTTGGGCCCATGCTCCCATGTGGCCTTGCCATAGATGCTCAGTCTTCCGTGGGCCTGCTCCTCCCGAGCTGCAGGGCCTGGCCGACCTCCCTCGCCTGGCTGGGCTCCCGGTCACCCGAGGAACCAGACAGCCACTGGAAGCCTTTCTGAGTTTTTCTTTGAGTTTGGAGAAGATCAGTGCTGGGGGAGAGTGAGAACACAGCTCACATTGTCCCGTCCTGGGCCTCATGATCCCATCTCCCCCCACTTTCAGGGTGATCACCTACAGTTCTCACCTACAGTTCTTACAGGGCCTCCCAGCACCCGCCCCGTCACCCAGCCTTGCCAGGAAAACGGTGCCCAGAGTGCGCTGGCCGGCTCACACCTGCTCACAGGGTCTATTGTCCCATTTCCTAGACCTGATTGGCATTTAAATGCTATTCTAAGACTGCCGCAGTAGCAGTGTTTACACACCAGAAGCGGGCAAACACTGGGACAGGGCTTTGCCCGGGGGGAGTGGCACACAGCTGTCACCAGCCTGTCCACGTGAGTCCCTCTCAGGCTCCACCTGCCTGGCCTGGCCTGGGCACTGGCTATCAAGGCAGGCGTGGCCACATGGACCTGTGGGAGGGGAAGTCAGGGGAAGCAGGCAAGGTCTGAAGACCCCAGGGTGGCTTGTGAGAGACACGTGCTGGGCTGCAGCTGGACCCACCACCCAGCTGCGCTGGGTGCTGTGAGCAGAAAGAGCCTGCCAGGCTTGGGGAAAGGACCCTCCAGGTGCTGTGTTGGAACAGATATATGCAAAGGACCTGGGGCAGAATGGGAAGCCAGTGGAGAGCGGACTACGGAAATCCCGAAGTGATAGGCCAGGTGGCTTGGTGGTGTTGGTCAGTTTGTTATTACTGTAACAAATGCCCAGGAGGATCAGCTTATACAGACAAAAAGGTTATTCTGACTTGCGGTTGTGGGGGTTTCATTGCTTTGGGCCCGAGGGAGGCATCGCATCATGGTGGGGAGAGAGGCAAGAAGGCTGCTCACCTCACGACCTGGGAGTGACAGAGAGAGAGAAGCTGGGCTCCCTCAGTCCCCTTTGAGGGAATAGGACAGTGGTCTTAAACCGCCCACTCCCATTCGTCTGGGTATTAGACGCAGCTGGATATCGCGTTGGGCAACAGCTCCCACCCCATCACCAGGCGACCTCTTGGGTTTCTAGTCTCTCACACTTCCCTGTACGTTTTAGAATCTGTTCCTCCATGTCCCCGAAAACCCTGCTGCAATTAGATTGGATGCACATTAAATCTACGGCACAGTGTAGGGACGGTTATCAGCTTTGTGATGGTACATTTGACAATTGATAAATATGATATATAATTCCACTGATTTAATGCTTCTTTCAACGTCTGTCAGTAACAATCTACAATTTTTTTCTACAGATCAATTGTTAAATTTATTTTCTCTAAAGGTCATTTGTTAAATTTATTCAGGAAAATAAATACACTTGCCACTGATTATAAATGGTATCATTTTAAAAATTACATTTTCTGGGGCTGGGATCCCAGTGGTAGAAAGCATGCCTAGCGTGTACTCAATCCCATCACCAAATCTAAATTAAGTTAAATTATACTATTTTCTAATTTTGCTTCTGCTAGTATATTTATAAGCTATTATTTTTTAATTAACAATTTTAAATTATTATTTTTAAATTGCTTTGAAGCCAGAGAGCATGTGCTTCATTCTCATCTATTTTAATTTTCTTATTTTGAGACAAATTCTTCCAAGTTTCCCAGGCTGGGCTCAGATTCTCCATCCTCCTGCCTCAGCCTCTCAAGTAACTGAGATTGCATGTATGTGCCATTGCACGCTGCACGGTTTTCATTTTTGTATATTAGGTTTATATCCAGAAACCTTGCTCAGGTCGCCTCAGTTCTAAGCACGGGCGTGTGGCCCTTTTCTGCACACTAAGAGCGACCTTCACCTACAGCAAGGAAGAGATGCCGGCCACGGCTCTGAGCCCCTCCTCACAGTTTACACAAGAGCCTCGTGTGGGTGCCCTACCATTCCCATTCTTTTTTTTCAGATAGAAAAAAAAAAAAAATAGAGGCATAGACAAGTTAAATACTTTGCCAAAGGTCACACTGGTAGGAGCAGGCACAGGTGGAATTTGAACCTTGGCAGCCGAGTTCATGCTCTCAGCTGCCAGGTTCTCCTGCCTCTGCCTCGGCACCTGCCTTGTGCAGCTTGATGGTGCAGCTGAGCGGGAAGAGCAGGTGTCTTTCTACCTCCCCTGATTGTTACCATTGCATACAATCGTTCATTTGTCATAGCCCTGAATGCACTTTTTGGAAGAGGGCCATTCAGAACTGAACCCAGGGCCTTTGCACTAGCTGCATATGCATTTCAGCCCTTTTTATTTTAAGACAGGCTCTTGCAAAGTAATACACTGTTTTTACAGAGAAGTTTGAAAGATACATTTTATTGCATTGTGGAGCCTTCCCTTTATTTCTGAGTTTGTCTCTGAACTTTTTAAAAAAATATGAATGGATGTTGATTGATTCACTATTGTCCTGCAGCTTCTCAGGATTTTCCCTTTGATCTGTTAGTGCAGTAATAAATCATATTTATGAGCTGAGTTCCTAAAACTAAAGCAAACTTGTACTCCTGCATGTAAATCAGGGTAGATGTGCAGGACCTGTTTGAATTGTGAAAACTACCACCCCCACAGAAGTGTGCACAAAACCCACTGTGCCACCGACCGCATGGTCCTGGCCCACACTCCAGCCCCCCAGGGTGAGGGTGGTGGCAGGGGTGGTGGGGTCCCAGGGGGACCTTGGAGGCTCCTCCTGGACTTTTGGCCACATCTGCTTCCTTCCCAGATGTGACTTTTGACTTGATTTTGCCTGGTGATTAATGCCATACTTGTCCCTGTCAAAAAATATGTGCTTTATTATAAAATTGAGCACAGTAAAAAGAGGGCTCTCAGAAGCCTGCTAACAGTGTGCTTTGAGCGCCTGTGCGTGCCTGGCGTTGTAATTGGTGCAGAGGTAAAGAGAGGGTGTGGGAGGCGGACACAGGAATGGGAGCGCCCTAGGAGCCTAGATGGGCCCACAGTCTGTCGGGCAGATGAATAGTTATTACGGATAAGGGAGAGCAGTGAGTGTGTTCGGCAGGGGGCCCCAGGTCCTGTGGTTTCACTGCGCCAGGGTGAATTACAGAGAGGGGAGGAGGGAAGGGAAGAGAGCGGGAGGAAGCGAGCAAGCTCTGGATGAGTCCTGCACCAGGCCGGCCAAAGGCAGCCGGACAGGCCTGCTCACCAGCGTCACTGCAGTGTTTCTTTAGCGTGAGATCCCTGGGTGGGAACCCTGAAGTGAACGGTCCAGGGACCAGCTTGGGGAGCTCACGGGCCAGGTGGCTTGGGGCAAAGGCTTGGAGGCCAGCCCTGGGGTTCTGGGGGAGGGGAGGTCAGGCAGGGCCCTGGGCTGCCTCTTCACTGAGCCGGCAGGATGTGGCACAGAGCAGAGACCTTTGTTTATAAAACACTTGGCTGTTGGGTGGAGACCAGACAGAGCCCTGAGGTGAGAGTGGAAGCCTGAGACCTCCCAGGAGCCCAGGCGCTCCGGGGTGAGAGAAATGGCTGAGTTTGCACACCTGCAGGAGGCGGAGCAGATGCCTTTCTTGATGGTTTTGGGAGCTTGGAGGGGTGGTGGAGGGGTGTTGGGGGGAGAAGTCAAAGATGACCCCAGGGTGCGAGGGACAGAGCAGGCGGGGCAGGTGCGGAACTGGGTGGAGGCGTGTGTGCCACCCGGCACAGGGACAAGGAACCAACTTAGAGCCCCTGAGCTGCTGCTTGAATCCCAGCTCTGCCCAGGGCCGGTTCCTCTGCCTCTTTTACCTGTTTCCTCTTTTGTAAAACGTGGTTAATAACCAAAGTTGCCCTATCGGTATTATTTTAACAGAATTATGTAATAATGTATAGTGGCTAGATCTCGGCACTAAGAGAGCAAACACAGGAAATTCCGAGTGGCAGTGTGGGGAAGGAACCATTGGAGCGGGGATCCAGAGGCCACGGGACACTCTAGTCCTGGGCCTGCGTGGGGCTGTTCAGTCCTGTCCCTTGCTATGCTGCAACGCCCAGGTTCCGGGGCTGGCTGCGGAGGCTGCGGCCCTGGGGTTCACAGGGGTTTCGTGTGAGGTTGGTTTCACTGTGAAGATGGGCATTTCCTCCGGTTGTGTGGAGCTCTGTCTGTGGGTCCCTATGTGCATGCATGAGTTTTTTGTCCTGCCGTCAAGGGCCCAGGCTCCCTGCTGTTTTGATGGCCTGGTGCTCCCCAGTACCTCCCCACTGCGGCCCATTGGGCTCTAGAAGCTCTGGGGGTGCGGTTAACCTGGCCTCGGGTTGATCTGTTTTTCACTGCCCACTCCGGCCTGCAGACCCTGGGTGCCCACCGCGTGTGTGTAGAGGGATCGCTGGCCACGTGCGTGTGCTCTGCAACTCAGGCCACAGCCTGCTGCCCTTACGCCCTCCAGCCTGCAGTGCTATCTACCAGATCCCCAAGGGACCCGTGAAGCCCCTCTATTTAGATGCAACGTGACAGGGAAGTGGGTACCTCCATCCTGGGAAGGATGACTCAGAACTCTCAGAAAAAGAAACGCCTTTAGGATTATCCTAGCCGTTTCCCTCAAATCCAGCCATTTCCAGCCGAGTCGGGCTGAGTTCCCTGGCAGGTTTTGGCCACTTCTTCCCACATCCACCCAAGAGGCTGCTTCTCAGCTGCTTTGATGTCTGATCTCCATCAAAACAGAGGACTCTGGTCCCAACTTGTAACTTAATGTGTTGCATAAGCATTTCAAGCCATAAATACCGACCTCTAAAAATGGCTTTTTCTGGCTCGATAGCATCGTCCTCAGAGGACACAGCTGTCATGACTTTAGTCCTTTGAAGCTGGCGAGATTGCTCTGTGACCAGCTGGTGGGCAGTTTTGTGGATGACTCACGTGTGCCTGAAATGACTCCTCGGATGCTGGACTTGGTGTCAGTCAAATAGAACAGGCTTGTTAATTATGTCTCTATAGAGCTTGCTGCCACTCCTTGTTAAGATTCCTTCTGGATCTATTAATTACTAAAAGATGGCTTTCTTTCTATTTTTTAATTTCTTGGTGTGATTACTGGGAATCAAACTCAGGACCTCACGAGTGCAGGGCGGCAATGTGCCACTGAGCTTTACGCCAGCAAAGACGGATCTTGAAATCTGCTATCGCAGCAGATGTGTCTGTGTCTTTTATTTCTGATGATTTCGCCTCATCTATTTTGAGACTCTTTCTCAGTGCGGCAAACTGAGAATTATCTCGGCACCTTAATTAACTGAGCCGAGATTTATGTCTCCCGGTGTCTCTGCTCTGTGGTCTGTTTTATCTGCTATAAATACAGCGAGTCCAGACTGCTTGTGGTTAGTATTTACTGGGTCTGTCTTTTTCTAGCTTTCCGCATTTATCTTCTCTTCCTATCTTTTTTAAAGTATGCCTTAAATAATTTTTACCTGGAAAACGTCAGGCATACACTGATAATCTGTTGCTGGATCAGTAGGCTTAGTCCATTTAGGTTTATCTGAGTTACTGACATATTGGATATATTTCCATGATCTTGTGTTTTTTTCTATCTTTCTTTCGTCTCCTTTTTTTGGATTTGCTTGAGTTTTTTTTTATACATTTTTTTTTTTTTTTCAGAATTGAGGATGCAGCCTGGGGCTTTTGTATGCTAATAAGCACGGACTTTTCCATTGTAGCAACCCAGCTCAGCTCAATCTGTGTGCTTTTTTATTTTCCTCTTTCTTCTTTCTTCTTTCTTTCTTCCTTCCTTCCTTCCTTCCTTCCTTCCTTCCTTCCTTCCAGACAATGTCTTGATTTGTGATTCAGGCTGGCCTTGAACTCACTATGTAGCCCAGGCAGGCCTCAAACCCACAGGATCCTCCCGTCTCTGCCTGCTTAGTGCTGGGGTCATAGGTGTGCCCCGCTATGGCCAGGTTTTCCTGCTCGCTTCATGGCTACCTTGGGCATTTTAATGTGCAGAGTTAAATTCTCAAGTTAATCGTGGTATTCAAGTTTTCCTGCAGTTTGTGTTGGAGGTTTATCTTTCCTTTCTTCATCTCTCTCGTGCTTGTATGCTGTTATTTTATAAAGTTATCCACGCAAAGTAGTTTAAGTTTATCCCGGGGCCATAGGATCTGAGTCAGAGGCCTAGATCATCACGAACTGTGTGATTTGGGACAAGTGCCTTAACCTGTCTGTGCTTTAGTGATTTTATCAGGAAAAACTGGGAAGAAGTTAAAGGTTATCATCTTCACTATTTGGCCTCATAATTTACACACGGGCACTGCTGTCCTAATGAATACCTGGCTAGATTTGCTCCTTTGACCTTTCTGTGTCTGCCATTTCTCTCATGCCACAGTCTTTCTTCCCGGGACATTTCTTTTCTTCCTGAACTATGATGGTCATAAGGTCACTGTAGTGAGGTTTTGTTTTTGATCAGTTTTAGGCTCTTAAAAACACATTTTTGGGTCAATCCTAGGGGATGGTTGTAAGCCAGGCACGGTGGAGCACTCCTGTCATCCCAGCACTTGGGAGGCTGAGGCAGGAGAATCACCACGAGTTTGAGGCCAGCATGGACTACACAGTGAGACCCTGTCTAAAAAAATTGTATTATAGACAGATCTAGAATAATGATTATTTTCTATTAGTACACTGATATTCATCTACTTTTTAACTTTACTTTGATGGTTAACAAATCAATTATTATTTACTAGTGAACCGCCTTTTATCTCTCTCTGTCTTATTTTAAAGATACTGGGGGGGGGGCTGGGGATTTAGCTCAGTGGCATAAGCGCTTGCCTTGCAAGCAGGCAGTCATGAGTTCAATCCCTGGTACTGATAAAAACGAAAAAGACAAAAAAAAAAAAAAAAAAAGATATTGGGATTGAACTCAGGGCTTCTCTTGTGCTAGACTGATCTATATTCTCCAGCTCCTCTAACACTTTTCAAATTTTATTTCTGAGATAGCATCTTAAACTTGTTGTCTGGAACTCGCTTGCAATCCTCCTGCCTCAGCCTCCTGGGTAGCTAGGATTACAGGTGCATGCTCCAGTAAAGGCCTCTGTCTACTTCTAAGAGTTCCTTGTTTCTGCTGTTCTAAATTGCACCTGGGTGCATCTAGCCTAGGAGTTCCTGTCCTGTGATGTAGCTTGGTGACAGCGTGCTCAGGCATGAGGCCCTGAGTTCAACCCCAGCATCACGACCCTCGGCCCCTCCACTGTATCATTTAAATTCTTGATGTCCTTCAGAATTTGGTCCACTCTGCTGTGATTCTGATGATTCTTTGTCACAGTAACTTATTTCTTTTGTTTGTGCTTAAATCTGGGGCACTGAGATAAATTTTCTGAAGATACAAACACTGTCCCACCCAGATGCTCAGACAAATGCTTCATCGTTCAATTTTTGCCACATTGCAAGGAAATCTGATGATGAAGAAACTAAAACTCAGAGAGGTTGGAAACTTACCAGAGTCCACGCTGCCCATAAATATCTGATCTGGGATTTGAATCCAGACCTACTGTACCCTGAAACCCTCTTCAGCCCTTCTCTCCCTCCATAGAGGAAACTATAGCCTGTTACAATCCATCAAGCACCCCAACTCCACTGACTTGGGCCTCTGGGGGGTTTCTTCCTGGTGTCCCACAGGACCACCCCAAGAGACCAAGAGCCTCATGAAAGCTTCCTACACGGCAGAGGTGCTGGAGAAATCGGTGCGGGACTTGGAACATTGGCACGGGAGGAAGACAGATGACCTGGGTAGGTGTGGCTGTAGGTGATGGGAGGTGCATCTGCTCCTCCGAGGGCAGAGTGTGGTAGCTCTGAGGCCCAGACAGAAGCCAGAGCTGGAGGGGGAGCCCTGGTGGGCTTGGAGAGCTGCGGGTTACCTCTGGGGTCTAGGCCCTTCTGAGGCTGCTGGGTGACCTGTGCTGGTTCCTCTTCCACTCTGTAGGACGGTGGCACCAGAAAAATGCCATGAACATGAATTTGCAGAAAGCACTGGAGGAGAAACTTGCAGAAAAGAGCAAATCCAGGGCCTCAAAGTATTAGCTACGGCACAGAAGAGACACCCTCTGCTCAAAGAATGTGCTAACAATAAAGAGACAGAAAGCACAAATCAGAGTCCTGCTCCTCTGCTCCATGACTTGCTCCGTGCTGGAATGAGGACCAGGGAGGGGGTGCTGTTGGAGAGATCTTGGGGAGCAGACAAAGCCCTGAAGGACCAGATGATCCCTAGATTTCTCTACACTCCATTCTCTGTCATCAGAAAGAATGCACAGGGTCAGGCTAGTAAAAATACCGTTCTCCCTCTAGATCTTGGTGGAGGTGTCTCTGTACAGGGGACAGTGCTGGACCGTGCTCTGCCACACTGTCTCTAGAACACTCCAATTATTTCCAGATAGCCTTTTCCCCACCATGAGTCCTTGGACTTAGAGGGATTGGCTGCACACATGCCTTGTAGTCTGTGGGTGGATTTGATTGGTTCATGGCAATTCTCCCCACCTGTCCCCCACACAAGTGATTGGTTCGGCAATGGGCATGTGATGCAGTGTGGGCCAATGACATGTAGGGAAAAGTGTGTGGTGCCTTCTGGGAAATTCTTTTCTGTGCTGGGCTGCTGGGCCCTTGAAGAAGCCTTAGGACCAGAGGTACTAAGGAAAATGCTGCACAAGCCCACCAGCTGCACCATGAACTTGGCAGAAGCTGCCCACTTCTTGGCATCTTATACCATGAGCCTGGGCATCTCCTTGTTTGAGCAGTCAAAACATCTTTTGTTAATGATGATCCCTGGTAGCAGGGGAGGGACTTGGGGGCTGGAACCCCAGGGAAGAATCCACCAGAGAAGGGGTTCCAGGGCAACTGGGCTTACCAGTTGATACTGGAGTTTTTCACCTGGTGGGTTTCTAAGCCAGTGCTGCTCACTGACTTGGCCTCTGAAGACATTCTATCCATGAGCATTTTTTATTTGCTGTGTCCTCAACCTCATTGAAGACTAATGGCTTAAAGGTTTGCTTCCGATGGTGCAAACAGGAAGGGCTCAGCAGGTCTGGCTCATTCCTGCTCTCTGTGTCATCTGTGACGCGCGTGCTTGGTGCCTCAGCTGGGGTGGGTCCTACAGCTTGGGTAGATACCTTCCAGGTGGCGTGGGTAACACACTTGGGCTGTGTACCTTGCAGCCAGCATGGGTGCTGCAGGTTGGGCTCTCCGGGCAGTGTTATTCTCCCAGGGCTGGCTTGGGGATCTTCACGGTGTGGTGAGAGGGTTCTAAGAAGGGGCATTTCAAAGTGACAAGATTCAGCTTGTAAGGATTTTACCCAGCTTTACTTTTCAATTGTTAACGTCTCTGTGGGCAAAGAGCACTGTGGTTCAAACCCAGACTTTGTGAGAGGAGACCTCTGGAGGGCATTGCTAATGGGCAGAAGGGGCTCGATGGAGACTGCCTGAAGAGTCTACCATGGACAGCATCTTGCTTTGGAAAAATCAGAGCAAAGGAAAGAAACAAAAATCACTTCCCAGAGAAGAGAAGCCGTGTTCCCAAATTTTTCCCAAACACTCTCCTTCCATGACTTCAAGATGGGATCGGGCCTGGATGCAATGCAGGGAAGAAAGTATGACCAGGTATTTACTGAGTAAGTGTGTGACAGGTCAAGGTGTCGACTTCTTTCTGGGGTACCTACCTTCTGCAAGAAACTATTCTGGGTGCTGGGAGAGCAGAACTTTATATCTTTCTCAAGCAGATACTCTGTGCCCAGCACAAGACACATTTGAGTCACCCACGATTCGTGGCTCAAGCACGCTGTACACTGTTGGGACACAGAAATGAGCACGTACCAGATGCTTTACACACACAGCCGTATTTCATCTTGATGTCATCTTCAAAGCTGTTACTGTCCCCTTTATTAAGGGGAGGACAAGTTTGCACAAGCCAACTAAATTGCAGAGAACTGCACCAGTAAGAAGCTGGGATCCAAGCCCAGCAATCTGTGACAAAGTCCACTTTGCCAGGTGAATCTACTGAAATACATGCTGATGGTCAAGGGTTCAGCCTGTTTGCTGAGGCAGGGACAGCAGTATGAACTTGGTGCAGCCTTTGTCCCCGGGACTTTACCAGTGCAGAGAAGCAATTCGGAAAAAGGCGGCTGTGAAGTTCTCCCACCTGTGTGGCTCACAGGACACCCATCTGCCCAGGACGCTGGGACTGAGCGAATGAGACATGCACTGGTCCTCGGAGACTTCTGTCTCCTGGGGACAGAGCTGACTCAGAAGAAAAGGTTTATGCATGAAGTGGGAAGTGACATGGGGCCAACGGAGAACCGGAGGAGCACAGGTGTCACCAGGGATGTGCTAGAGCCCTGGTTAGATCACAGGCTGCATGGAGGAGGCACCTCCTGGAATCAATGCTGGACCTGAGCAGGTGCATTCAGGGCTGGGAAGGACACAGCATTCCAGACGGAGGGTGCAGCGTGAGCAAAACCCAGCAGCTCTGTGAGGAATGACCAAGAATTACGGTGTTTAAAAGTAAGTTATTCCTGTAAAAAAAAACAAAAAACAAAAAAACACCGCCATTAAATACTCAAAATACCCCCTTCCCTAAATTGCGTGATAATCCGTCATTCCTCTTTGAAGCAGCTCCTGAAGTCATCTTTGGTGTGTTTATGAGGGGCAATTCAAAACTAGGGTGCATGCGGCTGCTGAGGGCCATCGGAGGAAAAGCAGGCCCATGGAAACCCTACCGCGTGCCCTCGTCCTCCTCATTCGCCAGACCTGGCACCAGGCGACTTCTGGCTTTTCCTCGAAGTCAAAATGACTGTGAAAGGTCAACACTGATTTCAGACATCAAGGCAGCCATGACAGTGTACCTCGGTATCCTCTGAAGAGGGGGCTCCCAGACCTGCTCCGGAAAGTGGGGAGTGTGTTGAAAGTGACGAGGAGGATTTTGAGGGGGATTCGTGGCCATGTATCTTTTACTGTAATATTTTTAAACACTTGCTGTAGTTTTGATCATACCTAATATTTGGGGAGCTCAGACCCCCAGATTGGGAGGGAGTCAGGGAGACACAGTCTGGGCCCAGGTCGGGCAGGAATCTGTCAGTCATGAGAGATTCAGTCTTTCTTTCCCCAAGCTTACATCTGGCTGAACACAAAAAATTATTCCGGCTGGAGAAGCCACACATGTAAAACTGAAAATATGCTCAACATTCTCAGTAACCAGAAATGCGAATTAAAACACATAACTCATCAGGCAGGCAAAAATTAAAATGCAAATGTGGGTGAGAATTAAGGAAGTGAAGACTCTCACGCATTCTGTGAATTAACATGCAAAGAGCAACCAGGGAATATTTAGTGAAGTTGAAATCATGTACTATAACCAAGAATTTCCAGCTCTGCCCAGCCGCGGAGACTCACGCATGCGCAGAAGGAGCCCCATGCAGGAAGCTCCTCTGCAGAGTCGTCCATAATGTAAACCGGTGCACGTGTCTTTCAGCTGCACGGTGGACAATCCTGATAATCCGGGGCAAGGGGAAGCAAGGGGCCCCGTCTGTGGATATTATCACGGAGCTGTCTCACGCAGCACAGTGGGTGGGGATGCTGATGGGCAGAGTGGACCCCACAGCAGGAAATGTACTGATTATGTCACCTTCCAAGCACACATGCGCACATATGACTGGTTTGTTGTTTGCTGTATTTATAAGAATACAGAAAAAAAGAATGTGGGAGCCAGGTGTGGTGGTGCAGGTTTGTAAACCCAGCTACTCAAGGGGCTGAGGCAAGAGGATCACAAGTTCAAGATCAGCCTGGGAAATTCAGTGAGGCCCTGTCTCAAAATTAAAAGGGGCCAGGGACGTAGCTTAATGCAAAGGAGGTGGTGCCATCCCCGGTACCACACACACACACACACACACACACACACACACACACACCACACAAGTGTGGAAGGCAGCTTGGAACAATATTGCTGAAATCCATCTTCTAATTACATTTAGCTTGGCACTTACCAGAGGCAGCCTTGCAAGAGAGAGCTGCCAAGTAGCATTCTGACCAACGACTTAGCGGGAAAAATGACCCAGTGACAGTATGGGTGAACTGATTTAAAGACTTGTCGGGGAGTCACAGAGGATCATCGTCCCTCGCTGTAAGGGTCGCCTGGGAAAATGCTATGCCTCTGGGACTACTCAGCCAGGCATGGGGGTGGAATCAGTGTTGATTCTCTTCCTTTACCTGGGCCTCGTTTCCTGTAGATGTTTCCATGCTGAGAGATGTGGTGTGAAGAATTACCCTGTTGTCGAAAGAATTTGAGTTTAACACTATGTGGAATTCATTCATTCAGGACTTATCAGAACTTTAAATATCCTCCAGTTCATCTCGTCACCCCAAACTATTACGCCCGGTTTTCAGTTTCCTCCTGGGCCAGCACAGACAGAGCAAACTGTGGCAACGGCTGTGTTTATAGTAATTTTTTCAAGCTGCAGGTTCCGAAGTCTCTGGAAATGAGTTATGGTGAAGACTTACATAAAACAGACAAGCAGTTTGGCTTACGGGAAATCCAGGAAGGTCAACACTCTCTTAAGAACTAAGACAAAGACTTCTCTGGACAGCCAGTATTTATTGGGTTTCCAAAAAGGAGGGGGGATAGCTGAGGTAAAGGTGGCCAACTTCACTGGCTTGGGACGTGTAGACCAGAGACTTTTCCCCGCCATAAATTCTGCCAATTAAGAGAGCCATTCTTTTTCTAAGGTTGACATTTACAGCAGGAGCCAAGTGGCTGCAGCTGCAGTCTTAGCTTAAGCACAGGAATGAGAGCCAGGTGTCCTCAGCTGTGGCTTTCTCTTGCCCTCCAAGGTGTCACAGTGTCACAGAACAATACGCATCTCTGCTGTGGCCGCTGGTATGGAGTTACACTTCACTGCATGCCAGCCATCCCGCACTCTGAGCAAGTCACCTCGCCTGGGACAGACTCGTGCATAGACACAGTCAGCCAATTGATTACCTTTAAGTCCTGCTCACAGCCGCTTGATAACAGCAGCCTGTACTGAGCACAGGGAAGGGTAGGCTGGGTTTGGGGGACGTCCTGATGCGATAGAGTGGATGTAGACTGTCTCCCAGGGCCATGTGTTA